AGTGACTGCGTATCTGTAGGCCAAATGCCTATCTGCGCTCAACATCGTCCCAGAAAACAGCTTGAAATGAAGGACGGAACACAGAAATGTTAATTTTTTTAAAGTATGGAACAGTAGAACATGTATTGGTACATAGGTTGCATTGAATTCTGATGTGCAGCGCTATTTTGACTGCAATTTTGTTCTGCATGAATTACACCAAAAAAATGTAGAAAATTGTCGCAAAGATGATGATGCTTTTTAATGCTGAGTGTGTGTCAAGCAAAGTCGCAGAACCAAAACACCCTTAGGTCTACCATCTCAATGGTCAGGCTTCCAAGCAAATGAATCTCTGAACTGGAGTGTTAGAAAGGAGACCAGATTTGTGTGAAAACTTTATACTCTTTGAGTGTTTCACAATTGTAATATGACAGGAGCCTGTGGAATGCAGAACTGATCCCCTTAATGATCACCCTCAATTGATAGTGTACACACACAATATTGGCAGGTTTGTTCCTTACTGTGAATATAAACTTGGAGGTAATGTGTCATAGGGCGTTTGTGCAAAGACAGAGCGATCACTAAATATTAAAAGCTAATAGCTTTAGTTCCTATTTGGAGGTTTTATCGTGATTTACAACAGATTGATTATGGCTTTTGCTGTGGATCATGGTCAATAAATCTGCAAGAGGACACGGACGCAAACTCAGAAAAGTGAAGGTGAACAGACATTCTAGAGGCAATAACTTTTTGCAGTGTGGTGACAATGTGCAATAGACGACCAGGGAGATGTTGGATGTCGATGGTGTTTGCAAATTCTAGACAATTAAATTGGCTGAGGGGAAAGAGAGACAGAACTGTGTTGGGATCTTTACTTTGGGATTGGCTGGATGGATCGCAATAGTCTTTTCCAATCCTGTCTAATCCTGCCTTTCTACAAAATACTCAGAAACACACAATTTTCTTAGGATTATAGAGTATAGAAAAGTAAGCGTTAAAGAAACTGAAAGAAAAGCCTCTGAGGATATTAAAGATTATGAACATGATGTGAAATTGCTCCTATATAATATTGCTCTACTGCTCCGAATAGTTTACATTGAAGGCTAGGATGTCCACTAACCCCATTAAACATCTCTAATGAATGAGAATATAGAGTTGGATGAGGAAATAAGTTCTGAACTTTGCCAAACATTGCCGACTTTTATTCATTGCAAGCCTCTGAACAAAATGCCTCTGGGACAGGATAGGATGGTTATTTTTCAATTTGTGTTGCTGTGTCTGTAAATCTTAGAATTAGAGGAATTACATTATAGAAGGCCACTCTGCCCATGGAGACTAAAGTGCTTTAAAATGAAGCAATTAGCTCTCATATGAAGTCTGCACTGTTTTGCTGCATATACTCCTTTATATTCTATGATTTCTAATGTTTATCCAATTTCTTTCTTAAATGACGTCGTGCTCCCAGCTTCAATAACAAATACGGGAAAACATTTCTTCCTCTCATAAACAGCTGCGTGAAAATGTTCCTACGAACCTCCCTTAAGTCTTCCAGTAGCAATCTTGAATCCGTGCTCCCTTGTTACTGATTCATCAAGCAATCTTTCACTGTATATCATCGCACAAACTTGAGGATTTTGAAGACCGTTGTTAGATCCCATCTTAATAACCTCCTAAATCCCAATGGAAACAGACGCAATTTTTTGAGCCTCTCCTCATATCTATAAATCCTTGTCCCTGATCTCATCCACTTGAACCTATGCTGCACCCTTTCCATAGCTCTGACATCCTTTCTGCAATGGAGCTCATGGAACAGCACTGCAGGAAACACTGGCTCTTGCCTGGTTCTGTGCGCAGAAAACACATGCAGTTCAACTCATTCACTGATGAAGTCATTATTTTGGGGTCATTCCCACTGGCAGTAAGATTCTTCAGCTATTTCTCCATTGTAGGCTACCAGGCATTGATTCAAAATCTAGAAAGTTGGAAACCAGGAGGACTGTGTTAAGTGTATAGAGTTAAGTGATAAAGATTTTAAATGCTTTTGTAAATTTAGAGCAAAGTACTCACTGGCAAGCGTGCTGTAATAAGAGGTCTCGAACAGTGTCATTTCTCTCAGAAAATATGGCAATTTTCCTATGAGTTCCAGTTTAATTTGCTTTACTTTTTTTCTCACTACAAATGACGTGGGGTGGGGAGTGACCGTAAGCACGGATATCAAGCAAATGATATCACAGAGTATTTCCTTTAGAAAATATTTTGTGGTGACACAACGGATAACTAGAATCCATCCCTCATGAATATAATGCAGATCCCCAAAATGTGTGACTCTTCAGTGAAAAATGTTCCAGTGTCTGTTGATGCATTCTATTATTTACAGAAAGAGCTGGTGTAGAACAGAAAACATATTCTTATTCAGAAGCTAACCTCTAATTAATCAAAGGCAGACTGCTTCATATTGAGCACCAGCTGCAGTTAATCCAATGGACTTCAATAAAACCTGAAATCAATTCTAAGAATTCTGAGTGCGTCACTGCCAACCAAGGCAAATCCCCAAACCCCAACTGGTAGGGCAGTCCTAGCAGGACTGTAACGTTGAATCTTACTAGTAAGCTGTGCAGGAGCCATTACTCCTTGCAATGTTTGTGTGTGTATTATACAACAGGCGTCACTGTTTGACTTGCCTGTTCTAAGACCTGATGATATTCTGCTGGATAAGGAACAATACTTGCCCAACAGCTTGAAATTCAATTGGATTGCCGGCAAGATACACGGAGGAGTCATGTTGCCCAAGTGGGTCATTCTCTTCACCAGCTGCTGCCTGTGATTATTTAGAAACTCCGTAGTGTCATTGAGGTTCCATCTCAATGTTGGCCATTCCTGGAATGTCACATTGGTGTGAAATGTTGCTGGACATTTAGGAAGTGGGGTTTAAGATGGCGATGGAGTGGGGGGAGTAAGGGGAATGGGGGGGGGGTTGCATGTTTGTAACTATTTTAGCCTGGCTCAATTGGTAGCTCTCTCACCTCTGAGTCAAATGATTGTGGGTTCAAAGTCCCACATCGGGACTTTGAACTCATGTAGTCTAGCCTGACGTAACACTAGGGGAGCACTGCAATGTCAGAGGTGCCGTCCTTCAGATGAGACGTTAAACCGAGGTCCTAAAATAATAATAATAATAATTCTTGCATTTGATTTAGCGTCTTGTCACGTCTTCGAGACGTCTCAAAGTGCTTCACAGAATATACTGTAAAGTGAATTAACCGTACTTTTCGGAAAGAAAAGGAAGTTTTTCCCAGTGCCCTGGCTTAACAATCCCCCCAATTTTTAAAAAAATGTTCATTCACTTCATGCCTGTGTGTGGAACGAAATACACAGTTACTACACTTTACAGGAAATCCTCCTGACTTGAAGGACACTATAACAAATGTAAGAGTTATTATTATTTTTCTTTTTATTACTATCATTCATTATAATAATGATAATAATCCTTGCATTTGATATAGCGCCTTATCACATCTTCAAGACGTCTCAAAGTGCTTCACAGAATACACCGTAAAGAGAATTGACTGTATATTTTGTGGGCGAACTTATGAGCAATGATCACTCATCCAGTGCAAGGGCTGAGGAACAGGTGGCTGACTGTGAGGGATTTAAGATAATAAACCTCTTACTGAGCTGGTTGCCTGCATCAGCAAAACCTTGAATCAACTAATTAGTGAAAGTGCTGCGTCTGTAATTTAAGAATGATTTGACCTTGCTGCCCACATCCTTTAGTTCAAAGTTGTGTTACTGCAGCTTCCAGCTTTTATTCACAAATGAGACACGCTGTTCTTTTTAAAGTGAACGGGTCTGTGGACAATCAAAAGAACATACTGAATATAGCATGTTGTTTTTTTTTAGTGATCAGCACCTTTGCACGCAATGTCTATTTAGAAGGACGTCACATTCTATTTATACGAATGATCTTGAAATTGACATTATGTCAAAACGTTGTGGCTGCCCATTCATTAAACTGCTAAATTGTATGGATTGTATCAAACGAATAACAGAAACGTGGGGAGAAATTCCACCAAGGTCTTGATTTACTCTATTTTCGTGCCATTTTTAGAACATCCAGATTTTGACACATGTGGAATACAAGCCTTAATTTTGAAGCTTTTTTTTCCTGTAAGCTTTTTTAAGTTCCACAGAAAACTCACTTCAATAATTGCTCTAAAATGTTACATAAGGTAAATCTGGACCCAAGTGGAATTTCGCCCTGACAGGGTCTTTATGTGTTTTCAGTGGTACTTCAGACGTCTTGAAGACGTGATAAGGCACTATATCAAAATGCAAGGATGATTATTATTAGTAGTATTTACATTGTTAAAGTTTCTAATGTGAAATCCCCTACAGAATGCAATGTGGTCAAAACATTGCGGTCCATCTTTAAGTCAAAACACATACCAAGATTACAGTCCCAAAAATTAATTTGTGGAATATTATCACCAATGTATAATATGCTATAAAATTTTATTTTCAGCCTTTAGGATAAAGCACAAATCCTAATTTGGAACTATTATCTTTTATCATGCTACATTCTATTGTACATTGCATACAATTACATCTAGATTTTATTACTTTTTATTTTATTAATGTATATTAATTTATAGAACGTGATCCATGATTAGTATCACTGGATGATTTAATTTCAGGAAAAAACATTTATTGTCTCCAGATAGACAAGAACAGCTATTTGAAGGGAAGGACAATGGGTTAATTCCCTCTATGTTAAATCCCTTTCCAACCCCCCCCCCCCTCTCCTTCCTTGTGTTTCGAAAATCCTATTACAAACAGAACTATTGAAAACTAATCCCATTGTATCTGTCCTTGAGTCTTGGCAACAGGGATTAAGATAAAGCTGTATAGGGTCACGTTGATTGCTTAATATCCCTATATGTGCTGTGTGCATTAATCTGACATCATTTTGTTTCCTTGAAATGTAGTACCCCAGTGAAGTGTGGCACCAAGCGTAGGAAACCATGACGACAAACGTAGAAATGCAACCCAATTCTGGGTTGCTCAACGTAGAAATGCAACCCAGTGCTGCGATGCTCAATGCAGCCAAATTGGCCCTGGTCGAGACGAAAAATGTAGGAGAAATTAAATCAGCAACGAGGGTAACTGGAGGACCAGCGACTCCTAGGAAAGGACCACCGAAATTCAAACAGCGGCAAACAAGACAGTTCAAAAGCAAGCCACCAAAGAAAGGAGTACAGGGGTAAGCAAAAGTGCAGGACTAATGAAATGAGAAGCGCTGTGACTTTGTTGTTTAGAAGCCAGTAGCATTGAGCGTATCCAGTTGGAGTAAAGATAAGGTCCCTTGCTTGATACCTAGAGCTTGTCACGAAAATGTCAACTGCTCTTGCGGAATAAGTAGCATTATTAGGCAGCGATTACACCGGGTGTACTTGTAACAAGAAGAGATGTGCAGTACTGTATTAGGACATTGTGCGTGTGAAGTTCATGATGTGTTTGAGAAGGCTAATGTTTTATGCGTCTATGTGAAAGGGTGGGGGGTGGAGGGTGGAGAGGGGGGTCGGGGAGGGAAACCAGGTTAGAGCCCTTTGAAATCTGGGTTTGGATCCAGCACATGTCATTAAGAAAAAGGTTTTCTCTGCCCACTGGCTGTCAGGGTCCTATTTGCAATGGGTTTAAGAAGTTTCAATCCAGTTCCTGGTGGGCTAAATTCCACAGAAAAAAACTGCACCTAATTTGCTAATTGACTGACTGTTTCTAACGTATTCACGGTTTTAATGCAGGGTTGGCAAGTAAGAGATTTCGCAGGTAAATGGGGGATTATTTTGCAATGTTATAGTAAGCAGTAACCAGCTCAAGAGGTGCTCTATCGATATAAAGAAACTAACAGATGGGCTTGCTGTTAAACACCATTTTTACTCTTCCAAACAGGTTTGGTGATGACATCCCTGGAATGGAAGGATTAGGCACAGGTATGATGGATATTGCTTGTCCTAAAGAGTATTTGTTATTCATTCTTTCAGGCTCATGACTCACGCATTTTAAACACCTTGCGGCAGTAGCGTCATGCATTAAATCTTTGTTCCTTGGTTTACAGATATCACTGTCATCTGCCCCTGGGAGGCCTTCAGTCACCTCGAGCTACACGAACTCGCACAGTATGGAATCATCTGAAGTCAGCCACTACCCACAGAATTCTGTGTGCATTTCCACTCTGCTCATCAAAAAATGTTCAGAAACCGTCCCTATATCACCAATGGCCTCGAGCACAAGGACAACTTCCAGGCCAAGAGGTCCCACTCACTGCATTTGGAAAAGCAAAATTGCAACAAACAAACAAAAAAATCTTTTTAATTCACATTTCCCTCGCAACCGTACCTAAAAACATGGAGCCACTCAACTTAGAACGCACACATCAGAATTCTAAGCCATTCTGTCTCCAACAAGGCTGACCATTTCTCCAATAACCTTTCGTAGAACAGTTTTCAGAAATGTTAAGATGCAAACTGCTGTCACCTATGGTTACGTTCCAATAATCTCAGTTATTTTTTTTTAAAAAACAAGGTCCATCTTGCAGGCATATTAATCCTGTTCATTCTGTAACCATTGAACTATGTAGAGGAACTACATCTGAGTGTGATTCTGTGGAGGTGGAATTGATAAATCCCCACAATGCTTTCCAAGTGCCTCCTTCTGAACAGGACATTCACCCAACACAGTGCTGGACTAGTCCCAGCTTCTATCTAGTTGGAATTTCGCCCACCGTCAATCTACTTTACAGTGTATTCTGTGAAGAGCTTTGAGACCTCTCAGTGACGTAATAAGCCACTGTATCAAATGCAAGGATTATAATATGTTATATAATTTATTTTGTCTTGACGTTTTTTCAGCGTTTAGCTCTCAGTTACTTCTAACGTGATCTATATTTATTTTTCTTTTCTGCTTATAAAAGGAACCACTCAGGGATATTTTTTTAAAAACTGAACTACCGTGAAGAGCTTGAGATAGGAGCAAGTTGCTTTTTTTTTTTGCTGTGTTTTGTGTGACCGAATGATTTTATCATCATTTCCCTGAGGCGTCCTCATTTTAGTGCCGCTTTCATCGATTTACATCTTTCGAATAGTTCTCGATTTCTTCCTGTCACGCTCCAATCCGTCGTTTGGGATTTTAAGTCTTACCTGTCCTCGTTTTAAAACTAGTTTCTTTACATTATTAACCCCCTTTCGTAGCATCATCTGGGATACATCACGTTCTTGTGGCTTGAGGGCACGTTTGCTTTGCTTTTTTTTTCTTGTACGGTCATTCCATTGGTTGTCATCAAACTAAAATCTCCCATGTCACTTTTTAATTCTTCTCTGGTGTTTTCATCCAATTTCATTAGGGCTTTGAAATGTGACCGTCATTTGGTGAAAAGTCACATCATTCCATCACGCTGTCTCACTCTCTTATCTCGTCCACATTTCCTGCCTGTTTCATTTCTCATCCATTTGGCTTCCTGTTCCCCCATTTCATGCTTTTATTTCATGTTTTAATGGCTCATCTCACCCCCGGTTTTCCTTTCATTTCCCCTCAAGCTTTACTCTGTTTTCAGGGCGATGTAAGACTCCACTACATTCACAATCACCGTTATGTTCTCTTTAGCACTTCTATTCCTGCCCTCTATTGAGTAATCATTACCTCTACCTTTAATCATCGTATTTCTTTGAAATCTTTCTGTCAATGGGTAGGATTTTTGTGGCTATGGGAAAAGTTTCCAAGAAATGAAACTGCTCAAAATTGTTGCACTAATTTGCACTATAAGTTCTAAGCTTTTATGATTCACTTTCCTTGTTTTTTGGTCTTGTTGATTTTGGTTTTCCAATTCCTTTCAGTTTTCCCCTTTTCTCTGACAGTTCCCTGTTACATTCTCCATTCCTAACAGATCTTTCTTTACGCTTTGCCTTTAGTTTTTTGGATTATTTCATTTTCTCCTGGCTTGCTGGAAATTCCAATGAAACCTGTTGTTTTTTGGCACTTTTTTTTCCCCCTCTTGTGGTCTCCTTTCCCTATTTCTGTTCTTCTAGTTTATCACTTTGAAAAATACTAGAAAGAATAATACTGATTTAATCGATAAAGGTTCCTCTGTGTTTTGGGCTTGCGTCCCTGCATTCTCTTTCTTACTTGGTTTGCTTTATGTATTTCATGCAACTCTGAAGTCAGGCAGGAGGCACATCTGTCAAACATCTGCAACGTATTGTGGGGAATGTTAAAGTGGGACTTTGCTGTTTCCTGGCATTGTTTTCATCCAGAACGTTATCATCTAAAGAATAGGTTGTTCTCTCTACATTATACATAATAAAGCTTGAAAAATAAAGGAATCAATCTGCAGCTTTGGCTTTCATTTGTGAAAAAAAAGTCTGTTTCGTTTCTTCATATCATTCCTAACCCTTCCCCATTCGTGTGCAAATATCTCTACTCTCTGCTTTCTAAAACCCAACCTCTTTGACTGTGCTTTCGGTCACCTACCTCTCTCTCTATCCCCGGCCCTGCTTAGGCACTTACATCATCTCTATGAAGCTCTTTGAAATATTACCCTGCTAAAAGCAGCAAGTTGGTGTCATGAGGACGTAGGGATAGGATTGCAGGCAAGACAAAGGGAAGGAGTTCAAATACAGAGCTTCAGGGCTTAAAATAGAATTGGATTCCTTGGAAATAAAGACAGACTGTGCAATCTAGCTCCACCCTACCTCCTAAACAGCACATTATACTCTCCTGACTTTAAATGCTTCCACCACTTCTCAGTCTTGATATCCAGTCACTTAGTTAAGAGAGGCTGAATGTCAAGTTGAGAGTGGGGCAGACTAAGTGATATTTGGTTGGAAACAATCTCCCAGCGTCCATCCTGAACAATTGGTTTCAGTTAGTATCAGGGGCTGTGAGATTAGAAAAGCCGGCAATATCATCTCAATATGATTGCAAGCATTCATTCCAGAACAAACTAAATGCAAACCAGACCAATCATCAGCGAGGCCAACACAGGAAGGAAACATGACAGATTCACAACAGTCGCGAGTAGTCCAAGGGAGGAAGGTAAAGAACAGGATTCAAAAGGTAGTAAAAAGCAGGAAACAGGAATCGAACAGGGAAAAGAGGTCAACCACGAGAATGACAAAAGAAGGTCAGGGGGAAAAGAAGAAAAGCACAGTACTTCTGAGAGGAGTCAAGGCTTCCTCTGAGGATTAATAATAAATTAGTCACTTCAATCCACGACTGATTGTGGAACACTGCTGTAGTGCAATTGACTGTCGCGTTTCACCCACAAAATATAGCCAATTCACTCTACAGTATATTCTGTGAAGCGCTTTGAGATGTCTCGAAGACGTGATAAGGCGCTGTATCAAATGCATTATCATTACTATTATTATGAGAAGGAAATTCACTCGAGGTTTGTGAGTGGAGAGATCCAGTGGAGAATGCAGAAGAGGCTTTTGAACCATATTGCAAACATATCCATCTAGTTCACCTTCCACCATCCTGACAGTTGCTAAGACAAAATAGGCTTAGACTGTGTGGAATTTCAAGTCTCAGGCCGGGTGGGGGGAGAGAAATTTTGCCTGGGACTAGATTTTGCAACTTGATGAATTCCATTTTAGCTTTGCAGGTTTTGTTTTTGCGAGTCCCTAACAAAATGTACAAAGAAACTAAACCGTGCAAAATTGTGTGTACTAATTTGCACTATGATTTCCAATGTCACTTTCCTTGGGGGTTTTTTTTGACGCTCTGAAATGCTATGTCAACAGAGTAAATTCAGGTGCTATTTCTACCCCTTTGTTCGTGAGACATGTCCAGTCGCAACCCCTTACATTCCAGATGAACACTTCAGGTTATTTGAGATGTCTCTAGAACAAGCTCTCTCGCTGGCTTGCGATTGTCTTTCTGTGAATCCAGGCTGAGGGTCAGGTCCAGAAATACTGCTTCCACGTATTTTGAGGTGAGTAATCACTTTGTTATCTGTCTAACACAGTTTCCTGCGACCACATACCCTGCACTAAGTCTTTCCTTCTTGACTGATATAAAACTTCTCAATGATAAAAGAGAGGGGGTTCTTTTCTGTTGAAGGTGCTTTCTTCTTAAGTGCATAATTGTAATAATAATAATTTAAGAATCCTCCCGACGTGAAAGGTGCTTTACAAATGTAATCTTGTTGTTGTTGTTGCAATTAATCTTTTTTCATGAGTATTTACCTGGGCTGCAAGGTGTTAAGACAAGGACTGCGTAATAATAAGCAAATATAAAATAGTGCTTAATAATTACAATGTAAAGGGTATTTATTAGAGTTTTAATATTTGGTTGCTAGGACCTTAGAAGTAAGTGAGGTAAAATGGGAACATTAACCATCAAAAGACTAATCTGTAGCTTACATTTTACAGACATTTAAGATCGCTAGTGAGTGTATCTGGCTGTTCACAGGGGAGATGAAATTGCAGTTTATTTACCATCGATTATTACTATTTCAGGGAACCCAAAAAAAGTTGATCAGCACAGAAAACACAGGCTGCAATATTCAAATTCCTCTGTTTGAATGTGACTCAATTCTGCATACATTTTAAACACAGCTCAGTTGCAATACATTACACGTTCAATTCTTTTGAATATATTCTGCACTGTATGTTTCTTTAGTCTCAGGTTAAAAAAAAANGGCGATTAACTTTTTTGCCCTAGAACGATAGACACGTCAGCTGAAATAAGCAGCTGCACCAGAATCATTCCAAGAAGCCATTCAAACTCCATTGCAAACAGCCCCCAAGTTCAGGCTTGTCACATACTTAAAGCTTGCTACATGATCACGAAACAAACTTGAGACTTGCTATCACTGGTTGTATTCACAGTTAACTTGTTGTTTTACCTGCTCTGTGCAATGGCTCAGTTGGTGCAACTCACATCTGGGAGTCAGAAAGTTGTGGGTTCAAGCCCCGCATCGAATAATCCAGGTTGACACTCCAGTGCAGTGCTGGGGGAAGCGTTGGACCGTCATAGGTGCTGTCCTTCGGATGAGATGTTAAAACAGGGTCCCGTCGGTCTGTTCAAGTGGACATTAAAGCTCCCCCCAATACGTATGAATCATATGTTTTGTATGACCCGTGATGTGTCCTGTGTTTTGTGTGTTCCTGATGGGCGCAGGTAGCATACAGCCAATTCTGGGTGTGCATGCGTGCAGATATGTCCCTGTACAGATTTGGAGTGGAACCCATAACGTGTCATGCGTGGAACAAAGACCGAACACGTAAGTAAAAACAAAGCACAACAATGTACTAACCCCAACAGTGACAATCTCGAGGTGCGTGTTTCAGTGCGTAGTACATTGGCGTTCAATTTGCAGGTTAGGTTAACGATGCCATCTCTAAGTTCGCCTCCAAGTCACTCACCATCCTGACTTGGACAAAATATACAGTCACTACACTTTACAGTATATTCTGTGAAGCGCTTGAGACATCTCGAAGACGTGATAAGGCGCTTTATCAAATACAAGGATTATTATAATCATATATCACCGCTCACTCATCGTCAATGAGTCAATATCCTAGAATTCTCCCCAACCCACTACCATGATAGAAGCTTTGTCGCTACAAAGACAGCTGCTGCTTAAAGGCAAAGCCTCTCCCAACCTTCCCCCCCCCAACCCACTCACTCCACCAGCAGCACCTTCTCAGGGGAACCAGGGATGGCCACACACTTAGCAAAATGCCATCGTCACCCATATTCCGAGATGAATAAAACCAATAGAAGATACAGGATAAATTATATCTGCCGGGCAATGCCAAAAGCACAACGGGGTGTTCCTCTAATATGACCTGTTGATCGCTACAGCGCTATTGAACGATTAGGTAAGCATTGCAACAATCGATTTCTGGAATTTCCATGTGTAGGTGGGATGCATGGATTTCTCAGTTTGGTTCGGAGACTTTTAAGCACGATGATGGGTTGCCGCGTGTGTCAGACACCCGGCTGACACCCCCAAAAAAAAGGCATTAAAACTGGTCATTTCCCCCCCCCCCCCTCCATCCAATCCAAACAGAAATCGCAATCAATTCAAACAACCACAAAGTTTTTATTTATCAGAAGAACAAGAACGAGTGGAAGAAGGTTCACGAACTGGCTGAGCACAGTGGTCACGTCACAGGTAAGCGGTTCGGACTCTATGATCCAATATCAGACAGTAAGATCCAATATACCTCATGGAATTGTGAGTTCAAAGTCTCAGCCAAAAGCCGTCCCTTATATTGCTGAGATTATGTGATACTTTGCAACTTTTTCACTCTTTAAGGGTGGGGTTTTATAGTAATAATGATCTTGCAGACGCTATCCCACATGAAGGACGCTATATAAATGCAAATTGATGTTGCTGCTGTTGTTGCCGTTACTCACTCAGCCATTGGAGGAACCATAGAATCTATCTACCACTGATGGTTTCAACTAGCAATTTGTTCACTGCAACTTTAGTGGGGCAAATCCCTCCATAAAGGTTTAGTGAAAAGATCTCTAGTGTGGAATAACCTCCAATAACCACCACTGCTTTCCAAAGTTGTTATCATTGTCTACACATATGCACATTGGATAGGCAGTGGGTCTCAGTGTGTATTTTTAAAACCTGTAGGGATAGATTGGGCCTCGACCACCGATCGGATTGTGACCTGTGGCGTGGACCGGAATGCATATGTCTGGTCTCTAAAGGATGGGGTGTGGAAACCGACCTTGGTCCTACTCCGTATTAACCGGGCGGCCACCTGTGTGAGGTGGTCACCACTGGAGAACAAGTTCGCTGTGGGGAGTGGAGCCAGATCCGTCTCTGTGTGTTATTTCGATAAGGAAAACGACTGGTGAGTCCACTGCTTTTTTTTTGTATCTCACCAAACACAGAGAATGCTGTTGGATTCAGGCACAACACCCGTGGAGTTACAATAATCCTTGGATTTGATATAGCGCCTTTTCACGTCTTTGAGACATCTCAAAGCGCTTCACAGTATATACTGTAAAGTGAATTGACTATATTTTGTGGGCGAAACGCAGCAGCCAATTGTGCACAGCGGCGTCCCACAAACAGTCGTGGATTGAGTGACCAGGAGTTACTGACATAGACACAAATCTGATACAATCTACAATAATAAGCAGCAAACCAAACCAAGGAATGAAAAACATATGTCTCCGATCGCAACCTGAAAAGTAACACCAATGCCAGATGGGGATACCTAATCGTGGTCCTACAACAACAACAAATTACATTGTGACAATTGCAATCTATAACAAAAGCAAAGTCTCTCTAAAATAACATCAAGCCAATTAAATAGACCGTATTTGATTAACTGATTGCAAACCAAATAACAGTAACATTTTCTTCTGCAGGTGGCTGAGTAAGCACATCAAGAAATCCATCAGGTCGACTGTGCTTACACTGGATTGGCACCCAAACAATACCATTCTGGGCGTTGGCTCATGTGATTTCAAGTGCAGGTAGGAGCGCAACATTGCAAATAAGAGCTACGGTTCCCGGTTTTGTTCAGTGGTGCAATGCTGTCTGTACAGGGCTGCACCACCAAAGGTCAGCTAACCCGGCTCAGTTCAGCTCAGCACAGCCCAGGGATTGTTCCTCTGTCCACCATGTTCTAAAGTAAGGTGTTTCTAATAAGGAATCCCAACTGCGTGAATGGGCACTCTTTGCAGTAAATGAAAATACCTCACAATGACCCATGGATACCCTATCTGGTCCAACCCCATCTGCTTCTGTGGGTCGATTGGGAATTCTACCAAAAGAAATTCCCTTAAGGCGTAATAATAACAACAATAATAATCCTTGCATTTGATACAGTGCCTTATCAAGTCATTGAGACATCTCAAAGCACTTCACAGAATATACTGTAAAGTGGATTGACTGTGCATCTTGTGGGCGAAATACGGCAGCCAATTGTGCACAGCAAATAGCTCAAACTGGACCCCATTCTTTGGCTCAGCGTTACACTTGAACTGTGGCCTGAACGGTTGAGGCTGTTGGGAGAACTCAGTTTGCGTCATATTGACTCATCCTTCGCATTAAAGAAAAAGCTGAAGCCAGCAGGCGGCGAGGAGGTGAACAGTAAGAACTTGAGCAGACAACTGAGCCCATCACCTTTATTCACTGGGTCAGACATTGCTCTGATAAACGAAGCAACCGATGTAGTTTCTGCTGCCATGCCAAGCTTGTGATATGACGTGACTTCCTCTTTGCTTACTCCGCGCTAGAGTGTTCTCAGCCTATGTCAAGGATATTGAAGAGAAACCTGCCCCGACAGCCTGGGGAACACGGATGCAGTTTGGGGAGCTTCTGTTTGAGCAGAAAGAGAGTGGGGGGTGGCTGCACGGTGTGTGTTTCTCCTCCAGTGGAAACTGTCTTGCCTGGGTCAGCCATGACAGCACAATATCAGTTGTGGATGCCAGCAAAAACAAAGTGTGAGTATCTCTGCGGCTCACAGTCTGCTTGAAAAAACTACAACTACTACTAATAATAATAATGATAACCCCTGCATTTGATAAATGCCTTCTCACATTGGCAAGAGATCTCAAAGCGCTTCACCGAAATTACTGTAAAGTGTAATTATTCTATTTTGTAGGTGAATTTATGATTTCAACTAGCAATCTGGCCCCCTCTGTAAAACAGGCTCTCCCACACAACCACAAACACCTATCCAAGACACATGAACAAATATATCTGCAAACACATACACACAAATACAGAGTATAAAAGCATACATGTACACACACATATTCATCCATTTCCCAGGCATGATTGAACAGGAAGATCTTCAGGTGTGATCTGAAGATGGGCAAAGAGGAGGGGGAGATTGGAACATGTGGGAAACATCCCACAAACAACGTAATAAACCATCAACTTCTAATTTAAGGCCAAGGTAAAATGTCTCTCTAATCTTGCTTCTCTGCTTTGGACACCCTTCCAGAGTGACCCAACTGAAGACATCATTCCTTCCTCTGCTCAGTGTGCTGTTCCTCAGCGAGAGCCATCTTGTGACCGCAGTAAGTATTGAATCAAAGTTGACCTCTGAAATTGGGAAATACGTGATATGTTTATGTTAAATAAACTACAATTGGAATTGGACGCATACATAAACATAATGCAAACTGTACAAATATCAGAGCGAGAATAGTTAATTAACATTGGTAAAGTCTGCTTCTGAAAGGGAAAGTGAGGATATCTGTAAAACAGACCTTGGCCCGTACGTTTCTTTCAACAACAACAACAAATTACATCTGTATAGCCCCTTTCACACCAGGAGGATGTCCCAAGGCGCTCGACAGTCAGATCTTATACACAGTTGCCTTTTCCATTTTCAGGGTCATGACTCCTGCCCCTTTCTCTTTTCATACACGGATCAAGGCAACTTGAGCTTTGTGACCAAAATTGATGTCCCAAAGCAAAGCTCCCAGCAAAGCCTGTCAGCCATGCAGCTCTTTCGCAACCTGGACAAGAATGCCATGGTCAAGCAGGAGGACAAGTCCCTGGAAACTCTGCACAAGAACACCATCAGGCGAGGAGGAAGCTTAACATATGGAATAAGGATGTAGTGCAGTACATTTATACATTTCTTGCAGTTACACAGCGCCCTTCAAGTAGGGCAACATTGCACAAAGGACACTTAAATACACAAGGACGCTGAGCAAGCGAAAGGGGAAAGTGGGCATCAGTGCGCTTGAAGATAGATGGAGACGGTGTGATATGGAGGGTTATATGGAGGGATTTCCAGGATCCGAAGGTGGTAAAGAGAGGGTGAGGTTTGCGCAGCAAGCCTGAGTTAGCCGAGCGGAGGGGGCGAGCAGAGGTGTAAGGTAGCAGAAGATTGGAGAGGATAAGGAGGTGTTAATGTGTGGAGGGGGTTATAAGTGAGGATGAGGACCTTGAAATTGGTCCAGTTGGTCCAGACATGGAACCAATGGATTGAAGCTTTGGGAATTTAATGAAGGAAAACGCCCTCTAGTAGCCTATTGAACCAAAGCACTGCCTCTTTTGCAAGGAACAAGGCCAATGATGGTGATCTTTTCTTGGTGGCCAACAGAATAATCATGGAAATAACAAAATAGCATAGATAGATTGATGCCATTAATCAAGAAATATTCAAGCAAGAAACATTTATTTTGTTGGCCGATCATAAAGGTCGTCTGGGTCCAATTGTATTGTACTATATTAGCCACCCAATGACAACCACACAGTTACCGATCAACAGTAAAAGTTGGAGAACCATTATTAATAATTGTATTGAGACAGAATGCTTTAATTATAATATTACAAAAATATTTTGCCCATAAAATATACAGGCAATCCACTTTACAATCTGTGACATCTCAATGACATGATAAGGCACTATTATCAAATGCAAGGGTTATTGTTATTATATTACACTTGTATTTGTATCCCTTTTCTAACTGTGAGAACTGTTAATGTTTGTTCCAGTCAGCTTTCTATTGTCGCAGGAGACAAGGCTAATGTGACCACCTTCAGCAGTATTGGATTTGATGGTGCAATGGTTACCTGGGACTTCAGGGTAAGCATTTAGTGATTTAGTGATTGAATGTGTTGCACACTGCAAAATCTCCATTGCTATGGGACAAACACAGCCTCCTGGGTACTTACCATTCTGAGCATTACTACATTGCTTGTATGTGCTTCAAGGTCAACCTTTCAACAATCCTTCTTGTCGGTATTGAGAAATACTTTGCTAATTTTCTTTCAGGCTCCCAGCGTTTAGAAGCACATCCTTGAAGGACACCACAGGCTCCACTCACGAATATGGATCTTCTAATCTAATAGCACAACAAAAGGATTTGAGCACTCAATGGTACATCCTATGGTACATTGCTCCCCCCTACCTCTGCGACCTCCTAACCCCCTACCATCCTACTCGCTCCATCCGCTCAGTGGGCTCGGACCTGCTTCACATCCTCTGCCTCGTTCGCCCCACTATTAGCAGGCAGGCCTTCTGCCACTCTGCATTGATGTTATTTGCTGTGTGAACACTGGGAGGAGGGTATTGAAAATTGTTCTGTGCACCGCAGAGAATGCTCATTTAATACAGCAGAGATTTGCAGCTGACTTTTCCTTTCTATATGCACTGTAGGGGCTGAAACCCGGTTAACATATTATGTCCGTACAGTGCACTTGATAAGCATGCTAGTTTTGTATGTGATAATTGTAAATGCATTAAAGTACGTTATTCCTTTAAATAGAGTTGATTTAACTTGGATTGGGGAAAAAATGGAACTCTAGCCCAAACTAGGGGGAGGAGAGAATGCTATTGAAATATTTGATCACTTGGTGGCAGTCTTTCCCTATCTGAGCCTTTCTCATCGACTTGCAGAAAAAGTTGCACCAAGATGGAGCCCTGCTTTTTTTAAAAAAATGAATACTTATTTGCAAGGATGGAAAGGGGTCAAATGCAAGTCACCATTGAAGTTCATAATGCTAACAGGAAATTGGTTGCTTATGCATTAACCCTTCCAGTGTCCCAGCAAAGGATTTTACTCCCCAGTTAAAATGGAAAGTGTGAATTGTTGCCGCTGCAAGCTACAAAGCTTAGGTTATATTTAAAATGATTTATTTTGAAACAAACATATTGAAATTCTACGACAATAATTAGCCAGCATATCCTAACTGGAGCCAGTCACTGTGATCTCTATGCTATGTCTTGGGAACACTTTATAACATCCAGGGTAACTGAGTTGGTTGGCTTCTGACCAGAAGATTTGGGATTCTGTTCCCAAAGGATCAATTCAGCCCTTCACTCCTTCAAAATCAATACAGTATCTGCCATTTTATCTGTGCATAATAATAATCTTTGCATTTGATATAGTGCCTTATCAGGCAGTTGAGATGCCTCAAAGCGTTTCACAGAATATACCGTCCAGTGAATTGACTGTATATTTTGTGGACGACTCATTAAACTTTCAACCCATTCGCCAAACTTTAATTGTAAGGACGTCAGCAAGATAAGTCCTGTGCTCAGTGGTTACCTATTTGTCTTCAGGTTCACTGCTAGTGTTAATAATGAGGCTATTGTGTTTGGTGCTGTGTGGCTCCCTGCCAGCCCATTAGGTGAGGCTGGCAAGAGAATGGATGCATTGTACACACGGATGTGGTATGTACAGTTCCCTTTAAGATCAACAGAAACGCCGGCTCCCAAATTGGCACACAATTCAAGGATTTGCCCCAAATTGCGCACGATCCCAGGGCTAAAAGCCGTGCGAAATTTCCGTGCCCCTGGACTTCCTGCACACAGGCTGTGGGATGGATTGTGGTGGCCAGGCAGAGGAAGGGAGATCAATGTGCAAGCTGAACATTTGTAACTGTGGCAACGCTTGAGACACACAGGATGTACTTCTTATTTCACCATTAATAGTTATTCAAGAGAACCGAAAGGCCGTTAAACTGAAACAAATTAAAATGACTTTATTCTTCATGCCTCAAAGATCAACAAAAAAAAAACCAAAATGCCAGGTTACAAGACTGACAGGAATTTTGTTTCGTCTGTTGTGCTCCTGGAGGTATTGAGCACGTAAACCTTGGGTGTTGGTAGCACCCTTGTATTTAAACCCAATCTCCCTCGCTCAGGGAGGCTGATGCCAATTTTTAACCCAGCACGCAGCAGAAATCAAATCAGGCTGCCATCTGGCCTGCAATGAGTCATTGCTTTAATTTACTTGGATCAGGGGAGAGCGGAGGGGGAGAATGCTGTTCGTTTTCACGAACGTTTAGGAAACACGTGTTGTAATTGCAATTGGTAGTGGTACTTTGCTCTGGAAGGCTGCCTGGGTTTTGTGTTAGATTGAAACCAACACCCAGATCAAGGGACATTGTAAATTTTCAGAGAGAAATTGACCGAGTATCAAACCCTCCACAGCCAAATGTGAACATACTTCCCTCAATTGGTAGCTATCTGAGTGATCAGGTAACTCATTTTAGAGACAGAAATTGGAAACCTATTGGATAGTAATGGCTGTTTTACATAAGGCTTTACAAAGTGAGTGATTGTGGGGGGAGGTGAGGGGTGGGGGAGCTTGAAAAACAGCCTTTAAAGTCCTTCAAAGGTGTAGACACACAAATCAAATCCTGATAACTGGCACTTGATCTCCCATCTGGTGCTGGGAATCCACACCAGCTGTTTGTTTGCTTACAGCAGATGAATCCTTCGACTCACACTGAGCTAAGTAGTCAGGGTTGCAGAATTAACAGCTGCGCATTGTTCGAACCCTAGAATCCAACCAGTGTTCAGAACAAAAGGGAAATGCAATGACATTGTACCAGTGTTCTCCTGTCCCTTGTTGTTCGGAGGCAGTGGACATTATATAAATGATAATAACAATGCTTACATTTGGTGATGAACCTTTTACGTCAGGAAGATGCCTCAAAACTCTTCACAGGATGCTCTGTAAAGTGTGGTGATCGTGTTTTTTTGTAGGTGAACCCGGCAACTAATTTCTGAGCAGTGACAACTGTCCCTGCTAACAGCCATGAAATGAATGACCAACTTTATTTGGGGCGATTGATTGTTCGCCAGGAACATCGAGAGATACTATACAGTGTCTTCAGACTTGTGTTATATTTGCAGTCAGGTTGATTTATTTAGTCCCTAGTCTCACACACCAACTAATCTCTCTCACTCTATCGCCTCAGAATACAAGCATAGTTTGTGTTTTGATGTTTCCATTGTAGCCTGTACTTATGTCTGGTGTTGTTTGCACTGTCATATCAATTTAACTCAAACAAGCAGCTGTGTGATCAGAATTTGGCATCAAAAGGCCTTTGAGTACAGTAGTGGTGAACAAGCCCTAAGCCATAAATACTATTCTTGGGTTCACCCACGGATTGCAGCACCACCAAAGTTTCCTGAGTTTTTCTTTTTTTACTGATGGCAACATGGTCTTGTGAGGGTGAAATGTTGGGCAAGTTTCCTTACTCTGCACGCTTCTGTTTACCTTGTAGTAAGTAGGAACCAGTTGTTAGTTGATTGGCGGATCACTTTTCCGCGGGTAATAATTCCTTCAAAAAAAATAATAATAATAAATTGGTCACTTCAATCCACAGCTGTTTGTAGAACACTGCTATGCGCAATTGGTGGCTGTGTTTTGCCCACAAAATATATACAGTCAATTCACTTTACAGTATATTCTGTGAAGCGCTTTGAGACATCTTGAAGACGTCTTGAAGAGCACCGCGAATGTTTAATGTGTACGAGAGGTACATGTATATACCGGCACTTTTACTGGGTACAAAAGGCAAAACACTTCAGGAGCTGGAAATCTGAAATAAGAAACAGAAGTTGCTGGGAACACTCAGCAGGTCAGGCAGCATCTACGGAGAGAGGAAAGTGAGTTAATGTTTCAGCTTGATGACCTTTCGTCAGAACTGGGTAGATTGCTTAGTGCACGTGTTTGCTTAGACAGAGTACGAGCTAAATGTGTGCAGTTGACTGTGAGTTTGCTATCACTGAAGGACAGGACCTACAGTGCACAGGGTGAGGCCTGGCTGCAAGACCAACCTACTGATACAGACTTTGCATAGCTGTTTGTGTCATTCACACCCTTCTGCCGTAAAGTATCAGGCGCAGGTTGGCAAAAAAAACAAGGCTTGCAGACCCCAGAGTGTGCAAGTTGGGGTTTAACCAGCTAAAACCACTTAATTCTCCACGTCCCATAGAGAACAGTCCAACAACAATAGCAACAACTTGTACTTATATAGCGCCCTCCACGCAGGGTAGCATCTCAAAGAATAGATTTGCTCCATACTTTGTATTGCCATTTGATGCGGGTGTTGACAGTGAGAGAGAAGAATAGCCAACTGCCTGACAGGGAGAACTAATCACCATCTCTGTTTCGCCGTCTCAAATTATTTGATTAATTTGTGCTAAAAGGTGTTGAGCTTGCAGTTGTAAGAAATGGGTTAAGTTGAGCATCATGGTAATTAATCATAATTAATCGTGTTGATTTTATTCTGCTTCTGACAAATGCCTTCCAAAGGGTGAGTAAGGCATGATAGTCAGTGAGTCAGGTTTAGTGGGTTTCTGACGCAGTCTCAATTGCAGCACATAAGGTTACGTTGACATGTGCCCTTTGTGCAGGAATTGCTTAGTAAAGTATCCTTCTGAATCATTTTCTTCAACGTGGGCACATATTTACTCTTTCTGGTCTTCCCCGCTTTGGGGTTTTTATCATGTTATAATAGCTGCTCTGCAAGAACATCTTTCAGCTTTAACCATTTCACTATTTACCATTAACTTGTTAATATACTGTAAAGTGAAATGGCTGTGTATTTTGTGGGCAAAACGCACAGCAGTGTCCCACAAACAGTCGTGGATTGAAGTGACCAATTTACTATTATTATGGAGTGTATTGCATAATAGTTAGAAAACTCATGTTGTCCAGGGAAGAATAGACAGAAACAAACAGTTGACAGATCTTCAATGTAAAATGACTATTAGAATAACTATCAGCAACAGAAGTAGGGTTTCAGCAATCCCTTCAATGAAAAAATAATAATAATTTGGTCACTCAATCCACGATTGGTTGTGGGACACTGCTATAGCACAAATGGCTGCCCACAAAGTATACAGTCAATTCACTTTACAGTATATACAACAAAGTGCTCTGAGACTCCTAGAAGACGTGATAAGGCACTATATCAAATGCAAGGATTATTATTATTATAACTATCCATTTACTGAAAACATTGTTCTCCATATTCTGTCCCCATGCTTGTATGCATAAGCTGCTTAAATACTGCTGTGTGTCTCTTCTTCCAGACACCCTCCTTGTTATTTTTATATTCAAGGTCTTTTTTGTACATGTGGATTACATATAACTGCAGAGTTTACACACAGAAATACATTACAGTCAGCCCCACATAAGTCCCATAAGTTGGGATCATACATTTAGTATGACTTATGCAAAGTATGAGTTATGTTAAACTTGCATGAAATATAAACTGTTGAATGGGACTTATTCATATATATATATATATGCCTTAGGTGATTATACGATTCATACAGATTACTATAAAAACCTCAAGAGCTAAATGACAAATAGAACCCTTTTTTATTGTTACATTAAAACTGCCCAACATTTAGCTCAAATTTTAAACATGATGAAAGTCAGAGAAGGGCCTGAATATACAGTATGAACAATCTTTTCCAGGATCTGAGCACCTGGTGAAATGCCTTCAAAATGGACAGGGTAGAAGGAAAGTGGCTTAATAAAGTCAGGTTAGCAGCCTGTTTTCTAACTTTGAACTGCCAGAAAAACTTAATTGCAGGCCAGCAGTTGGGTGGTGTAACTTTCAGAGCAATCCACACTCCCTAAATTGAAAACACCCTAAACTCAAGACTCACATCACCTGATTGCACCCGTATGACCATCTGTGCTTATCTGAGATGATGGGCGGGAATCAACAGGGCTCACAAACAGTACCGATGCAGCCGGCTACATTCACAGATGCGACCAAAAGAAGGACTCGAAAGCTAACAGCTGTAATATTAATGAGAACTGTCTAAAAGAAATGTGGCTTTTTTTTATTCAGCCAGATGTCTGTTACATATGGAAAACCACTGGCATCCTTAAGAGTGCCCAAGCCACACTGAGTGTTCCACAAATGCATCAGTACCGATGCATAGAAATTTCCCGTTTGTATGGAATAGAACATGCAGTCTCTCACTAGAGGGATGCACTCTGCTTACCTAATTCCAGAAAGCATTAGGCGCAGGTTGGCAGGAAGCAAAACTAGGGGCCCCAAATTATATGTTGGGAGTTTAAGCAGCTAAAGCTGCATTGCTTGCCACTGAGAGTAATGTATGGCAACTGTCCCACTACACGTTCAGCTACAATCACCCTATCAACCTATCCATTTGGGCTTTGGCTTGCAGGGTAACAGCAGTAGAATGGGAAGAACCTTGTGCCAATTTTTTCCCTCCAAGTCCAGTTGATGATCCAGGCTGGCTGGTCTGTCAAGATTGCTCTGGAGTACTGCAGACCTGCCTGACTCAGAAACTCAAATGCCAAAACCACCAAAAAGTATAGACTTGATTGCCAGGTACGTCAGTTAAAAGAGTTAACTCAACCTCAAGAAAACCCTACTTCTGAGCCTTCCCTCAGGAGGATAGTTATAAGATAAAGGATACATCCAAGTAAAGCAACAAGTTTTAAAAAAATTATAGTCTCACTCCCTTTTAGAACGTGTGTTTTTCTAAAAATTCTTCCAAACTTCTCTGCTAAAGACAGTGACTCATGCTGGGATAATGTTCCATAGACACCAGAGGTCATATGTAAACCTAGAGTGTTGGCAGCCTGTTATACCAGGGAGTGAGTGGGGGCGGGAAATGGCAGTGAAGTCTGATCTTGTTCTCACCCAACATCCAGCGGGGATCAGAGATCTCAAATGGAGACATTGAAGCCAATTCCAGCAGCAGCAACAACAACTTGCATTTATATAGAGGGCTGTGGAGTCCTGAGGCTCAGTGGATAGAGCACTCGCCTCGCAAGCAAGAGATCTGGGTTCGATTCCCGGCAGGGCAAAAACTTGGGCAAGTTTCCTTACTCCACACGCCCAATAATAATCCCTCAAGAAAACAGTAATAAATTGGTCACTTCAATCCACAACTGTTTGTGGGACACTGCTGTGCGCAATTGGCTGCCGTATTTCACCCACAAATATACATGCTGTGAAGCAGTTTTGAGATGTGAAAAGCGCTATATCAAGTGCAAGGATTATTATTATTATAGTGCCCCTCACACAGGGTTATGTCCCAGAGCACTTGGATCCTTGGCTGAGATTTGCAAACATTAAATAAGATACAGTGATCCAATTTTCCCCGGCTCATCATAATTTATTTGTAACCACAGCAACAAATTACATTTGTATGGTGCCTTTCACGTCAGAAGGAGGTCCCAAGGCCCTGGACTGTCAGGGATTTGGATCCAAGCAGGGGGTTGGGATGGGGAGGGGTGGAGGGCAGGGAAGGTAAGGGTACGGGGTGGAGGGTGACCGAAGACACAGTCGAAGAGGAGGGCCTTGAGACCGACGCTGATCAGTGGGGCCGAACGGCCAGTTTCCGTAACATCACTAAAGCATTAGTGGAGCCTAAAGAATTTTTTTTTAAAAAAATAGGAAGAAATCGAAGGACGAAAGAGATAGCGACACAACAGAGCCGGTGAACCCAACCCTGAGCCACAGTAATAATAATAATAATAATAATAATCCTTGCATTTGATATAGCGCTTTTCACGTCGGGAGGACGTCCCAAAGCGCTTCACAGAACACTGTAAAGTGAATTGACTGTATATTTGTGGGCGAACGCGGCAGCCAATTGCGCACAGCAATGTCCCACAAACAGTCGTAGATTGAAAATGACCAATTTATATTGTTTTGGGTTTTGGAGGGATTATTATTATTGGGCTGTGTGTGGAGTAAGGAAACTTGCCCAAGGTTTCGCCCTGACCTGTCTGGAATTGAACTCAGGTCTCTCGCTTGCAAAGCGAGTGCTCTAACCACTGAGCTACAGGACTCCCTGTATATATGGTTCTTACACCCACACAAGAAAACAAATCAGCTTTCTAATGCATCTCAGAATGAGAACAGATACATTGAGGACAAGGGCTTTCCAAAGCCTATGCCTTTTAGGTGAAGCAATCTAATGAGATCAGGAAACTTTCTAGACTTTCTAGAAATGAAATTGCGCACAAAACAAAAAAGTGGGAGACAGAACTTTCTTGGGAGTGAACTTAACTTTAGTTATAATAAACATTGAAAATATGTGAATGGTCCTTATATTCTCTTGAGTAACTTTGGGGTGTAGCAGCAACAACAGCAGCAGCAAAAAAAAAAGGTCAGATCCCAAAGAAATCCCAACCCAAATGCAGCCATTCCCTCCCTCCCCCCCAAAAAAAAACACACAACAACAACAACACACACACAGACACACAGACTGACTGACGCACTGTTATTCTCTTGTCAATCAGTGAATGAGTGACGTCGCACCAGCGGGAGGGGGCGGGGCGGGCGGGGCGGGAGTGACGGCCGGACGCAGCCAATGGGAAGAGGGGCTTTCCTTTTGACCGACGGGGCAGAGCGGCCAATGAGAACCGGTTCCGCCGCCGGCGGTGGTGGTGGTGGTGGTGGGCGGGGTTTGAGTGAGTGAGTGAGTGGTGAGTGGGTGAGTGGGCGGGGCGAGGGGCGGGGCGAGGGGCGGGGCGAGGGGGGCGATGGGCGGGGCGAGGGGAACCCACGGCCCCAGTGTAACCGTTTGCATCGGCCAATGGGGAGGGAGCGCGTGACGCCAGGAGTTGACAGCTGTTGCATTGTATCCCATTGGGGGGGGAGGGAGGGGGGAGGCACCGATTTACCCCTCCATCAGCCCCCGAGCAGCCGATTGCAATCGATACCCCCCCACCACCACCACCACCACCCACCAACTCAACCCCCCCCACACACAGGGCCGATTACGAATGGTGCCGAGTGCCGACCATGAGCGAGAGCGATCCGGGCGGAGGGGGCGCCCCCACGGCCCCTCTCTGCGCCTCTTTTAACCAGGACTGCACGTAAGGAGCCGCAACCTCTCATACACTCCTTCTCCCCCCCCCCCCTCGCCCCACCACCACCCTCCCCACTCCCCCCACTCCCCCCCACCCCCTCCCCCTCCCCCCCCCCCACCCCCCCACTCCCTCCACTCACTCTTCCCACTCCCCCCACCCCCCCTCCCTCTCCACCACCCCCCCCACCCCCTCCCCTCCCCCCCCCCCACCACCCCCCTCCCCTCTCCACACCCCCTCCCACTCCCCCACTCCCCCCCCACTCCCCCCCCTCCCCACTCACTCTCCCCACTCCCCCTCACCCCCTCCCCTCTCCACACCCCCTCCCCTCTCCACACCCCCTCCCCACTCCCCCCCACTCACTCTCCCCCACCCCCCTCCCCACTCCCCCCCCCTCTCCACACCCCCTCCCCACTGCCCCCCACCCACTCCCCCCCTCCCCACTCCCCCTCCCCACTCCACATACGTACACATACACACACACACACACCGCTTTTATTGTTTACAAACAGTTTCAGGAGTTTCTAAGCCGGGGGTTGGGGTTGGGGGGGGAATTTGTCACCATCCCTACTTCACTCACTCACTTCACTCACTTACTCACTCTCTCAGTCACTTCACTTCACTCACTCATCTGGAATCGATCCTAGAATCGATCCTACCCAGGAAAGGTTGGGAAAGGAAAAGGGGAGGTGGGGACAGGGGAAGGGAGGTGGGTGGGTGGGGGAGTTGTAAGGATTTTTGTGGAGGATTTACAGGGATAACCTTTGCCTTTTTACTGGTAGCCAAGTCCCTGAGTTACATAGGACAGGATATACAGACGAATATAATGCAGTGCAATGCTGGACACGTTTGCACATTTAAAGTTACAATTATGTTTCGAGCAGAGAAGTCGCTTCTCTGTAGCTATCCCCATCACATCCTTTTTGTGATTTTGTAAACCTGGATTAGATCACCTCTGCACCTTCTAAACTCCAGGGGAATACGGGCCCGGTTGAAACAACCCCAGTCCTCATTTAATTGCAACCCTAATTTAACCCTGTTTAAGCCCCGGGATCGTTCCGGTGCGGACGTAAATGACACGGCCCTTCAATTATAAATAAAATCAATTGACGTTCTGCGTGTTTCTCACCTCCGCACCACTCCTGGAGGTGCTAATCCTCGGTTAGGGGACGGTGCCATGAGTCCCAGCTGTCCGATGCCTTGCTCGAGTGGGCATTCTCCGTGTACAAGTTTAGACCGTGAGCGTCAACAGGCTATAACAACAACAACGACTTGCATTTGTATAGCGCCCGTCACGCAGGTGACGCACGTCCCAGAGCGCTTGACAGTGATGGAGCACGAAGCCGAGGGGGGAGGGGAGGTGACTATAGGCGCGGTCGAATAGGAAGGTCTTCAGGCATGTCCTGAAGATGGGGAAGGAGGTGGCAAGGCGTGGAACATCATTGCTGAGCCTGATATAATATAGAAAGCAATCAAGAATGTGTAGCATTGGCCTCCATTCACCTCCTTTTCACAGGAGTGCTGTGTCCAAATGTACAATTCTATCCCTGGCTGAGAGTGACAGGCCGTGAATCAAACCTGCATCCTTTTGATCTGTGTGGCTTGTTTTTTTTTAACCACAGAATGTTATTGATGGAGCTGGACTGCAGGCATCTTTCAACCACACTCCCGCAAACTAGGCAACGTATCTAGGTGTTACCGCCGAGGCTCGGTGAAGTCTGCTGTGAAGGGCACTATATAAATGCATGTTGTATTTTGTTGGTGGTGGTGCAGATGGGATGGAATCCTATGATTTTATGGGTACTTATGGACCAGTACTGCACCAAGCGATGAACAACTTGCATTTACACGGCGCCCTTCACGTGGCGTAGCATCTCTGAGCGCTTAACAGTGGTGGTGCCTGCTGTTGAGCCGGGGCGAGGGAGGAGGTGACTGTACACACGGTTGAAGAGAAAGGATTCGCGCGTGATCTGAAAATGCGGAAGGACGGGGCAAAGCGGAGGGATTGAGGGAGAGAGTTCCAAAGTTTTGGGGCGTAGTGGCTGAAGGCACGGCTGCTGATGCTAGAGCGGAGGGGATGAGGGACAATCAGGAGGCCAGAACCAGCCGAGCAGAGGCAGTGGTGGGGAGTAAGCAGGTCAGAGAGGTAGGGAGGTATCAGACATAAAGGGATTTGTCGATGAGTGTGAGGATCTGTTCTGTGATAAGGTGCCAGATAAGGACTGGTGTAATGGGGGTACGGAGTTTAGACCGGGTGAGTATGTGGGTGGCGGAGTTTTGAATTAGTTGGATTTTGATGATAGTGGAGCTGGGCAGACCGGCGAGGATGGTATTGGAACACTCACTAAGTGATCGAGGAAACCGGCTTCATTTTTCTTTTAATCCAACTGAGTTAGCTGATTCTTTTCGGTCCAGTGCTTTGACTGCACTTCCTGAAAGGCTGTTGCTTTCCAGTGAGTCAGCAGGTTACTGTAAAACATTTATGTCATGCGATTAGAATTATTTGTGTTTATTTGAATCCTCCCCATGAGTGTGATAGAGGACATCTTTCAGGTGAAAGTGTTGGCCTTTTGGCAACTTGATTAAAAGTTCAGCTCTGTTCCAGCAACATAGACATCACATTTAAAAATAACTAAATGACCAAAATGTGTATATAGCTTTTCAAACAGACTGCACACTCAAACCCATCAATGTACGTCACTTGGGATTATTTAAAATAATTCTGCTTTTTTAAAATGATAATTCTAAAATGATGCTTCAACCCACAGAACATTTGAAATTATTATTTGTTCAGAATACAATAACATTGACACATGTAGTTGATATAGCGCCTTGTCACATCATCAAAACATCTCAAAGAGCTTCATTATAAGGTGCAGCGACTGTGTATATGTAGGCATTCACAGGAACAAATTTGTATACAGCAATGTCCCACAAACAGCCATGAAGTAAATAACCAAAGACTGTTGGCTTGGGTACTGAACCTCACCTACTCACTTTGAATACATTTGTTTAAAGTCACAGGATCCTGTACCTTTTTCAACAATCAGCGTGCAAACTCCAGTAAGATTCACTGTCCCCCCTCCCTCGTCTTTCTTTAAATCCTGTCTAAAATCTACCTCTTTGACTGCACCTACATTGACTTCCCCATTTCCTCCTCCCCTCTTCCTTGGCTCAGGCTGACCCCCATTTCATCACGTGCTCTATAAATACAAGTTGTTGTTGGATTCAAATTGTAATCGAATCATTTAAGATAACATTCATTCTCTGATTTCCCCAAGCAGAGCATTGGGAACCCTGAGTTTTAGCCCTATATTCACAAAAGGCCAACTCTGTCTGAGACCTGTTATTTTTAATAATAATCCCTCCAAAACAAAACAATAATAGAATTGGTCATTTTCAATCCACGACTGTTTGTGGGACACTGCTGTGCGCAATTGGCTGCCGCGTTTCACGCACAAATATACGGTCAATTCACTTTACAGTCTATTCTGTGAAGCGCTTTGAGACGTCTAGAAGACGTGAAAAGCGTTATATCTAATGCAAGGATTATTATCATATTATTTAATCTTCTCTTTGCTCTGCAGATCTCTGGCAGTTGGTACAAGCTCTGGTTATAAACTCTTTTCTCTCTCTTCGGTGGACAGATTGGAAGAGATCTACAAATGCAGTGAGTGGCAGTTCTTTTATTGTTGTTTGTTTTCCCTCATTAAGAAACAGAGGGGAGAGGAGGATAAATTTTTTCACACAGTGAGTTGTTCAGATCTGGAATGCATTGCCTGAAAGTGTGGTGGAAGCCGATTTGATAACAACTTTTAAGAGGGAAGTAGATAATTATTTGGTGAGGACAAGTTTGCGGAGCTATGGGGAAAGAGTTGGGGGAATGGGAATGATTTGGAAGCTCTTTTCAAAGTGCCAGCACAGACACGATGGGCTGAATGCCTCCTTCTGTGTGGTATAATTCTATAATTAACCTTTGGGGACCTAGTAACATTGCGTACTTTAACACATGTACAGTCACAACTGAACACTCTGTCAAATGTAAGTGCACTTTGAGTGTAACTCAGAAGTTTTTTTAAAAAAGGCAGAGGCTGCAGTATTCTCCTCTGTGTGTGTCTTGGGTGAATGATGGAAATTGTGTCACATTGGAAAATGTGAGATGAGGATAAATTTTTTCACAGTGAGTTGTTCAGATCTGAATCCAATTGCCACATTGAATCCAATTGCCACCCAGTAATAATCTCAGTAATAAGAAGCAATTGTCACAAAGAGTTGCAGAGTTTTGTCTGCCTGGTGAAATGGAAATGGTTTTATACATAGTGAGGGCAATAATACGTCCTGTAGTGTAGTGGTTAGAGCACTCGCCTCGGAAGCGAGGGGATTTGGGTTCAATTCCGCACAGTTTCCTTACTCCACACACTTCCATTTACCGAGCAGTAAATAGGAACACGTTTGTTAGTCAATTGGTGGATCGCTTTTCTGGCGGTAATAGTCTCTTTTAAAAAAAATTGTCAGTCAATCCATGACCATTTGAGGGATGCTCGCTGTGCGCAGTTGGCTGCCACGTTTCACCCACCAAATATACATTCAATTCAGTATATTTACAGTATTTTCCATGAAGCGCTTTGAGACGTCTGGAAGACTTGATAAAGTGTTGTTTCAAGTGCAAGGATTATTATGATGGTGTCAGGGAGGTTACATTCACTGTGTTGGCAAGATACCAGATCTCAGTAGGAGCTGTCTTAATTTATACTCACAAGGCTAAAAAAAACAAGACATTGGGAATCCAGAACCCATCTTTGTTCATTTTGAGGTCTGATGACTCAGTTTTAATGCAGACAATTCAGCTGTATTACAGACGACATTGCATGCCTATTATAATGATAATCAGACTCACAAAATACAGGGAAACAGTTGTGGTTTTATCTATCCGGCCAATTCTGGACGTATAAGGAGAATATTTGACCCTTCCAGTTACCAGTACCAAGAAAAGCAGAGATAGGTTGTTCATTTGTTTCCACTTCTACCCTGGACTGCCGTCAAAAGCAGCTGACAAGCTCCCAATAAACTATTGGGTAAACATCCTGGCATGTGCATCACTACGTCATGTGGACTAGAAGTTTGCAGGTTCAAATCCTGATCCGTGCTGAATTTCCTGACCTTATTCAGGGCAGCTTTTGGGGATGCTTGAGTTGGCCTCAGCTGAGTAAAATCCGGCATGGTTCGTCTCTCCTTTGTTATCCAGTGACTCCTGCAGCAGACGTGGGACTGCTGATGAAAACGGGAGTGGGTTCACCTTGATTCCCTCCCTTTTCCCCGCCCCCTCTTGTGGGCTGCCGATACTCGCTGTCAAAAATTTCACAGGTTTAAAATAAAGGTTGATTCCTGCGGAAATGCAGCCCAGCAAGTACTCGACAAATTTTAGGACCGGGAGGGCTGGAGAGAAGAATTCAGTCAGCCCACCTAGTAATAGGTTAAACCTTGGGTGTGGATAAGTGCGAGGTGGTTCAGATGGAAACAGGGAACGTGCATTCAATGAGTGAGCATCTGTTAGAGGTACGAAACCTAGGTTCAAGTTTGACCATCGCTTTGTTTCACACAGGAAGCACGGGCCCTAGAGATAGGCGCTAGAGGATGTCCAATAACTGTAAAACCACACTCCAGCGATTTTGGTAAAGGAGGGGTGGGGGAGGAGCGGAATTGAAAATGACGAAATCTCATTTGATGTCGAAACCAGGAATGGCATCAGTAACAGACATTGGCATTGAGTTCCCACCACCCCATGTTTTGTTGGAATGTTCTTCATGCAGTACATGGTGTTCAAGGAACTTTGCTGCTTTTCAAACCGTTTGTTCTGAGATCTAAGGGAAGTGTTCTTAGATCCACGTAGTTCTTTTCTTTCTCATTGTCAATGTCGCTCATTGCTTTATCCTGCACCTCATCACGAATGGTTTCTCGTTTCCTCCTAGCTTTTCACGGTCTTGCTCCCTCCTACCTCTCTGACCTACTGTCCCCCTATCTACCTGCCCGTACCCTCCGTTCCTCTGGGTCTGGTCTGCTCCACATCCCCCGCCCCAACCGCCTTACCATCGGTGGCCGGGCCTTCAGCTTCTCAGCCCCGAGGCTCTGGAACTCTATCCCCCAGTGCCTTCGCCGCCTCCTCCCTTTCCTCCCTTTCCTCCTTCAAGGTCGGTCTCAAGACCTTTCTCTTTGACCGTGCCTTCAGCTCCCCTCTCGACTCTCTAACCTCTCCTCGCTCCCTCCCTTCCCTCCCCTCACCCTGACCATTTCCCCCCCAATGCTCGGGTCCTGACCCAACTGTCCAGCGCTTTGGGACGTCCTCCCGACGTGAAAGGCGCTCTATAAATGGAATCTTGTTGTTGTTGTTTTCACCCTTAACGCTCATTTGCTCCTTATTTGTAAAGAAAGTTGCAATGCCTGGAGCACAGAAGGGCATTTCACCCACAGTATATACAGTCAATTCACTTTACAGTACATTCTCTGAAGAGCTTTGAGATGTCTCAAAGATGTGATAAGGCACTGTATCAAATGCAAGCATTATTATTATTAAAAAAACTTGAAGGTTAAGAGGCGTAATTGTGAGTGAAACATTAGGATCTATTTTACAGGATTTCTGAACAGGATTTCTTAAGAAAAAACATTTACTTCTTTAGTAGAAGAAGGTCCTATCTCAGGAAGCCACAAAGTGAACCAGAGGTAGATTGGAAATTTGATTGGTATTTCCTGCTAATTGACTCGAATTCTTCACGAAGGAGTCCTATTAAGAAATCCCGCAAATTAGACTCAGTCGTGTATGGGGCCAGGAAGCTGTAGGAGACTAAATGGTGAAGAACTATATGATAAATATGGTTAAGGACTAGATTAATATGACTTCAAATTCTGGCTACCGTACACTGCACAGACATACCGCGGCCACAAGGAGCTCTCAAGGCCTGTTTTACTTTCTTGAACATTTCTACTTTCGAAAGCAACTAAACTCTTTGGGATTGAGTTAGTGAGTATTCCAGAAATCTTTAATGAATGTCAATCCCTAGTTTTCCTTCCTCACAATACTTTCAACTTTAGGCAGGAAGTACTAACCTTGTCATATTTGCCTCTCTTCAAGATAAATAATTGTCTGAACTTTGGAATGAAAGGCCACTCGGGTAAACACATGAACGATAAATTGAGATCACTTGTAAGAGTATAAGAAGCTTTAAACTGACAGCAAAAATGATATCTATTCCCATTTCCTCGCACCACTTCTGGCAATTGAGCCAATTTGCTGAGCAGGCAGGTTCACATTGCTCCAGAGCAGAGCTGGTAACTACCAGCCTGCCTGGTCCATCGGTCAATCTCGGAATAGGGTATAATAGGGTGTTTTTAAGAAGTTCCTGGGAATGAGATTCTTCCAGATGACACAGCAACTGAATCCCATTATACGTATGATGGTCCTTGTAGGAAATGCAGGAGGTATCCTGGTTCCTTGTGGTTACTTCATGAAGCCCAAAAGAGAACTGAATAAAAATACTAGAATATTCATCCAGCCCATACCACTAGTTTTCATTGCTGAACTCTCTTCCAAGGATCTCATCCCCCTCCTCCAGTATGTCTGTGTGAAGTATTTTACCTTTGAAGCCTATACCTATCCCCTGTAGCCAATATCCCCATCCGTAGCCCTACATTATAGATAACCTTTTTTTTAAGAAGTTATCTAACACAGCATTAAATATGTTTCCTTTTAACAAGGAACAACAACAATAAATTGCCTTTACAAAGCGTATTTCAAGTCTGGAGGACGTCCCAAGACTCTGGATGAAGATCTGGTGATGGAAGGGATTGAAGGAGGCCATCTGGCCCATAGCCTCTGCGCTGTTAAGTGCTCCGAGATGCTACCCAACATGAAGGGCGCTATATAAATGCAGGTTGTTGTTGTTGTGCTTCTCAAAAGATATTCAACTTCTCTAAGGAGGTCTTAGAAATGTCACCAGTTGAAAATGCAACCATTTCTCCTGCAAAATACACAATGACTACAATGTGCTTTCATATGTTTCTATATTAACAATAAAGGTAGGATGCAAGCTGCTCAGGTAGGATAGATTACGATTTTGTTGCATTTTTTTAATGGTTTGTCAGCAGTTATGTTCCATAGTTGGATGGCTCACCAATGTCAGGCTGGCTTGAAAATGCTTCTAAAGTGTGTAACGTTCTCGATCTCTCGCCCCCACACAGCAGACACACCGGATGTCTACATTGTGGAACGGCTATTCTCCAGCAGCCTGGTGATCATTGTCAGCCTCTCAGCTCCACGGAAGATGAATGTTTATCATTTCAAGAAAGGGACGGAGATCTGCAACTACAGCTACTCCAATACAATCCTGACCGTTAGGCTCAACAGACAGGTAATACCTCTGTTGCGCTAAAATAATCCTTGCATTTGATATAGCGCCTTGTAGCTGTCAATAGCCATGAAGTGAATGAACAGGTTTATTTAGGGGATTGTTGGCCATTATATCGGGAGAAACTCCCTTCTCCTTTCGAATAGTACCGTGGGATCTTTACTGTTCACCTGAACTGGGACAGACGGGTCCTCGGTTGTCTCCTCTATAAGTTAAACAAGGAATATATCCCCCCCACCTCCCCCTCCACATCAGTGCTTTGGTATAAATGGTGGAAATTATAATGTGCAAATATTCTAAACCCATAATTTCTACCACATTCACCCACAAAATATCCAATTTACACTATATCCTGTGAAGCTCTTTGAGATGTTTCAGTGATGTGATAAGGCACTATATCAAACTCAAGGATAATTATTATTATTATTATTTGGCCCTGGATTCTCAGCTGCAACTTCTGTCCCAGAAGCCGTTTTGAGCTCCGGGTAGTTTGTGACTTTGCTTTTTTTATCTCGGCAGAGGCTGGTCGTGTGTCTGAAGGAAGCCATTTACATTCACAATATCAAAGACTTGAAGTTACTGAAAACCATTCAAGAAATACCACCAAACCCTACAGGTGAGTAAGGTATATCACCCAAAGTCAATGGATGGGTGGGAGCCAAGCCATAGGGGCACTGATGCTGGACCTGGGAGATTGCTTTGTGTCACTCCACAAGGAAGAGTGTCAGTTATTTTATTCCAGTGCTGTTTATTTCATGTCCGGGATACCAGCACTATTCGAAAAGAGTCACACGTTTCTTCCTGTGTCCTGCAAATCCCTCAAATAAATCGGTCACTCAGTCACTCCATGGTTAACACCTTATCAAATTGCAAGGATTATTATCGTTCTTGCCCATAGTTAATGCCTCAGTTGCAGACAGTATAAAACATTGGGCATACATGGATGCTGTTTTGGTAGAGGAAAAGGAACAAAAGTGATATAACGTCTGGTCTCAAATACGAGTTGTTCTTCCAAATGATCATTAATCATAATAATGCACTTATGGCCAACTTTGCAATTGGCAGCATGTCAGCTCCGACCCTTTGCTATACAGAAACATGCACCTCTGTACAGGAAGGAGTTCACAAGCTGGGCAGTTTGCGAACTTTTGTTAGCTTGCCAGCAACGTTCTAGAGGGCGTAAATTTGGCCTGATATTCTGGCACTGCTCTACTGATCACTCTTTAGGTCAGGCACAAGGAGACAGACTTATCTGTAATTTAAGAGCAGAGAGTGTACTCAGTCCTTTGTCTCAATTCTAGTGCAAGAGAAATTAACTTAAGTGCAAGCTGCTGTGAAGATACTGGGTTTGCCAGTAGTTCCAGAGAAATATCAATGAAACGTACTCCCCAGGGCACCATGTGCTCTGATACTGGGATAATGGGAACTATTCATTAATATGCCAAGTATATTGGGTGTAACTTGCTCTTTGCTGGCTTACTATGCACATAATACCAGCAGGTGGGATGGACCCGGATTCGTTCCCTGTAAAGGACACATCCCCGTCTGTGCGGTTTGCATGTCCTGTCAGTACCACTACCTCTGATCGACTTATAATGAAACCAGAACCTTGTAAAATGTGGCATCGAAAGAGCAGATCATAGAGGTATAAAAAGGGATTCACCTACTGTACACATAAGAAAAAAATCATTACTGCCCTACAGCAATGAAAAGAAATGTTAATTGCCAGCATTTTCACTATGACTATCACACATAATTACAGTCAGTCTCTGTGCACCCCAAGCTATCGTTTCCAAGTAACATATGTGGCCTTTGTTCACACTCTATCCTTGTGTCCTCAGTTGTAATCGTACTGCTGGGCACAACTGGCTGCCACGTTTCAGCCACAAAATATAGTCAATTCACTTTACACTATATTCTGTGAAGCGCTTTGAGACAACGTGATAAGGCGCTGTATCAAATGCAAGGATTATTATTATTACTGCTCACAATCTCAACTCATTATAGTACTCTTAGTCAACACTAACTACTGCCTCGTATATTTATAGTGTAAAACCTTGAAAACCCACCCTGGGTGTGTAGGAGTTCCAGGGATTAAGTTGTATCTCAGCAACGCAGTCAAAAGCAAGGCTCTTCCCAAACAGTTTTCTGGAGTAGAATCTCCCCATTCTCATCATAAAGCCTGTTATACACCATACATCAAAATCCAAGCTATCAGTTGGCACTTTATTTATTACACATCCTAATCTACTGAGCATTGAACCAAAGAAATGTACAACACAGTAGGAGGCCATTCAGCCCACTTCTTCACAGCAGTATCAGTTAGCATTGTCCTTGTTACAAAACCGCTCTCATTATCAGTCTCTTTGTTGTAGGATTTATCACGGTCATAAAACCATTGGAAGGTGACTTTGTGCTTAATGCATTTAGTGCTGGTTAATGGTAGCTTTACTGTCTTGTGCCCTTTCGTATAGTGTATAAGGGGTTTGGCTTTGTTGATCTGTGGATGGATGTGTCTCAAAATCAATCGCTGTACAGAACAATCTTGTTATAACATGCTTCACCATATTATTATTATTATATGTATGAAGCACCTTTGACATCCCTTCACAAAGGACATAATGACTCCTTACTCCACATACCTCTGTTTATCTAGCAGTAAGTAGGAGCCCGGTTGTTAATCGATCAGCGGATTGCTTTTCCAGAGGTAATAATTCCTGTGCGCAATTGGCTGCTGCGTTTCGCCCACAAAATATACAGTCAATTCACTTTACAGTATATCCTGTGAAGCGCTTTGAGACGTCTACAATAATAATAATAATCCTTGCATTTGATATAGTGCTTTTCACGTCTTCTAGACGTCCCAAAGCGCTTCACAGAATATACTGTAAAGTGAATTGACTGTATAATTGTAGGCGAACGCGGCAGCCAATTGCGCACAGCAATGTCCCACAAACAGTCATGGATTGAAAATGACCAATTTATTATTGTTTTGTTTTTTGGAGGGATTATTATTAGGCTCTGTGTGGAGTAAGGAAACTTGCCCAAGGTTTCGCCCTCTGCCTGGAATTGAACTCAGGTCTCTCACTTGCAAAGCGAGTGCTCTAACCACTGAGCTACAGGACTCCAAGACGTGATAAGGCGCTATATCAAATGCAAGGATTATTATCATTATTATTATGTCTGCAATATCATATGTCAATCTCTAACGTCTCTTCCTTGTTTCTCACAGGTCTCTGCGCACTTTCCATCAATCATTCCAACTCTTACTTGGCATATCCTGGCAATGCCACTATAGGAGAGATAGTGATTTATGATGCAAATAACTTGGTGAGTCAGTGTTGAAGTGGGGACTGGTGAGGATTTGTCTTCTTCATCAAAATAATATCAAGGCATAAAGATTAACCCTGGAGAGAGAAAGAAAATGGAACTTATTAAGTTGTTCATTAAAAGTTAATGACAAGGATTAGTAGGATAAACAGCGTCTTGGAGGAGAGACGCCTGGCCAATGCAAACATAGAAGTATAGATATGTCCTCAGTGCTGTAAGAGATCCTCCTCTTTGACCATGCTTTCGTTCTCCCTGCTTCCCCTCTGCCCTCTCCCACCCCAACCCTCAGCTCGGATCCGTAACTCTATCTGTCCAGTGCCTTGGGACGTCCTTCTGACGTGAAAGGCGCTATACACATGTAATTTTGTTGTTGTTCTTGTTGGAAGATAAATTTTTAAAGGTTAGGATGATCCTAGTTGGAAAGAAGTTCAGTCATGTTCCCAGCACAGACAAGATGGGCCAAATGACCTTCCTCTGTTCTCTAAATTTTTATGTCTCCATCATAATAATCCCTCCAAAACCAAAAACAATAATAAATTGGTCATTTTCAATCTACGACTGCTTGTGGGATATTGCTGTGCGCAATTGGCTGCCGCGTTCGCCCACAAATATACAGTCAATTCACTTTACAGTGTGTTCTGTGAAGTGCTTTGGGATGTCCTCCCGACGTGAAAAGCGCTATATCAAATGCAAGGATTATTATTATTATTGAGTGACCACACTTCTGTGGGGTAGAAGTGTTTCCACCAGCCCTTTGATGATGTACGATACTCCATTTAAAGGCCCAAAAATTGTAGAAGATCGCCCATTGAGGTCAACCAGATTCAGGTGATTGGTGAAGCCATCATTCAAGCTCAAGCCCTCTGAATGGGAGTCTGGTGTCTGCTCACTGGAGGTGCCCAGGTAACAGGGAATTCTGAGTAGAATGAGGACCGTTCGATGACTCGCGGTTCCAATCTGAGAGCAACCACCCTCCCCCAATATCATATTCATGTAATGAAAATAATTTTTGCAAAGAGGAAGTATTGCAGTTTCCTTCCACCCAAAAAAAGTTTCTTCCTCTTTCTCCCCTCCTTTCCTAAAGCCACCCGAGCCATGTAGTGTAAGGTTCTGAAGTTGCAGGCCACTCAAACCTCACTCAAGTGACTGTTCTCTACTTGCTAGAGTGGACATTGCAATTCAGCACAGGAGTTTATGATCCCCTCCTTCCCCAGCATATCCAGATGTCAGCAGGAGTCATTAGGTTTAGTAGAAACTTTAGCTGATTCTCCCCTTTCCTTGGTTCATTGAGGCTGGAGGCACTTATAGCATTTCCACCCAATCAGGGTAAATAATAAATAAGTATTTAATAATCCTTAACTGTGCTCAGGAAGAGGCAAGGTTCCAACACCTCTGCTCGGGTCCTTAATCCCTGACTGTCCAGCGCCTTGGGACGTCCTCTTGACATGGAAGGCACTATACAAATGTAATTTTGTATTGTATTGTATGTACAATCTAAAGCTTCCTTGGTGCACTGGGATTATATGATGGCTCCTTTCCTCCCCCTTCAGAACAACATTTCAACAATCCTGGCACACGACGGCTCTCTCGCTGCACTAACCTTCAACTCCATGGGCTCAAGACTGGCCAGCGCCTCTGAAAAGGTCAGCACAAAGTCTCGCCACTCGCGCTCCTAAATGCAAACGGAAAGGCTTCTATTGGAAGGCTTCAGTTATAGTGTTAACGCAACAGCCACCCTGCTTTACTTTCCTGAACAAGCCCATCAACCCCATCCTCGCCAAGCTCCATCCACTCCTGTCTTCCCCAGCAGGTCAGCTTCAAGGTCCTCATGCTTATCTTCAGGGACTTGCCCCAGGTAATCTCTATGAACTCCTTTGGTCCCAATCCCATGTCCAAGCCCTCCGCTCCTTGAACTCTGGCCTGTTTCATGTCCCCCGCACACCCCTGTCCCACCATTGATGGGTGAGCCTTCAGCTGCTTTGGGCCTCACCTTCCCCCCACTCAACACGCCTTCAAAACTCCACAAAATAGTCACTTTTACTGCCCCTTCAGCAACAAATAAACACATTGTAAAGTGCTCTAGAGTTGGTTCATCTCCAGTGATGTGGCAGTGCATTAAAATTCGCTCACTCTGCTTGTCCCACAGGGTACTGTTATCCGTGTCTTCTCTATCCCCGAGGGACAGAAACTCTATGAATTCAGGAGAGGAATGAAAAGGTAATATAGTAAAACTCGCATATGTTGTATCAGTGGGGACCATAACATTTAATGTGATTTGCACAAAATCCAAGTTAGAGGAAAACTTGTATAAATCGTATAAAATCCGTTTTAATAAATAATCTCCACTCCGTAAGCGTAATTCACTGCAGCCGGTTTTCAACGAGAAATCTCCTTCACCCGACCTCCTGGTTTGGAATCTTTTACGTATGATCTGCCTCATTCTTCCACATTTAAACAGTTCCCGGTACGCAGGAAATTGTTTATGTGTTGGGGCAATGCTTGCTGGGTTATTCACCCAACTTTACTTCGTGACGTTGAAACCCTTTCTTTTTCCTGGCAACAGGTACGTAAATATTGGCTCATTGGCATTCAGCAGAGATTCGCAGTTCCTGTCTGCATCCAGCAACACTGAAACGATTCACATCTTCAGACTTGAAGAGCCCAGTCAAAGGTAATAATAACCCTCGCATTTGATACAGCGCCTTTCGTCTCAAAGGCTCGTTAGATTCACTGTGAAGGGTGGTGACTGCCTATTTGTAGGCGAGGGCACCAGATGGTTATGCACACAGCAATGACCTGCCAACGGCCCATGAAGCGAATGATCAGTTTTATCAAAGACCTTCCTCTTTGACTGCGCCTTCGGCCACCCTTTCCCCCTCTTGATTCTAACTCCCAATTCGGGTGCAAACCCTTGACTGCCCAGAGCCCTGGGACGTCCTTTTGATGTGAAAGGTGCTTATAAATGCCATTTGCTGCTGTTGTTGATTTTTGGCCAGGAATGTTGGAGGCAAGAAACTCCCTTCGCAGTCTCATTGCTGTCTCTGCAAATGCATGAAGAATGGTCGCTTAGGTGATAGTAATCAAAATAATAATAATAATCCCTGCGTTTGAAATAATTTGAGACGTCTCAAAGCGTATCACAGAAAATATTGTAAAGTGGATTGACTGTGTATTTTGTGGGCAAAACCTAAGGTTTGCCAGCGCTCAAAAAATACTCCCCCACCACCCCCTCCGACAAGAGTAAGCGATTCTGGGTGAGGAGGAGAAATTTGGGGGAGGTGGGGGAGGAAAAAAAGGGGCAAAGTAAATTGAACCGGAGTTCACAAACTGATTCTTGCTGAGATTAAAAGAGTCTGTGAGGTGTGGGAAATAATGGGAATTTGCAGGAATAACGCAAATATCAAATAGTCTTAAATAAATAAATCAACTTAAGCAAGTCAACCGTTCTCTTGGAGCTATTATTAGAACTAAGCAAAATAATTATTTTTGGTAAGCAAAATAATCGAGCTATTTAGAGACTAAGTAAAATAATCAGTTGCTGGTCAAGACTGTACAGATATAAAATCCCCCTGATCTCACCCTCACTCTGCAATGTTATTCTGGCTCTTTTATGTAAGGTTTACTCAGTAATTCTCTCCGTGCCCCCTCGCCCTCCTTCCCCCCTACTTCCCCTATCTCCCTCAAGTTGCCTGTGAAAATGTGAACCAATGTTTTCTAGTAAAAAAATTCTAAAGCTGACGAAAAGCATTCGCCAAACTTTGCTGCAATACATTTTGTTCACCGCTTGGTGACACCACAAGCCTCCTGCTTCATGTCCAAAGTAAAGTCCAGTCTCAGTACAGGTACCGTGGGACCAGTAGCATTTACTCAGGCACGGTTTTATCTGAATTACTTCTGAACGTCATTCGAATAGTAAACCTGGCACAAGCTTCGATCCTCCGAAGCAAAAAGAAAATGGTGTCAGTCTGGCTCAGCTCGTAGCACTTCTAGCTCTGAGTCAAAAAGGTTGTGGGTTCAAGCCCCATGTAGTCTAAACTGACACACTCTGCCTTGTCAAAGGGGCCGCACTTCAGATGAGATGATAAAACGAGATCCCATCTGTGCCTGTTCAAAGATGGACGTTAAAATCCACAACCATTCGAAAAGAGAAGGAAAGTTTTTCCTTATGTCCTGGCCAACAATCCCATAGATACAAATGTGGCTCACTCGTTCGTCTATAAATACACAATTAGTGCACAGTAAATCCTGTGAAGCGCATTGACTTGATAAGATGCTGTATCAAATGCAAGATTCTTAAAAATTAAAGGTCAATGTATTTGAGGAAATGATTTGCACTCATGGCAACTCATTGAGAATCTCAATGAATTATACCAGGCCCCAGGAGGAGTCCCCAACATGGAGTGGGTACATGGGAAAGATGTTCATGGCAGCCACCAACTACCTCCCTACCCAGGTATCGGGTATGATGAGCCAGGACCGAGCCTTTGCCACAGTGCGTCTCAACTTTTCGGGGCACAGAAGCATCTGCATGCTGGCTATGTAAGTAGAAATTAATTGGAAGGGTTGGATGGAACCATAAAGCCCTAGAAACTTACAGCACATGTGAAAGCCATTCGGCCCATCGTATCTGCGCTGGCTTTTTTAAGAGCGTTCCTTTCAGTCCCGATTACTTGCCTTTTCCCCATATTCCTGTGGTTTACTCCTTTTTAGATCTCTATCTGGCTCCCTTTTTGCATGGTTTTATCGCTCATTTGTAATGGTGCAAGCATTACACAGTGGCTTTCCGCATGTTGGCAGATCTTTCATGCAAAACAACTCCAGGGAATGGTAACACAAACTGAATTGTCCAGTTTCAAACCTGATTTCAGTGTCAATGTAAAATAGCCCAGGGAGTGAGGAAGTAACATTTCCATAAGCGTAGCGTAACGCGATTATTTAGAAAGAAAATGTCAGTGGTGTTAACGTGACCTGACCTTATCAGCACCAATTTTAGGCTGCAGGTTAACAAGTGTAATTAACTGTTTAGATGCCAGGCCACAATTTAAGACCAATGCTGATCAGGTTGTGGTCTGTATTATTTTCATATTTAACAGTATGTTAATCAGTGTTAATTGGTGGATTGTTCTGTTACGCAGGATTCAGAAGTTACCTCGGCTTCTGGTTGCTGCCTCTGACGGATTCCTCTACATGTATAATCTGGACCCTCAGGACGGTGGGGAATGTGTTCTGGTAAAGAAACACAGGTGTGTGCGCAACTCGTGGAGTCCCGTTGCATAGTGGTTAGCGCGCTCGCCTTGCAAGCGAGAGGACCCGGGTTCGATTCCCGGGCTGGGTGAAACCTTAAGCAAGTTTCCTTACTCCACAGGCCTCTGTTTACTTAGCAGTAAGTAGGAACCCAATTGTTAATCAATTGGTAGATCGCTTTCCGGGGGTAATAAACCCCCCCCTCCCCCCACACATACACACACACCACACACACACACACACACACACACACACAAAAGGTGTGGCCACTCAATCCACGACTGTTTGTGGGACATTGTCTAGCACAATTGACTGCCACATTTCGTCCACAAAATACACGGTCAATGCACTTTACAATATATTCTGTGAAACGCCCATCAAACAGCCTCTTAAAAGGAAGCTCGTCATCTTAGATACAGAATGTTCCCAAATATTGTTGCTGCAAAGATTGTTACTGAGTGTGAAACAGCATGAGGCTTGATTGGAAATTCCTTTTTGGGCTTTTAATGAATTTCAGTGGCCTCGGATAGGCAGTTGTTCACGTTGGCTCTCCCCTGACAAAAGAGCTTGTTATGTGGCAGAACTGGCCCAGGCTTCCTGCACGCCCCACTTTCCATATCACTTACAGAAACTGGAAGCGTTTCAAATCTGACGTGGCTCGAATCTGAAGACATTTTAAAAACAATTATTAGCAGGTGTGTCACAAAGCTGTACTGTCTGCTCGAGTTCAAGGGGAATGTATATAACAACAATAGTCACATGGAATTTCGATGCCTGTAACATCAAAGCATTGTAATGTAATTAATTGCGGTTTTTTTCGAAGAGAGCCACAGGTTCTTTAACATCACTTGCAGTTCCTTCCCCAATGTAGCACAGGCGGAGCAGGCCATGACGGACAAAATAGCCTCATCCTGTTCCTATATTCACTATATTTGGGCAATTTGGGCTAATTCTTCCCATCCAAACAGCGGTGTTCTAATAATGATGCAGTTTAACATCAAAGAGCTCGATGAATGGGGATTCGAGGATATGAACCTGGTGTTTGCCCACTCTGTGTGGTGCTGCATTGGACACCCCGCAAGAGGCGCTGTTATTTTGACGTGTCAGGCTGCCACACTTTCTCTTCATTGCATTCATTCGTTCGTTCATTCATTCAATGGCATAGGTTGCACAACGACGAAGACGACGACGAGAAGGATACTACAGAACTCGACTCGGAGCCTCCCGCTTTGCCGTCCTACGCGGCAACTGTTGCCAAAGTCAGCTCCGTGCCTTCGTCATCATCATCATCAACACCAGGTGACTGCAGTAAACTCATGATAACGCGTCACTCCGAGGGAAAGGGGTTCAGTGACGAGTTGCCCGGCGTGGCGAATTAGGCATTGGTGTCAATACATAATGAACTATTATTTGGTCACTTAATCCTCGACCATTTGCAGGACTTTGCTGTTCTGCCGCGTTTCGCCCACAAAATGTACAGTCACTCCACTCGAAGACGTGATAAGGCGCTATATCAGATGCATGGATTACTATTATTACTAATAAATGTGGCCAGGATCTTGACCGCTTGATAATTGGTAGCAGCAAGCAAATTATTATTTTAACTTCCGGTTCCCAGGATACTCTGAGGATGGTGGGGCTCTACGAGGAGAGATTATCCCGGAACACGAATTTGCTGCTGGACCACTGCATCTGGACGACGAGACAGAATTCCCTCCTGTGAGCATACAGAATAACTAGAGCCTGAGCCAGGCCTTAGCCATTCGCAATGAGGTCGGCAAGTGGTAATGTGGAAACTCAGAAGAAAATTCTTCACCTTTGTTCTACAGGGAAAATTCTACCTTGCACCTCATTTTTAATTAAGCCTTTAAGCAGCACAGTAATTTTGCTGCAGTGCATGACCAAATATCTCTCAAGATTCAAAATAGTCTTTTTTTTAGGTTTGCTTATATTCTATCCCCTGCCTTTGTGTGATATTGACAGACAGATGGCTATAATGTGATTTTGTTCTGTCACAAATCAGCTTGTTTTCATCAACTTCAGGCACACTTCAACCCGTGCGTTCATCAAGTGTCAGATTTTATCGGATCAGAGGCCAGAAATTCCACCTGGTCTTCGCCCGTGAGGCAGGTTTTGTCCAGCAAGGTGTGAAAAAAAATCTTAAAATCAGTCCGAGTTTGGAAGCTGCTTTTTTTTAAAGATCTGCGGGAAGAAAGCAGTTTCCGAATTAAAATTGAACTTAAGAATTTTCCACGATTCTGGGCACCTTCAGACAAAAAAGGTCTCGCAGGCTAAGGCAGGGTGGAATTGCTGACCACAGGAGAGCTTCACTGAACTCTTATTACACTGATGCTGGAAGTAAACAGTGAGAAAAAATTCCCCCTGGATCTAGATTTACTCTTTTAACACAGCATTTTGCCTGCAAAATACAGTCAATACACTTTACAAAACTTCTGAGTCATCTGCTTTGTTTTGCTGAGTTAAGAAATTAGAGACGACAGACTCTTAATGGAACCTGCCTCAGCATGTATTTACCGTTAACATAGTACACGTGACACGCTTTGAGATGTCCTGCCGATGTGAAAGGCGCCAATATCAATTGTAAAGGTTAGCATTATTATATTATTTCAGAAAGTTCAGGCTTCATCAAATTCTCAATTTCAAAGCCGTTTTTTCCTCAGTAACTTTCTTTTTAAGGACTGCGGAAAAACAGCTTCAAAGTTAAAACTGAATTAGACAATTCACAAATTTCTGCGCGCTCTTAAACCCTGTGTAAATCTGGGCCCGGCCTATTATGCTACATGGTAAATACATACTGAGACAGGTTCTGTTCGTGTCTAATTTCCTAACTCAACAACCACAAATCAAATGATTCAGGGGCTTTGTCTGTTTCTCTATCCTCAAAATATCCCAAAAACCCCTTATTTGAACTTTGGCCACACTAACAATGTTTATGTCGTTTTACAGCCCACTGATGAGATCCAGAACTATTAAGTGAGACATGGTGGCTATAAAATAGGAGTCAATCAATACAAAGAATAGTCTATGAGTGATGCAATCACAGTCAGGAAACAAGCTGAAAATTCCCATGTTAAATAACATCCACTCGCTGTATAATTTACCCCGCGCATCTCAACATCAGCATTTTTTGCTCATTCTTGTGAAACCAGCTTCTGTAAGTGCACTTCACAAACAAGTACAAGTAACTGATGAACTCAGCCCGTTGGCGTGGAAAGCAGCCAGACTTTGTGCACTTAACATGGCTCCATTGTGTTCAGCGGACCTCAAGGTTGCTTTTGGGGGTAGAAAATTGCTTCCTTTACGTTATTCTAACCCCACCACTACTCACTTTTCAGAAGCTGTTAAAGTGATTTGAATCCACGGCTTCGTACCTCTGCGCTCACACACACATACACACACACACACACACAAACAATCCTGACCTTCGATCAACCCACTAATCCTAAAGAGCAATACATATAGCTATCCTGCATTTACTTGTTCAGCCACAGTCAACTTATCTATTAAGGCTTTGGCTCACGTGGCTGAGACCATGTCTGCACTTGCAATTCTCATAGATCAGCCAGATGAGTGAGTCATCCATCACGTGAGACCCGCTCCGTGTTTATGTCAAACCCAGAACCTTTGGTCCCAAGACCAGTGCCTGACTGACTGAGCTATGGTTAGAATTCCCTTTGTGGTTCGTAAGATTTTCATGCTGTATCATGGCGCCACGAGGGGCTAAGTACACTTTTGCAAAGAATGAGTGAAGTAGGACAGAAATGTACTGAAATCTGTGCCATTTGGGCTGTCACAGTGACCTGCATCCCTGTCACTGATAACCCCGATACACAATATTAGTGAACTAGGGATGACACTGCACATTTGTGAACGGGCCAAAAAGCAATGCAGGTGTCTTGGTAATTACAAGTGAATCAATGCCTGTCTTCCCAGTCATAAGTGCTGCCTTCTGTTTCATGTTACGCAGCTCCCTGTAGAACATTAAACACAGCTTCAGTTCAGTCCTGCACCACTAATAGGAAACAATTGAAACGTGAACTCCCGACTTCTGAATGGTATGGTTGTTGCACAGCAGATTTGGATACCTGCTGCAGTAACAGTTGAGGAGGCAACAAAACAAAGAGAAACAGGATGATAGGCTGCTTTGCCAAGTCAGTTCTGGTCAAGTTGAACCTGGAGACATTGCTCTGATTTACAGTGACAGCCCAGACCTTAGAGGCAGTAGCAGAGGTGAGCAATGAGGCTGATCCCAGTTATTAAAGCAAGTGAGCTTCGAGGAACTACGAGACAAGTTGGGGCTCTTCAGCTTCAAACCAAGCGACTCGTCTTCTTTCAAACCTCTCTCTTGCATTGAACTGGAAGAGTCAGATTCTAAAGTGATTCTCAAACCAGATTGATCAGTCGCTAATTTTGCCACATTTCATTTTCCTAAGGAGCGTATTTGCAAATCGGTTCAAGAAAACCCGCAATGAATAGCAATTCAAACCAATCATCCTTAGACTAGGAGATCCAAGGCCTGATGACCTCAGGCGTCAGACCCACTGAGCCATGCTGAAGTTTTCCAAAAGGTGCGTTGGATTCTGAACCGGAAAGGGACGAGGTTAGATTCCGGGCTTTACGTCCAAAAAACCTTCACTGCTTCTCCAGCCCGACGTCGCAGCTACCTTGATGCCCAACACGATGGGAGTCCACAGCAAAATCAATGGAGCGGAGGCTGAGACACCATCTTCACGCTGGGACCGTCTCGCAGTTTACAACATGAGGGCATTTTGACATGGGAAGCTTAGCTTTTCCTCAATTCTGGAAAGTCACTGCTCTGTGTGTGGGATGGTGTCTCGTTGACCCACCCTCTTCCCCACCCCTCCCAGAAGCCAGGACCAGTGGAAGAGGCAACTGAGAGTGAAGAATACGCCACATAAATAGGAGAGAGCAGAGAACCCATATGTCCATGGCTTGATTCCAATGCCACAGGCCATGCCCGTCACCACCTAGTGCAGCAAAATATCTGATCCAAATCACAATCAAGATCAAGACAATCTTCAATTTAGCCTTGCAGCAGCTTCATCTGAAATCTTATCCCCCTCGGTAAACACTAACACATTAACACTTGATATTCGTACTGTACTTACCCGTAAATTACTGACAGAATGAAAACCTCTGCCTGTCTCAATCGGCTGCACGGATTTAAGATCGCCTCAAAGGGATTAAGGGGAGGGAGGAGGTTGGGGTCAGGAGAAGTTTCATTTTACAGGGGTGTGGTTGGAGTGTAGATGTCTTTGTTGAGGCAGGGTATGTGAACATTTTTTAAAAACGTGAATATTAAAAGGTACGGGGAGGGTTAAATCAGATGACCTGATGAGTTGAATCCAAGTGTGTATTCAACCCATGACCTGATGTGCTGATCTGATGGATTAAATTTCTGTTTAAGCATCTGATGATGTGCCAACGGGTTCTTTTCAGTGCCACTGTGAAGGTGGAGACTTGTAACGTATTGGTTAAAGCACTCGCCTCACAAGTGAGAGGACCTGGGTTCGATTCCCGTGTAGGGGGAAACCTTAGGCAAGTTTTCTTACTCCACACGCTTCTGTTTACATAACAGTAAGTAGGAACCCGCTTGTTAGTCGATTGGAGGATCGCTTTCCAGGGATAATCCCTCCCCAAAAAATAATTGGGTCACTCAATCCACAACTTGTTTGTGAGTCACTGTTGTGTGCAATTGGCTACCTCGTTTCAACCACAAAATATAGTCAATTTACTTTACAGTATATTCTGTGAAGCGCTTTGAGAAGTCTCAACGATGTGATAAATGCAAGGATTATTATTATTGTTAAGGTATGAAAGTGTAGTTCACTGGGATCCGTGTATCGTGATAGTGACTTAACACGTGTGGAAACACCTCAGAACTGTACTGTGTTTCAGTACAAAGCTCAGTAACACTATTCGTTTGATAGGGACAATACAGATTCCTTTCCCTTCACTGATTAATTGAAACACAATCCTATTCAGTCAGTGAAAGGCTTGTTTGCATCCACAAAAACTTCTTTGTTGACTTGCCACTGGTTTACAGTTCATGGCAATGTTTTTTGGGCGGGAGGGAGTTTGGTATAGTAGTATATGGTACGACTGACTGACCTTAACATTTTAAGACAAAATAATTTTGCAGCTAAGAATAGGTGGAATTTCAGGTCATGGGGAAAGTTGGGGTTTGGCTTCATCTGACCCTCATTTCCCCCCACCTCTCGCATACGCACACATTGCACCATTCCATCCCCTTGCTCCTGTGAAGAGATGTTCACAAGCCCTCAAAGCCTCAGCCACTGACAATTCCTCCTACGTTGAATATCTACGTTTCACGCACAAAATATACAGTCAATTCACTTTACCGTGTATCCTGAGAAGCGTTTTGAGACGTCTTGAAGACGTGATAAGGCACTATAGAATTATTATTTTATTATCTTTTCGATCTCACTTCAGGAACATATGTTCCAGCAAAGTGGGGTGGGGGGTGGGAGCATGAATGCTGGTACCATAAATGGGACGAGGGGCGGGTCGCAACAGTGATGTCTGTCCTTGTACAAGCACAAATAAGATTCCCACCAGAGCGATACTTGTAAACCAACGTGCAGGTTGTGCGCGCGGCAGATTGGTATTGTGTGAAATATGTGCAGCAGCCGATTTATAGCACACCCCAACATTCCCGGTTCAAGAATTTTAAGGCTTTGTTTTGATTTTGGTAGATTTATTCATGCCGGGAAAGCCATCCTGAAAAGAAGAAGAAGCTTTGAAACAAAGAGCAGGGACTAATTCCATCCGCGGAGAGAGAGAGGTAGTGTACATCATTGGGAAGACAGAAGAGCCTGACATCAGCATGTGTGAGATGGAATCATTCCAATGCACAAAATTGAGACTGCCCCTCTCCCCGCACCCCCCAAAAAAGCAATACAGACGTCATTTCGCTCACATTTATATACCTACCACATTCTATGCTTGTTTTTTTCAGGGAACAAAAACAAATGGGTGTGTTATAAGGAAAAGCACGTAACTATTGCCCCTAAAAGCTATCACCACACGATAACAAGTAACGTGGCCATTTGTTGTCATATGTATTTAACCCTGTTATTTTTAAAGGTTGTATAATATAGAAGCTTGATTTTGAAACTGTTGTCTTAGCCTATATTTTACTCTGTATATACCTCACCGTATATAAAGGTACAATCTATTCAACTCATAATCTATTTTAAGGTCAAGCCCACAGTCGTGCTTGCTGCATTAAGTGCCTGTTTGAAGTATTTTAACAGATTAGAGTATTTTGCAATCGGGTTGCACAGAAATGTACTGTTAAGCAATTAATGTAGCACTAGTATTAAAATATTGCAACAATCTCACTGTGAGAGTTTGGTATAGTAGTATATGGTACGACTGACTGACCTTAACATTTTAAGACAAAAAGACACAGTCTCACTGTCAATCAGTTCCTGTGCAACAAATGTTCGGCGTGCATCTACATTTCAGACACCACAAATAAAAGGAAAAATGCCTTCCCTTTTATGGTCGAGAGCCCATTTTCAGAACAATCCCCCCCCCCCCCCCCCCGATCTAAATTGGTCGCTCAATTCACAGCTGTTTGCGGGGAGTCGCAGTGCACAAATTCTCTTTGCGACATTTTGATGCCATGAAAACTACATGCGCTCCTCCTGACGTGAAAGGCGCTTTATAAATGGAATCTTGTTGTTGTTGATGCGCTGTACAGTTTTTTGGTTCCATGGGAGTAAAGGTCATTTTGTGCGCAATTGGCTGCAGCAACAACAACAAGTTGCACTTATATGGCACCCTCCATGTGGGGTAGCGTCTCAGAGCGCTCGACCGTGGGGGTTAAACTGCCACGCTTTAGCCACAAAATATACAGTTCGTTCACTTTACAATATATTCTACAAAGCGCTTTGAGACGCGATAAGGCGCTATATCAAATGCAAGGATCATCGTTGTTATTAATATGATTTAGAAATAGTATCGTAATCACGGCCAACCTCCACTTTATTCGCCCTCAACCACTCGGCTCTATTAAAGTCCTGTCTAACATTGAACATTGCTCCCACATTGCACGCCCCAGCAGGACGTAAGAAGTTTTTTTTAAAATCTGATACGTGATCCATCGAGTCATTTCTAGCTTTCCATCTTCCACTCTCGTCTCTCTCGCAAAATAAATGTTTCTTCTCCATATTGTATTCAGCTGATAGTGGTTCCCCTTTGTGGCAACAAAGGCCGTTTCAAAACCCAGAACATTTAATAAAGAAACTTGTGTGCTAGTAGGCACAAGGGGAAGTCAATTGCACAGAGTCATTTCCTGCTCAAAGTCTCTGGCTGTTTTAGTAGCAGCTTTGCAATCCCAATCCACCCGCCCACGTACAGGTCAGCCCATCCCGCCTTTGTGGCGCACTGGGACAAAGACATAACAGTACTAACACATCCTTTGTTCCTCTGGCTCAAGTCCAGTGATTTCAACAAGACTGTTGCTATAAAACTTCTGCAAGGGACAAAACAGGGGAATTATATTTCATTACATGGCTGTACAGAACTGGGAAACTGCTGTGCAACACTGCAGGTGGTATGACTGGGTTCCCTGATGGTTTAAATATCCATTAAATATATCCACCCATTAACCATTGTTCACATCCAGTGACAGTATCCTGTTGATGGCCAACACAGAGTGCCCAGGGGACATGCTTTAAGATATAATATTCTCTCTCTCTGTGTATCTCTCTCTCTCTCCCTTTTATTTTTAACTAAAAGTCATGTTCCCACCACGTAAAAAAAGACAAGCAATGTTTCCTGGATTCAGAATGGATTCAATTCCTTTTGAAAAGGCTCCCGAGATCCCAGACAAAGAGCTGGTCTGTGACAGCACATCAAACCCTGTGAGACTCGGTTGACAGAGCAGTAAACAATAGCAAAGTTAACGCTTAGATCTTCAGCTGCAACCAATGGGGAAGTGACACAATGCAATCAAATATCACACTTTTAATGTCAACACCCGCCTCTAACAACTGGGTTAACATATCCAGGAAAGAGCGAAGTTCAGAGTCAGTATGCTATATTGGTTTAGAACCTTTGTTTTAATTCAGCACATAATGATAGCTGACAGTCAGTCCCCTCCAGTCCCCTTCCTCTAATGAAATGAGTTAGGGGCAGTCTCGGCCCCAGTCTCTATGAGGTTTTGACTTGTATCACAATTTGGTTCAGAGGGGCACAGGATTGCTGAGAATGGGAATCCCACAGTGGACGTACCAAAGATGCACTGTAAAATCTACCATCTCAGCGGTTCCCTGTGGACTCCGTTAATTAAAAAATCCAATGATTCAGTCTCCGTAATTACCACAGCTTTGGAATCAGACCAGAACTGTGGCTTCTCTGTGAGAAAGTACTCAATACTGTAGCATTAATATCATCCTCGCAGGGACCTGAGCTCAGCAAGAAGTTGGGTGGAACTTGTCCACATCAAGGGAACGGAGTTTGTGACAGGAGTGGATAGCTGGATGGTATCTGAAGGTGCCATGAAAGAGTGAGCTAGGTATTTGGATAGGTTAAACAAGTAGAGAGCCCAGATGACAGCCTTGTTTCCTTGTGAGTCTGAAGCACATCGCTGAACCCAGCTGTGATAATCCCAGGTTAGCGCCTTAACATGTGGGAAATAAGACTGTCTCGCTATAGTCAATGTGGCATTGCTGTCAGCAGCAGAGTGAGTTGGAGTAGGGAGTGAGATTTAAACTTCCCAATCTGATCGCTCGATCTGGAAAACACATTAAGCAATACTCAACGATTTTGAGACTTACCACACACACGCACTGTTATTTGTTTGTTTCAGCAGCAGTTCTTTCGTAATACACTGAAATTTCAGACTCTCCTCTCTTTTCCATGAGCCCCCTGTAGCCAGTCCTCACACCTGCACACCACGTGCTTTGGTTGACAACACAAGATCACGGACGGGTCATGGGAATAGTCTGCCAAGGAAGTGTTATCCGTGGAGATGTCCCGAAGGAGTTCGCTCAATGCCACCTTCACCTGTGGCATGACAGCCTGGTATTCCGGGCTCTTGGGATCCAAAGGCAGGAGCTCCGCAACATCGGAGGACAGATCGAAAATCAGGGGCGGCTCGTGATTCTGTTCAGGCCCCTTTGGACCTCTGCAGGCTTGGGCACCACCTACACCACAAATAAACATGCCTCAGCTATTGGCAACAGAACAACAACAATAAATTACATTTGTATAGCGCCTTAGGACCTCCCAAGGCACTGGGCAGTCAGGGACCCGTGAGAAAGAAAAAAAACACAAGAAAACAAGACTGTCATCTGGGCTCTCTACTTGGCTAACCTATCCAAATACCTACCACTATCTTTCGTGGCACCTTCAGATACCATCCAACTATCCACCTCACAGGACCACCAAAATCCTCCACTTTGCTCAGGTTCCCGCTCCGTCTTTGTAAAGCACGTCTTGAGACGTTCTCCATTGTGAAAGGTTCAATTTGTTGTTGTTTGACCATAATCTGAAAATCCCCCAAAGTCTTAGCCTTTAAGACGCTCAACTTAAAACGTTAAAAGATGTGCAGTTTTTTTTTCTTTGAAAACCCTTCAATTCAACTTTAATTCGGAAGCTGTTTTTCCGCAGTTTTTTACGAAGGATAAAAAAGCTCCATACCCGTGAGATAGAAAGCCTTGTACTGCTCGAGACGAATGGTCTGCAGATCCCCAATCTGTCCAGCCGCACCACTGTTAGGATGGAAAAGGGTCTGAAAACAACAGGAGAATAATAATAATCATTGCATTTGATACAGCTAGTGCCTCATTACGTTGTCGCGACATCTCAAAGCGCTTCACAGAATATATTATGAAGTGGATTGACTGTATTTCTGTGAAATGGGGAAAAGGAGAGAAACCGAACGATTAAGAGGAACTGAAGGTTGCTGAGAAAAAGTGAGAAGATATCTGTGAAAGGAATCATAGGTAAAGCATTCAAAAAAATATTCAAGGTGCAGTTGCAGTCGGGTAAAATATTTGTATTTTAGTGTCAAATAGAAGGATTACTGTGAAATGGTTTTAATAAACTCATAACTTTCATTGCTGTCAGAAATCAGTAGCAAATACACCTTGGGATTTCACCCAGCGCCTTGGGACATCCGGCTGACGTGAAAGTCGCTATACAAATGCAACTTGCTGTTGCTTTGTTGTTGCATTCTGCAGACTTGAAACTGTACCTCTCCAAAACAGCCCGTTAGTCAAAGTTAACCCCCAAAAGACGTGATTAAAATATGCGTTTAAATAACCTGATTGATAGTATTAAAAGGCAGCATTCAGTGATTTGTGGAGAGAAATTCCACCTGGGTCCAGATTTAATCAAAGTAGCATTTCAGAGTAACCTCTACGATTTGGCAAACTCTTAAATACGGCCTTTATATCGAAATGTTTTTTCTGTAACGGCTTTCAAAGAAACTACAGAAAATCGACTTCAAAGTCAAGACTGTATTCAGCAAATTGCCAAATTCTGGACGCTCTGAAATGCTACATTAACGGAGTAAAATTCTCGATGCAGATGGAATTTCTCCCCGGGGATGTTAAGATCACCTAACAGAAAAGTTTATGGAAAAAAAAATTCTCCACATTCCCAGTGCTTTGGGTTGAAGTTATTCCGTAGAATGTAGACAGAAACCGAAAACTTTCTGTAGCTGCTTTCCCAATCACAGCACCATCTTCACAAATCTTTCGAGGCTCCGAGCACTGGAATATTATGTTTCTTTGCTTGGGCTCAACTCCTTCCCTTCTTCCCTTTCATCCTTACTCTGCAATTGCATCGAAAGCAATGAGCAGGCAGGGTGGGCTGGGTGGTGTGATCAATCCCCTCTGCCTCGACCCCTCCATCCCCACTTTCAAATCCTGCCTAAAGACCTTCCTTTTTGACCGTGCTTACGGTTACCTCCCCGCTCGGGCTCCTTGTCAGACTCCGCTACTGTCAAGCACCCCGGGACGCTACCCCACGTGAAGGGCACAATATAAAACACAAGTTGTTGTTGTGAAGGGTTGGGAGTCAGAGCTGAGCACAATATCAATGCCTTGACGAACAGAGGAATAATCTAACAGGTATCCCCCAGAAGCTTAACACCACCACGATTAGCTAAGAGGGAGAATGTATTATTCAGAAATAATCGAGGGGACGTTTATCATAAATCCTTACGGAAAAACAGTTTGCAGAAAATTGCTTTTAATTGCCTTTTATAAAGAAAAACAGTTGCAGCTCCTGATACTCGTCTGCTTAAGTGATTAGGATGCAAATGTACAGCTGTGCATTGCCTGATGCCTTCTGCAAACACCACACTGTGATGAAGTAACAAGGTCCCAGCAGACCTATGCTGTGACTAATTTTTCCCTCCCCTGACATATGACAAATGTGCACATTTTAGACCAGCGAATCTACCACCTAATTGAATAGCTGCCAGTTTTCTGCTAAGGGTCACAGATATGCGGTCAGTTACATTGCTATATTAAGATACCCATCATTATATAAAAAAGGGGACTGGGAGGGAATCCTTCCATTCAAACACATTGCAGTATGCTTTCCTGAGGAAAGCAAACTGATTCGACGAAATCCTAAAAATAGCTTCAATGACTTATCTTGGGGGGTGTGTTTGGTCTGAGAACTCCTCCCATAATGTGTGTGACAAAGCACAAGGCTTTATACTGTGCTTTGTAATAGGAGCAGAGGACGTAAGCCAGGACAGTAGTGAATTCTATTACATAAACAAATGTGGAGAGGTAAAACTAGTTGGGGTGTGTGAAACGGTTTTAATCACATTATCAGCTGTCTATCTTTCTTAACTCAGCCGCCCCTGACGGAAAAGTGAGCCTAAAATGGAACATGGCATTGGAATATCAGTTAATCACGATCCTGGTCCAATGCAACAAAGAAAACATAGCTAAGGCCATTTTCCATTAGTACTTCACGTTGCTATTTTGACCCCAATATCTTTTTATAAAGTATAAAAACTGGAGTATAAAAGCAGGAAGCAAGCAATGAACTGAGCACTGAACTGGCAGGTTATATTCTCAAGTTAGCGAGGCACAGCAATTGCTGAAACGCATAGTTTGGAAAGGTCAATTGTGAAGCAGCATACTTCTCGCTGTATTCATGTGTCACCATGGAACTTGCACATGATCTCTAATGCTCTCATGACCCAAGTAAAATATACTGACTTGTCATATTTCAAAATAGGTTCATGAGACGGGGAGGCAAGGGATGACTTAGGGACATGGCAGGAGGATAGGAAATGGTTTATTTTTAATCATTCTATTCACTAGTTAATGTTTAAGTTTGGGATTCATATTTCACTACCTTTATTGTGCAACACACAGGAGGCACTGAACTCGTGTGGTTGGGTCTGTTAGCACAAGAGCATGGACTGTGCCCAACAACATCAGTAACTTGCATTCATATAACGTCCTTCATGTCGGATGGTGACAGAACACAGCAACAACAACTTGCACTTATATAGTGCCCTCCACGCAGGGTAGTGTCTCAGAGCGTTTAACAGAGTCTGACTCCGACCCAGGGGGAGGGGGAAGGTGGCCGTAAGCACAGTCGAAGAGGAAAGTTTTCAGGTGGGACTCGAAAGAGAGGAGAGAGGGGGCAAGGCGGAGGGATTCAGGGAGAGTGCTCCAGAGTTTCGGGGCGTAATGACTGAAAGCGCACCCTCCGATGGTGGGGTCGGAGGGTGCAAGGGACGAGCAGGAGGCCAATGAGTGTGGTGTGCAACTGTGCAGCGCCTTGGGACGTCCTCCTGACGTGAAAAGCGCTTTATAAATGGAATCTTGTTGTTGTTGTTGTTGTTGTATGGTCGGAGGCAAGCAATGTGGCGGAAGTGGAAGAAGGCAGTCCCAATCAGGGACCAGATGTTGGGGAGGAAGAACAACTGGGGATCGAACCGGACGCTTTGTTCGGTGAGTCTGAGGGAGAGCCCAGGGAGGTTGAGGAGTTTAGATCCGCAGGAGTGAAGACGTTGAGGGGAGCCAAGGAGTGTGGTGTGTACGTGGTGATAGGAACACAATTTATAATACAATTAACCAGCCCAAGACACCTGGCTGCAAGTTGTTGTCAAGGAAACTCGATCTTCAAAGGGTTTGAAAAATAAATCATACTTTTTTTTAATTACTTTTCACATGCAACCTGGAACTGTAAATAAACAAACCACTCAGTTGAGATCGATCATGATTAGATCTCCTTCCACGCTATGTTTCGAACCTTTGAGAGATTTACTAAACTCGAGGTTCATTAGTCTGTGGATCGAGCAGTGTCGAAAGCTATCCCGGAGTGGCCGTTAAATTGTGCAAATATTAAAAGTAGTTAATTAAAAGCTACAAAGAATAATCTGTAATTAGTTTCTCTCCATCCAAGTGAACGTTGTTCTCAAGTGAAAACAATCAATTAGTATCAAAATTAGCTAATAAATCACTAGCAAACGGGCACCAACAGGATGGGAACATGCACAGAAAAGTTACACCGTCAGTCCACGGAAAGGATGGGGTTGTGCTGTTTTTCAGCCCAGTGTCCAACACACGTGGAAACCCCATTATCGTGCTTAAAGAGTATCCAAACCTAACAGAGTTGCATGCGTACCACCTACACATGGAAATTCTAGGGATTTGGAAAGGAATGTGCGAACTGAAGTGCCCTGGGGTACTGTGGACCCACCCGGCTCGGAAAATGGACTACCGAGACTGTTCGAGTCTGACATTCCTTTGTCAACCATATTACCTTGGAGCCGGTGTAGCTCCAAGGAGACCCTGCTTAACTTTCTCCCCCTACTCCCAGGAGGGTAATGCTCTACTAGATGCTATCTTCAACTTGTTCTCACATATGTTAAAATGATTACCTTGTGACCAACTTGTGATCGGCCAAGCATGACATCTGTTATATCCAAACTGTCATATCGTCTGTTTGAGGGCAAGCTTGCATTCGCCAGTGCGATCAGGGTAGAAAATACATCCAAGGTGCTGTTAACAAAAAAAACAGGGTTTTAGAAGGAAAACAAATATCTGCTCTCACCAGTAATTCTGGTGCAAGGAATGAGGTCGGGCGTGGCTGCAGCTGGTTTGCGCAAGAAGGAACTGGAAGCCCGACGTGAACTGCACGCCTGGTAATGATAGGCTTACGAGCTCATCCTCCTCTTATTCTCTTACCTCAGCAATGCGCTGCTGGTGCTGTTAGCCGGGATTCTTCCCGGCCAATAGGCAACCGCTGGCACTCGATGGCCACCTTCCCAGGTGGTCTTTTTCGCAGAACTTCCGCCTAAATAAACAAACACACAAGCGAGGGCCGTGACGAAAGATAGCTTGGATACATCAGGAAGTGTTTCGCATTTAAAGACCAAGGGGACAATTCAGCTGAAATATGCTGCTTGAGATGGTCATTACCTCTTTGCATCTGCCATGCCCCGACAAAGGGACCGACACTCCCAGAAAACTCACATTTCTCAGACCAGGGGCCGTTGTCACCTGTGTAGGAAGCAGAGTTAAAAGTGAAGTGCCAAGTTCTGTTCCAGATAAGTTATGGAGGAAATCTCAGAGGGTACCGTTCCTTCAAACTCCAAAGACCTGTACAAAATGTGGTAAGATTTCTCATTAATAATATAATAATCCTTGCATTTGATATAGCGCTTTTCATGTCTTCTCGTTGTCTCAAAGCACTTCACAGAATAGACTGTAAAGTGAATTGACCGTATATTTGTGGGCGAAACCCGGCAGCCAATTGCGCACAGCAGTGTCCCACAAACAGTCGTGGATTGAAAATGACCAATCTTATTTTTGTTTTGTTTTTTTGGAGGGATTATTACTAGGCGTATGGAGTAAGGAAACTTGCCCAAGATTTCGCCCTGCCTGGAATTGAACCCAGGTGCCTCGCTTGCAAGAGAAGTGCTCTAACCACTGAACTACAGGACTCCACAAGCACTGATCAGCACCATTTCGTGCTACTCGGTCGTACCATTGACACCAACCCACACCCATCTGCCTCACCCCCTCCCTCCCCACCATCACAACCCGCCTTGACATAATATGTTGTTTGCCCACATTTTTGTTTACCTTCCCCACACCCACCACATCTTCCTCAGCTACCGCCACCCCACCCCCACCCCAGGCAACCAGTCCTCATGCTGTGAAGAGCTTTGCGTATACCTCCCAACGTGAAAGGCTTTTTATAAATGCAAAATTGCTTTTGTCCTTAAACGTACAAGAATGGCATTTCGCTTAATTTTTAATTTAAAAAATATTATGCGCTTCCCAGAGTCTTGGGACATCCTCCCAGCGCTATACAGATGTCATTTCGTATCATATTTTCATATCGCTTAACTTGTGCACACGCCTTGACGGACCTGTGAACCACACAAGTGTGTTTCTGTGACGATCGGTATCGACGGCCTCCAGAATCTGTCCGATGACATAGTCCAGCTCTCGCAGACTGTCTCCATATGGACCACGGGCGGAGGTATTGGCAAATCGAGAACTGCAATGCAGGGGAACGTGCATGTGTGCTGGGGCGAAGTACAGGAAGAAAGGACGTGGATTCTCCCTGGAAAAAATTAAAATACAAAAATCAACAGATGGAACAGGAAAGTCAACAGGATTTGGTTACGAGAGAGCAAAGATTGTAAAAAGTGAGGTCAGATAACATAATAATTAAGATCATGTCTTTACAGCCTGGGTCTCAAGACAATTTCTATTAGGTTTAAAAGTCACAGACGAAGCAAGCTTGAGAGTCTCGATACACATTTGCAGCATAAACCTCTTATAGAGAAACACAGAGACAGAGAGAGAAAGTACCTCTCCACACCCAGGATCACTTAGATCTTCTCTGCCAGAAAGGTAAGAGAAGCGACGCAAAGGTTGTGAAAAGAGTTAGACCCCTCGGAATGATCCTATAGCAGGTTCCCAGTGTTGATCATTGCAGCCTATTAACCACCCACTCCACCACCCCCCACCGCCCAAAAAGAATCAGTTGATTTTGAAATGATCAGTAATCATACTCCAAATGTATTTAGTCACTGAGAAGCAGTTGCCAACAAGCCAAATGTTATGTATTTGGAGAGTATACAAGTCAGATCAAGTTCTGCTAATCTGTAGATCACTGACAAAGCCATTTTTCTGGGCTTCAACGACACTCACCATGTCAGCTCCAGCTTCTCTCACAACAGAAAGACTTGTCGGCCTCTCTCTCCCTATCTTCATCCATCAATTAAAAAATAATAATTTTGTCTCTCAATCCACGACTGTTTGTGGGACACTGCTGCGCACAATTGGCTGTCGCGTCAATTCAATTTACAGTACGGTATATTCTGTGAAGTGCTTTGAGACATCTCAACAACCTAATAAGGCACTATATTAAATGCAAGGATTATTATTATTATCATAAGAGGTGCCTAAGCCCAGTGTTAATAAATCAGTCTCGTCTCACAATATAAGGCATTCCATCCAGGCAATGTTGTGCTGGGTGCTTACAGTTGAGCAATGAAGCAGTATTTTGGGTTACAGCATGACAGAAAGCCATGTGCCAAGAAAGACAAGTTAACGTGATCATGTGCATGCTAAATGTTGTGTGTGAGATTTTCAGTGAACTTGTTTGTGCGAGGAACTGTAATCTAAACAACTGACTGGAGCACTTTAATCAGCTGTTTTTGTTTCTCTCTCTATTTATCCTGAAAAGCTGTTTTTTTTCCTACAAGTCAGCTGCAATGGTTTCGGGAAATGCTTGTGTCGAAAGCCAGAAGGTTTTTGTGTAACCAGTTCTTCCCAGCTGAAAAATCCTGATGTTTGCAATTTGCTCTAGTTTGTTATTGCTGATTCAAAGGCAGCAGAAACTTCCTTTTAAAACGCATCAACTTCTAGAAAAAGTGAAGTTGGCACATTATTTGAGGAGATTAAAAAGCTAAGACAAATTTTAAAAAAAAGGTTCAGGACCAAAGAAACTAAAAAGCATTTGTATTTTGTTTTACATTACAATACTATTTACATTTATATTGCGCCTTTCACGCCGGGAGTACATCTCAAAGCGCTTAATCTGGGAATATTCTGCACTGTGCAATACATGGAGTGAGTACATTGAGGTGCCAGTGATACGTTTTTATGAAAGATTAATAGAATTTGTCCCCCGAGTGCTTAGAGCAATAAATAAATAAATATATCAGTGATGCAATTTTAACTTATAAATAACATTCCATCCCGCTTGTAAAATTTAATTATTCTGTTGAACAGCGAGTTGGTTATTTACAAACCAGCCGAGACAAATCCACAAATTCTAACAAGCAGGAGTGAGCGGCGCTTTAAGCTGCGATAATTAAATCGTCTATCTGGGGCGCTCAGAGCAGATTAACTGTAGGTGATGATTAGATTCGATTCATCTGTGTTTGAAAAATGTTTGACCACAAATTCAGCTGCTCGGCCTCAAACCAATGAATCGCACAGAAACATTGAAAACTACTGTCTTCAACTACACTGATCACCGCTCCATCATTTTTATTTGTCTCCTATATTCTTTGTTCTTTACAACTAAAATTACAGAACAAAATACCCTTTTCTTTCCCCAAACCTATTCAGCCCTCAACCATTATGCCCTCTCATGAACCCTGCACTATTGGATTCTACTTTGTTTCCGTCCGAACAAGATGTCAGCCTGGCTCACTCAGTTAGGATCCTCAGTTGAGGACTTTGAGATGGCAGTCCAGGCTGACACTCCATTGTAGTCTTAGGGCAACACGATACTGTCAGAGGTGGCAACCTTTGAGATATTAAACTGAGGTCCCACCTGTCTGTTCAGATGGACATTAAATTACCTTGCTCCCTATTCTCCTGGTGTCTTGGCCAACAATCTATTAGATAAATTGGGAATTCACTTCCTGGCTGGTTGTGGGAGATGGCTCACAGGGTTAACGAGAGCCAAGTGGGAAGAATGACTGGGCTGCCCTTCCGAGTCCCCCCGACGAGTCAGCCTGGTTATGCTATCATCAGCAGTGCGCAATTTGGTGGCATGTTCACCAACAAATACAGTAATTACTGTGAAGGACTTTGTGGCATTTCAACATTATATGAGCGCAATTTTAGCTGCTGCATTTCACCCTCAAAATATAGTCAATTCGCTTTACAGTATATTCTGTGAAGCGCTTTGAGACGACTGAAAGACGTGATAAGACAGGCGCTATATAATAATAATCCTTGCATTTGATATAGCGCTGTTCACGTCTTCTAGATGTCTCAAAGTGCTTCACAGAATAGACTGTAAAGTGAATTGACTGTATATTTGTGGGCAAAATGTGGCAGTCAATTGCGCACAGAAAGTGTCCCGCAAACAGTCGTGGATTGAAAACGACCAATTTATTATTGTTTTTTTTTGAGGGATTATTATCAGGCGTGTGGAGTAAAGAAACTTGCGCGAGGTTTCACCCTGCCGGGAATCGAGCGGGCGCTCTAACCACTGAGCTACAGGACTCCACAAATATCAAATGCAAGGATTATTATTGTAGTAAGAGAGCTAGCAGCTCTCTCTCACCTGGCCTTATGGATGAACCGTACAACTCTTTCTGCATATCGCTCCGTTAGGCTGCTGAGGTTAACTGGCTGTTCCACGATGTTGTCATTTTCGAGGAGAGGCAGAGCCACATGTGTCGAGCATGGCTTGGGTTTACAGCTGAAAGGAATATACACATATTGGTGCAGTTTAGTCTGGATCAGACTGAAATTTATACAATTCACACAAGTGATACAGATTTCAGTATCAAACATGTAGCACATCATCACAAATTAACTTGCACAGCGGTCGAACCCCTTAAAATTCAACGGCAATCTTTTAATAGAAGATAATCTGACGCAGGAGTGCACTGAGACTCAGCAGACTGATAAGCCACTTAAACTAGTTCCAGAATTGCCTTCACCTGAGAAGATTAAGCTTGTTGCTTCAATCTATTGTTAATCAACTAGGAAATTACCGGGATAACTAACTAACTAAATAACTAAGTAACTAACTAACCAACCAATCTATAAATGGAAGCTCACAGAATTGAAGTAAAGAAAATAAAACACTGTATTGTAAGTAATGACTGTTGCTGGAGGGAGGAATGTTGTCTGTGCATGAAAGAAAATATGCACAAAATCCTGGGGCACCGAGTAATTGTTAACCGTACAATTGATCTGCTGCAAACGTGGGAGAGAGTTCAGGCCATAGCACTGCGCGGGAAGTGGATACAGACACAGGAATAGTAATGTGTCAAGCTTGTAAATTTCATGGGTTATTGTACCTCACTCCCCTGACCACATTACCTTTTCCCAACAGAATCCGTGGGACATGGAGGGCAGGCAGGTAGATCGTACCCAGGCTCGTCTGTGCAACCCATGTCATTGCTGTAAGGGATCCCAAAATAATAATCAAAACCTGCAACACAAAGTTACAGACAAGTTATCTGTACTGACCTGGACCTTACAAATACAATATATGTCTGCACACGAGAGACCTGTTACATTTATCTCAATTGTGTAAACCGCACACATTGGTAGGCTACCGAGTCAGTTAGTAGTTACGTTGCTTTACCTTTCAGCTGCTTTATTTCCCTCCCCCCTGGTTTGAAAGATACTCCAACTTCGGTTATTTAACGGTTCACTCACTCTATTTCCTACGGAATGTGCGGCGACATTTATTTTCACAAACACTGCGTCTCGAAAATGTAATTAGTGTTTTCAAATGCTTCATTTTGTTTCATAGGCGTCACCAATTCAATTCAACTTGCCTTTTAATGCCCTTTAAAACAAACAGGGCATCCAAACTCAAGAGCTCGCAAGGAAAGTATAACACAGTCCGATATTACCTGGAAGCAATCATTATTACTTGCAATATTCTTTTTTAAAAAAAAAGCTGTTGTTACATTTGAAATGGTCGTTTCAAAAGTGAAAGGTTACTTTTGAATTGGGTGAGACTACAGAAATTGTTTTATTTTTCAATGTGTCTTTCACTAGACACCATTCAACTAACAATATTCTTGTTGCATCTATTTGCCACTGAGAAGACCTTTTCCCTCTTTAGTTAAACCAGAACAAGCAAGATTGTATTGAGCTAAGATGCGTATCCTTTTGCTTTGAAATGTATCTCCCTGTTAGTCAAGATACCAGAGCAAAGCTCACGTTAAAGGTATCTCTTTCAAACAAAATATTTATGAACTGCTAAATTTGACAAAGCTTCACCATGGGCACGAGCGTTCGCTCAAGGATGTTTCACCAAAACTTTTTGGGGCTAATCTAAATGTTTAGAAACTTTGTTCCAATTTTTTTTAAGTACAGTGTAGATATGATAGGACAGTTCTCAAAGCCTTAGCTGCTGCGCAGATATCTTTCTCGAGTGCTCCGGGACGCTACCCTGTGTGAGGGGTGCTATATAAATCAAAGTTGTTGTTGTTGTCCGGACTCACCCCGGAAGTTAGGATGGTAGTGGCCATGGTGTCCTAGATGCCATTTACCTGTGTAAAGGAGATATTATCAATGAATGGTTTAGTGGTTTATTTTGTCACATTCTCTGTGAAACATTCCAAGTCACCTATTGACGAAACCACCAACATTTAGCTTAAAAGCACCGAGTGCACTTTAGCTTTCTAAATTTTTTTTTAACACCTTCATGTTTCAAACGATTACTTTCCGGAAATCTTCTGATCAAATCTTCCGAACCAGAATTAATCAAATTTGCAAAGAAAAAAAAAACAGCGTCTATTAATCCAAAGCACAGCAGACTCATTGTTAATAGGCATATAATAAGTGAATAGTAAAGCCATTATAAAAGGAGTGCTATTCTAATTTGACTGCAAGTCCTGTGAATTGGAAACGTAGGAACTTTTCCAATGTAAAATTACTTTCAGCCTCTCTCTCCTAATAAGTAGAAGTTTTATTATTTCTTCCCGAGGTCAATGCGTATCCAAGGTTAATATTGACGAGTGAAAATAAATACAAATCATATCACATAGATGGTGGTAAATTGATCTCAGCTCCTCTCCTGGTCTTTTCACTCTTGGTGAACAGTTCTGAGAAACCGGAACCTTCAGCAGATGATTGTCCCCTCTGTAGTAAAGGGTCGCTGAAGACAATTATAATAAAACTAATAATCCTTGCATTTGATATGACGCTTTATCACATCATTGAGATGTCTCAAAAAGCTTCACAGAATATACTACAGAGTATATCAAGTGAATTGACTGTATATTTTGTGGGCCAAAAGTGGCAGCCAATTGTGCATAAACAATGCCATTCAACCACCCTGTGATCAGCGCAGACCAGGCATCTCCTGACCGTTACATCTCAGTTCCGCTCTGGGTGTGGAACAGGCACCTTCCTGCAAAGAAAACAAAGCAAAGGAACAAAAGGCAAATACCGATTGCCGCTGTGGAGTAATTGGCTTGTTTCAGAGCTTCGGCTAATGTAGTCTCATTCAATGGGAGGCCACCAGCTGAGCTTACAGCAAAATTGTGGGTGACGCCATTCCGTAACCCCAGTCTCCCCGTCAGTAACGAAGCACGAGATGGGGAGCAGGTAGAGGCAGCTGCGTGGAAATCTTCAAACCTGAAAGAAAAAAACAAAGAGTGCAATGGGCTACAAATAGTCTTTTATACAACGGGAAACATTGGAGTTATAATAATATATAATAAGAATCCTTGCATTTGATACAGCGCCTTATCACGTCATTGAGACATCGCAAAGGGCTTCACAGAATATACTGGAAATATTGACTATATTTTGTGGGAGAAATGCGGCAGTCAATTGTTCTACAAAATAATAATAATTTGGTCACTCAATCCATCACTGTCTCACAAACACCCATGGATTGAGTGGATCTTACATGTAGGGATAGAGAACCAGGAAAAAATTTGAAAAGATTCTGGAAGAATGCAGGTCAAAGCAGACAGTTACTTCGATGCGAACTTTATATAAAGTTATACCTGATCCCCTCTTTTGCCATCTTGTCCAGGTTTGGAGTCTCTTGAGTCGGTCTCCAATTTGCACCAAGGTCCCCCCAGCCGATGTCATCAGCCAGGATTATGATAAAGTTTGGCTTTCTTGAGTAGGCAGCAGCACGAAATGTACTGAAGCCAACCATGCAATGAATGAGTCCAATCTGTAGAGCTGCCATAATAAAGATGCTCAAGGAGATCACCTCCATCCTCATAGATCCAAACTCCTTCTGCTTTTGTCCAAGCATCTCAGCAACTGAACCACAGTTGTTTCACAAATCTATGTAAAAAAAAGCCATAAGGTTCAAGGCTTGCTTCCCAGATGAGCCAATTAAAATAATAATAATAATTTGGTTACTGAATCCACGATTGTTTGTGGGACACTGCTGTATGCAATTGGTTGCCACGTTGTGCCCACAAAATATAGCGTCAATCCACTTTACAGTATATTCTGTGAAGTGCTTTGAGACGCCTCGAAGACGTGATAAGGCGCTATATCAAATGCAAGGATTATTATTATAATTTGGCACACTAGAAGAACAACTTGTATTTTTATAGTGCTTTTAATGCAGGATAGCACCTCGGATCATTGGCATCATAAAAGCTGATGTCTCTAACTGCAGTGCCACAAACCCTTCACATTCATTATGTAACCAGCAGTTTGGGGTGAAATCCATAGGAAAAAAGAGAGATTGTTCAACTATGAATGTTGCAATAACATTAATTTGGCTGACATTGTACAACTGGCAGCAGCTGGCATTGGGTAATAAATAGGAAGGTTGGATTTCTACACTGAGGTTTTCTCTAATTTCCCTCAGGATCAGAACGTTGTGGGTTCAAACCCCACCCTGGGGCTTCAGATCATAGTTCATTCAGACATGGCGCTGTGGAAAAGCTGTCGTCGAAGTGCCGTGCAACAGATAACCATTATATAATCCTTGCATTTGATATAGCACCTTATCACATCGTTAAGATGTCTCAAAGCGCTTCACAGAATATACTGTCAAGTGAATTGACTGTATATTTTGTGGGCAAAACGCAGGAGGCTATTGCGCAAAGCAGCGTCTTACAAACAGTCGTGGATTGAGTGACCAAGTTCGTACTTGCTGCTAGGTAAACAGAGGCGTGTGGAGCAAGGAAACCTGCCTAAGGTTCCGCCCTACCTGGGAACTGAACCCAGGTCTCTGGCTTGCGAGGTGAGCGCTCTAACCACTGAGCTTCAGGACTCCCCTTCCCATCTTCCCATTCAAACGGACATTAAAGATCTCGGAACATTACTCAAATAGAGATTTTAATTGATAAGAGGCAAAGTCTGGACAATTTGGATGAAGTAGAGAGATGTGTTGAAGCAGAAAAAGAAAAAAACTGTTGTAAACTCAGTGAATGGGGAGGTGAAGCAGGGAGTGAGTATGATATTTACACAGTGAGTGTTGGGGTAGGTGGGGTAAAGTGGAGAGACTTACAATGCCCTCAGTGTGAGTGAATACTAACAAATGGTCACAGATCATGCAGTTGTGCATATAAATCAGTGAGAAGTGAGAGCAAATCTCAGTGTAGGATTGCAGTTTATACTCCTAACTCTGTCGGGTGTGAAATCACTTTCAGCCCTGGCAGATTCCTTGCTGGTCACATGGCATGTAGGAATTTCACTGCTAATGACAACATTCTGAGGAACATCAGGAAGGCCGTTCTCTCTCTGGCTAACTTGTTTATTCTCTGTATTACTATTCATGGTCTGTGCAGAATGGACAGCTGAAATTCACCACCCAGCCTCACACATGAAGAATGGTGACTTGAATAAAGTGCAACTGCACATATGTCTACATAAGTCATCATTGCCTCCAGAAGTGGAGCAAAGAAAATTACTGGGGAGAATGAAACTAAGCTGTGGAGAGGTTAATAGTACACGATGGAGTGCTTCTCGCTATGGAAGATAACGGAAGTTCCCAAATGCATCTAATATGCCTTTTTATGTTTTACTTTTGGTGCAAGTTTTGCATTTTTCCAGTCCAAAATCAATGCACAGAACCTGAGCAAGAGGAATGCAGGGTGTGTGTGGGAAAATAGGGCTGGAACATGAGCTGGTAACACCACGGTACATCACAAAGACATGCAACCAATTCTTATCTCTGTATTCTTTGTGCTACCTCTGTCTAGTCTCATATCCTACCACGCAGTTGCTCAATACAGTGTGAGGGTCAACTTTCTCTTTTACCCTGGAGTGTAAAAAAACAGAGCATCCCACAATGAAATGTTTAGATTTCCTTGATATTGTTTTGCAATATTCTTTTTGTAGATATGCCCAACAATTTTCCCATTTGACGTGGGGTGACTTCATTCTTCCATGCAATGCTACTTGTCCTTGGCAATTTGATCACTCAATCCATGACTGTTTGTGGAACACAGCTGCGCGCAATTGGCTGCCAAGTTTCGCCCACAATATAAACAGTCAATTCACTTTCCAATATATTCTGTGAAGCGCTTTGAGACATCTCGAAAACGTGATAAGGCGCTATATCAAACGCAAGGATTATTATTATTGTCATTATTTCCTTACGTCTCTTGTTCCAAAGTTTATTTTGACGATGACAGTTTGCTTGCCTATCGCCCACTTATCATCTGGCAATGTCCCACGAATGGATTGCTTAACAGGAGGTGCATACATTGATTGCTTATCAGTGGATACTTGGTGGGTTTAATTGTTATGATTAATTCCTGCCTTTTTCCCTTTTTTGAAGGCAGTGGCTCCCTGAAAGAGCTTGGGATTTTCAGCTAAAATACTAGGTGCTGACTTTTTCTAATTACCCATATAGTCAGTCTGCCCTTGCCTTAGGCATGGATTCCTGCTTGGGGAATTTCCTGGCTATGCTCAACCTTATCATCAATTGAACCTGACATGCATACGTACACTGCACAGTTTCGGGAGAGCTGCCCTTTAGGTGGGCAAGGCCAATTGTAGCACTCCATTTCCTAAACCCACATAAACTCAGATTTGAACTCATCTGACGTCATCGAATAGCATTAAGAAAGTCAATCAGAATCCATTCATGGGAGAAAAGGAGACTTGAGAGAGAGCGAGAGAGAGTAAGATGCAGATTGTATGACTAATAGCACTAAATGTTTCTGCAAGTTAATGAGATCAGGAATACATTAGTCTCTCAGTTTATCTTGGCTCCAGAATGTCTGTTCCTTCCTTCTCCCCCCACCATGTAAGTGATGTTCTTTGTGAAGGCTGAACTACTGTTGTAGGGAAAAGCTGCGATGAAATTGCAGGGCGAATGGGTGGGTGTAGGTCAGGCAGATTGACTCTAAATTAACTTCTGACATAATAGATAAGTAGCATTGTTATGGTATTATGTTGCAATCCACCCAGACCATGTTATACGCTTTGACTTCTACTTTTTTTTATTTTCTTACAAGTCAGTTATAATAAAGCAGGAACACACTTAACCTTTTCTTTCCAGGGAGGAGGAAAGAGCTTGCGTTTCTACCTTTTCAAAGCACTTTTACAGAAAATACTGTGAAGTGGAGTCCTGTAGCTCAGTGGTTAGAGCACTCGCTTTGCAAGTGAGAGACCTGAGTTCAATTCCCGGCAGAGGGCGAAACCTTGGGCAAGTTTCCTTACTCCACACGCCTAATAATAATCCCTTCATAAACCCAAAACAATAATTAATTGGTCATTTTCAATCTACGACTGTTTGTGGGACATTGCTGTGCGCAATTGGCTGCCGCGTTCGCCCACAAATATACAGTCAATTCACTTTGCAGTATGTTCTGTGAAGCGCTTTGGGAAGTCCTCCCGACGTGAAAAGCGCTATATCAAATACAAGGATTATTATTATTATTATTATTATAAGTGTAGTGACTGTTTTTTTTCGAGGCAAATGTGGCAGCACACAGCAGACTAGTCTTCACCACATGTAATAGTAATCCTTGCCATTTGATATAACGCCTTATCAAGTTTTTGGGATGTCTCAAAGCACTTCAGAGAATATACCATAAAGTGAATTGACTATATTTTGTGGGCGAAATGCTTAAGGCAATATTTTCAGGTTTTTTTTTTGTGTTAAATACACTTAAACCCCAGCCAGCCAAACTAATGGGTGTGTTGGGGCAGGGAGGTGGGGGGGTGGGGGTGAGGAGAAGGAATGTGGTCCAGTGAACCGTAATTTCCAGCTAAGTGAATTACAATGCATTTACCACATTTTTCACAGAGTCGATATCCTCGGCCACTGTAAAGGCCAGCAAAGCTGATAGGCAGCTCACTGTGACCTTGGTGATCCAGGGGAGTAGGGAGTGTATGTGTGGCCCATGGAAATTATTGGTCTGTGAAAACTTTTTTATCATTTTTGGGGGTTTCAGATCCAGTTCAGTTAGGGTGGAATTCCAGGTACCCAGGGCCAAGTGTTTATTGTATTGAGTTTTAATGTTGTTCTGGCACCATTTTCAGGTCGCGGGGCATACAGCGCAGCATACTTAGAGCATCAAAGTGGCACACGTTATATCTTCTACGCCAAGAGGACTCGATTGCCAATCCTGGCAAGGGATTTAATTGTGGACCATTTGTGTCCTTACTTACACTAAATAATAATATAATAATAATAATGCCACATGCCTGTCACCCCTGTCCGTGCCAAACTCCACTGGCAACATTGCAGGGCCTCACCCTAACCTATTAATCCTGGCACACCCTTGGCCCTCCCCACCACTGCGAATTTCACCAGCCTCACTTTCCTGCACCCTCTGTTTATCCAGGTGTCACTTAGAATTGACAGACATTGAAGTCTACTTTTCTGGATCTTCCAGTTCTTACACTGAACAAATACTTCCTTTTACACCAAATTGAGGAACTGACTCCAGTTTCAATCCAAACTGGGAAAACCTGCTCAACCGAACGATTTCTTCACTCCCAAAGCCTGGAAAGGTGCGCAAACTGGCCTTTCGTCCTTACAACCGGGAGTTTGAGTCAGTCTGACTGACTGAGTGAGCAGGAGAGAGAGAGAGAGAGCTGGGCTTGTCATCACAGAGTCCAGCCATCTATGAAAGTAAATAGACGACGATAATAATAATAATAATAATACTTGCATTTGATATCACACCTCATCACGTCTTCGAGACGTCTCAAAGCGCTTCACGGTAATACGGGGTAAAGTGAATTGACTGTACATTTCGTGGGCGAAATACAGCAGCCAAGTGCGCGCGCACGGCGGCGGCGTCCCGCAAACAAAGTCGTGGATTGAGCGAGCAAATTTATAATTTTTGGGGGGGCGAGGGGATTATTAGCCCACCCGGAAAAGCGATCCCACCCAACCAACTCACAACCGGGTTCCTAATGACTTACTGACTGACTGACTTATTTACTGACTGACTTATTTACTGACTGACTGACTGACTAACTGACTTACTTCCAGGGCAAATAAGGGGTGTTGTGGAGTGGGGAAATTTTGCCTAAGATTTCATTCTTCCTGCCAAGAAATCTGACTCAGGTTCCTCTTGACTTACCAGACGAGTTGCTCTGACCACTGAGCTCGCACTTACTGGGCGGTACACGTTACACTCGTGTCAGGACTCAGCTGGAACCAGTTACTTAAAACGCCAACATCGCCAAAGGAAAGAGAGAGAGAGAGACAGAGACAGAGACAGAGAGAGAGAGAGAGAGCTCTCTCAATGGGAATGATCGTAAAGAGCGACACTAATAAATCATTCATAAGAGAGAGAGAGAGAGAGAGGAGACTTTGGACTCTCGAGAGCACACTCAATGGGTTAGTGACTGACTTGGGGCTTCACTGTCTCAATGTGTACCAGAAGGGGGTGAGGGAGGAGGGGGTGAGGGAGGGAGGGAGGGGGTGAGGGAGGGAGGGGGTGAGGGAGGGAGGGGGTGAGTGAGGGAGGGGGTGAGGGATGGACATTTGCAGTGGATTTAATTGTGTGTGTGTGAGGGGGTCTTTTTTTTTGCGAATAAAAATGTAATAAAGCCGTTTGCAAACCGGATCCATCATTTAATTGCACCCGAGTTGGCGGTGGAGTAGTGCGGGAAACGCGCAGCACTTCTGTTCACCGCAACTCACCGGCGATCTCCGAAGACCTGGAGTCGACTTCCATTCGTGTAACGTGTCATTAATCGCAAATGCAGCTCAGAATCGATGGTAAATGTGTGTGTGTGTGTGTGTGTGGTGTGTGTGTGGGTGTGTGGGGTGTGTGTGTGTGGTGTGTGTGTGTGGGGGTGTTGTGGTGGTGGTGGTGGGGGGGGGTTGAGGGGTTAATTCAATCCTCAGCTGTCACTTTGTGTCGAGCAGTGCTTTTTTTTTTAATTTGTACTCTGAGTGTCAGAACGCGGAGTCTTTTTAATTTTTATTCTGATTTCTGATTTTTTTTGTGTGTGCGACTAAATTTGGGATTCTGCTGCGGCTCCTTTTTAGGGGAGTTCCTATCTCCCTGTGTGGGTACTTGTGAGTGTGTGTGAGTGTGAGTGAGTGTGAGTGTGTGTGTGAGTGTGAGAGTGAGTGTGTGTTTTAAACCAAAAGGGCTCTGTTAAACTTTTAAAATAAAATATAATTTGATTTGTCTTTTTTTTTGCCCTCCTCCTCCTCCTTCTCTCCCTCTCTCTCTCTCTCTCTTGCAACTCTTTTTTTTCCTCCTCCCCCCTCCTCCTCCCCCCTCCTCCTCACCCCTCCTCCTCCTCCCTCCTCCTCACCCCTCCTCCTCCTCCCTCCTCCTCACCCCTCCTCCTCCCCCCTCCTCCCAGTTCGTGCAATCAGCACATTTTCTTTGCATTAGGGCATCAATTTGCCTCTGTAAAAGAGCATCGTTGGAGGCCGAGCATTGGGGGGAGGAGGGGAGGGGGGGTGTAAAAAAATTGGTGAGTTCAAGTTTACATGTCCTCTCTCGTGGCTGAAATTGTGCAGAAAAGGTGTGTGTGTGTAAAAAAAAATGCTTCTTTTTTTCTCTCTCTCTCTCTCTCTCTCCGGAGAGGGGAGAACGCGCAGAGAAACGCTCAGATATAGACACAGGTTTCCTCGACGCACTGTGGACCACTTTTTTTTTAAATAATACATATAGAAATAATTGCAAATTCGGTCCAAACCCCCCCCCCCCCCCCCCCCCCCCCCCACACACACACCCACACACACACACACACACAATCCCGGGGTCTGACAACACAGTTAACAGTTTTTTTTTTGCAGCCACTTCCACTGCGGCAACGACGTTCGAAGGGGATTCGCTAGAGCGCAAAATGAACCCTGCAACCGGTTATATATACATAGAGAGAGAGAGAGAGAGAGAGAGATTAAGGAGTATTTTTTTTGAAAAAAAGAATTGCAGGAGGTGGGGGAGGGGGGGAGGAGGGAAAATAAATTCAGGTCTAAAGCTATCAATCGATATGGTTATTGTTTGACTGATTAGACCTCATATTTGTTTCCTAATAATATAGCCATCTATCTATCTATTTATTTACCTATCTATCTATGTATATATATATGTGTATATATATGTATATATCCACACACACAGTATAATCGGAAACACAATGTGCTTATAAAGGAAGTTGAGTTGATGCAATGCAGTGAGCAAACTGCTGCTCGATATGGTGCAGTCTTTAGGTAACGCTGAGGCTCGAACCACAGCCACCGACAGGCGATGTTGTGAACAGCCTCTGGTCACAGTCACAACAGCTTCATCGATCGCCCCAATGATTTTACCAATTCTCTCTGCCCTGAGATCAGGTTTCCCCCCTCTCCCTCTCTCTCTCTCTCTCTCTCCCCTCTCTCTCTCTCTCCCTCTCCCTCTCTCTCCCTCTCTCTGATGCAGAGTGAGAGCAATTCTCTTTATTTGAATGCAAACTGCACCACCGTTGAACGTGTGAGGCTTTGACTATCCTTTTTTTTCTTAAAAACGAAGGCGCAGGACGTGACACAGACCAAACCTGTGTTTGGATAGGTTTTAAGTTCAGTGTTGGGGGGGGGGGGGGGGGGATGGTTCTTTGGCTCCCCACCTGTCTGTAAGGATTTCCAAACTCACCTGGGACTTTTCTTCCCTCTCTCTCTCTCTCTCTCTCTGTCTGTCTGTCTCCTCGAGCAAGAAATTCATCAGTAGGTTAGAGGAAACGTTGGTATTAATATTAATACACATTTAACACACACACACACACATGAACATCCATCAACATGAGCCAATGTGGAAGGAGGGCGCTATTGCACATGAAAAATATGAAGGTTTTGTTTCCAGTTCAGACCTCCTCCAATTCAGCCCATTTCAAAATATTGGGCTATTTTTCTCTTCCCTCCCAACCCCCCCAAAAAAAAGAAAGTTATCCCGTCGTAGTTTTATTTCACTCATCCAAAAACTGAAACCCGAGATCGGTCAATTTTGCGCAATCGTTGATTGATAACATTTTGCGTAAAGGTTCCACCGTATTGACTTGAATTCCAAGGCTAAAAGCGGTTGGCGTGGGCTGACTTTTCAGACCTCTGCGATATTCTGCGAACCACTGAATTTCAACACCTTTCTCATTGGAAGTTCTGCATAGATTACTTCATTCTAGTTACGTAATAATCTTTGCATTTGATATAGCGCTTTATCGCAGTCGTTGAGACGTCTTAAAGCGCTTCACGGGATATATTGGGAATTGGCGTATTTTGTGGGCGAAACACAGCAGCCAATTGCGCACCGCATTGTCCAACGAATAATCGTGGATTGGGTCCCAAAATTTATTTATTTTTTGGAGGGATTATTAACCCCGGAAAGCGATCGGCCGATCAATTAATTACCGGGTTCCTACTTACTGCTCAGTAGACAGAGGAGTATGGAGTAAGGAAACTTGCCTAAGCTTGAACGCTGCCCACAAACTGAACCCAGGTCCTCTCGCTTGCGAGGCGAGTGCCCTAACCATTACACTACGGGATTCCTAAAGTTACAGGAGTTATATAAAGTTACGAGAACTCCTAGTTATTAGGATGTCAAGGTTTAAATCTTAATCTTCTATGTTAATGTTGAAGAGAGCTGAGATTTCAAGCACACCGGGACGCTACCCCCACGTGAAGGGCGCTATATAAATGCAAGTTGTTCTTGTGATGGTTAAATGGAATTGAAATGTGCAACGTTTTGGGGGAAAAAAAATGAAATAATTCTGTTCTTGAAATCTAGTGAAGAAATCGGGGAAAATGACGATGTTCATGGGGAAAGCGAGAGGAGGCACAACAGCGAACGTTTACACCAAGAGCCCGGATGGAGGCTGGGGTTGGGCAGTGGCCATTGCCTTCTTTATCATAGAAGCATTCACGTTTGGAATAATCAAAATGTTTGGTGTTTTCTTCACTGATTTAATGTCGTATTTTGAAGAGTCCAACAGCAGAGTGTCCTGGATAGTTTCCATCTCAGTGTTTGTGATGACATTTACTTGTAAGGATGATTTTCAACTATTTGTTTTTTTTAAACCATGTCAAGTGATAAGTTTGTTTACATCCCCTTTCCTATTGTTCCCTTCCCCCTGAATATTTCATAATAATGCTTGCATTTGGTATTGTGCTTTTCACGTAAGATATACTTGTATTTATATTCACATAAAGACAATTAATTATACTTATTGTATTTAAAACTACAATTCTAAATTGCATCCCCAGAAGGAGGGAGGTGGAAAGAAATTTGGAAAGATGTTTAGAAAGGTGAAAGAAAATACTGAGACACTCATGGCTCTGCCTCTCTCACAAAATTGGCAGCTGCCTGGTGTAGCTCTAAGTAACGTAGGACTGGTGGTGATGAGGGCGGGTAGTGGAGGAGAGGAAACTATTAATGTTCTTGCTCAATATGGCCCCAGCGCCTTGGGACGTCCTCCCGACGTGAAAGGTGCTCTATAAGTGGAATCTTGTTGTTGTTACCAGTGATCTCAGTTGGAAGGCGTGTGGCTATTGGCTGTGTTTGAGATTGGCTGCAAATGCCTTGCATGGTCATGTTGGCCTGCTGAATGAACCTCATTGCTTTAGCCGAATGCAAAGAATGTTTCCTTCACCAAGGAAGGGTTTGGGTTTTGGAGGGATTATTATTAGGCTCTGTGTGGAGTAAGGAAACTTGCCCAAGGTTTGGCCCTCTGCCTGGAATTGAACTCAGGTCTCTCACTTGCAAAGCGAGTGCTCTAACCACTGAGCTACAGGACTCCACAGGTTGTACCTTCAGCAGAGAAGAAGAAATCAAATTGACAAAAAGGATTGATCTCAAATGTTCAAATGATCTCACATAATGTTGCTTTTTTGATAAGTCAGCGTCTAGTTGTGCAAAGAGCTGGTAACGGTAACTGTGTGCAACTCTTAATGTAATGGAGTTCCATTTGAGTTCCTAATACTGAATCTTAATCACTTAGACATTGTTGAAAGGATGATATTTGTATTTTGTTTTAGACAATAGGGTAGTTATCATGACTTTTTCATCATCCTGTGTGTAATGGAAAGACTTTCTAACCTAAATAGTTAGGATTTCTGTCTTTTTTCTGCAGTGTTTAGCTACGGTGGTTAACTTGACTGAAAGGTCACTGTTTAAACCTGTGTAGAGTAGTTTGGAAAATGCCATGAAAATTCTTTCTTAAACCAATTATTGAAATATTAGCCATTACTTTGCTGAACTTGTTTGCAAACGTAAGATCCTTTTTATTTCAAATCTCTTTCCCACAGCAAAACGGGTTTCATCTAGTATTCTGCTGAAACGGTCTCTTGTTCCACTTAAGCTCCAGAATTTAGATCATGAAAGAATGGCCTGAATCCAGTAAACTCGAAGCTTAAGCAATAATAAATGTTAAAGGATGAAGACGAAACGACACTACGGTTTGCCAGTACCTATTGAACCAGAAGCAAAGTTTCAGAAAGATCCCAATAGCAATACAGTAAATGTGCCTGAGGTGAATTTATAAAATAGATGTCAGGGGTTGAGTTTATTGTAATAGTAATAATAATAATCCTTGCATTTGATATAGCGCCTTATCACATCGTTCAGACGTCACATAGAGCTTCACATACTGTAAAGTGTATTGTAAAGTGAATTGACTGAATATTTTGTGGGCAAAGCACGGTAGCCAATTGCCCTCAGCAGCGTCCCACAAACAAGTCGTGGATTGAGTGACCAAATTATTATTATATTTAGATATTATTTTGAATTGGTTATTAGCTCCAGAAAGTGATTTGCCAATCGACTAACAACTGGGTTCCTACTTACTGCTAGGTAAACAGAGGGCGTGTGGAATATGGAAATGTGTCTAAAGTTTCACTCTGCCCAGGAATTGAACCCGGGACCTTTTGCTTGCAAGGCGAGTGCTCTAACCAATGTGCTACAGGACTCCATTATACTTTTTTTTAACCCTCGTGATTATTAAGCTTGGTGGAAAGGATACAGCAAGCAACAATGGTTCAAGTTTTGCAAAGATTAAATGATCATTTTGTTTGGTTAACCAAAACGAGGTATAATTTCCATAGGATTGAGGCGATTTATTTAAAGAATCTAATCCTTTTGCCACCGACTTTTCATTTTTCTTAAAATATTGTGTTCAAAACGATGAAATGACCAGAAATCGTATCATGACTAGACAACTTTTTCGTCTATTACTATCAAGCTATCCCAAAGCCATCAAACAGTAAACCCCACAATATATTGTTTTGAATACATTGAATCCGTTGCAATATTTGCAATGTTCATCCCTTTTTTTAAAGAAAAAAATGCCATTGCTCAAGTAAGAGTTCAGTAAAATCTGCCGTTTATATAATCAATAGTGATTTAATGTGATGTGTATGTGTATGTGTGAGTGAATGCTAGGCGTATCGCCGAAAGTTTAGGAGACAGTTTTGATTAACATCATATAAACATTGTTTCTGGGCACCTGAGTCGGAATCGAACCTGGCCTGGCGTAGAGGGTGATGTGAGAATGTTTTGAGTGATGAGTGTTCTCCTGCTGTTTGACTTTAGTTCAGATATCCTCTAACCCGACTTGGTGTGTGACTAATTATGCTACCACCCCACTTGTGGTGCAGAGCGGTTACAAAAGCTGCTCATACAGATATAAGCAATAAGCAGTTTCCCTCCAGATGGTGAAAGCATTCTGTTTACAACGTGGGGCAGTTTGATTGGCGGTAGTCAAAGGGAAAGCAATCGCTACCCAATTGTGCATCAACTGCCACTTTTCTCAGTGAAGTGGAATTTGAAGCACTATTGAAGCCTCTTTAATGCTTTAAATCAGGATATAAAAATAACTTTTTCTGTATATTTTATATCTCCAGTCATAAATGACTATTCACAAGGGCATCCTCAACAGCAAAACTGCAGCAGAGGCTGAAATCAACCACTGCTGACGTTGCAGTCATTATTAAACTTTTATTCTTAGTGGCAGGAAAGTTGTCATGGGCTTCCATTGACCTCTAGAGATTAGAGGTAGGTGTCAGGTGTTGGGTTTCTTTTGCAATCGAGTAACTTGTAGCGGCTAAATGGAAACTTGGTGTTGCTCAATTTCAATCAATTGCTTGTAACTTGAAATTAACACTGGATCCACAAGGCCATAAATGGTTCATTTCGTGCTGGCTGATGGATGCTGTGTAGCTGGTTCAAAATACTACTTAATCCATTCCGATGACAATTTGCCTCTCTGCATTGGAATCACAGTACAGGAAACTTCCTGTGATCAAAATGTGATCAAAAACTTGCATTGGCAGACACCCGTTTCTGTGTTTTTTTGTGGCATCTATTGCTCGATCCCACGGTTCAGTTATCGAAGCCTTCGTATGTGAGCAGAAATTCGTTTTTTGACATGGTTATTTGACCCCTACTAGTTTTATCTGATAGGACAGTGACCCCAATTAATCTAATTAAAAAAATTGAAATAGTTGGAAGTGTTAAGGTACAATAGTTTTCACATGACACTATAACCTATTGTTGCAGTTTGGCTAAAGATCAAAATCTACATTGCAATGTTTGCTGTTATAATCTATTCCAACTCCCATCTGGACAATCAAAAGACTGTGTATAATTTTTAATGCTAGCTAGTCGGACAAATGAACTAACCGTGCTTTTTTTGTTGTTCTTTTCTCCTTTCCAAAATTATCATCCTCCTCTAATCCTCCAGGTTCCCCTTGTGCATTAACCTTACCCCAGATGAGAAGATGGGCGGGAGATCTGCCTCTGGCAATGGCACTGTGTAACTGAATGCTCGGAGATGTGCAAGTGTGTGTGTGTGTGTATGCGACATATATCTATCTGTGTGCTTATCTTCTACGTGCATTTAGTTTTTCTCCCCCCTCTCTCCCCCTTATCTATGTGGGTCCCTTTACTTTGTTATTGCTTCCCCCCCCCACCCTTCTCTCTATCTCTGTGGTTTCCCACTGCAGAGAAATGCTAGCACAAAACAATGTCCTTCCACGACTGAGCCAATGTAAATGTTGCACGTCTCTGCCAACATTCAAATCATACTTCTCCAAACACCAGTGAGCTGCAATTGCCATTTATTTATTCTCCTTCTGAACTCAAGTAGATTTTGAGAAAAATGAACCCAATGAAGGAAGTGCAAACTGACAAACTACTCTGCCAACTATATTTGTGCAAAAGCTAACAGATTTCAATTTTTCGAATTCAGTCCAAAGGCAATGAGATAAAAATGGCATTTAAGTTTAAGATTCATCAACTTCTGGTATTTTGTGCATTGATGCATTCGAGAGAAATGGTCTTGGGTGGTTTAGGAAACTTGGGGAAAACTTTTCTTTGTGCAGGACACTGCTTGAATTGTGCATTGCTAACCTGCGGCACTAATGAAATTCAGCAATAATAAAATAAAAGCTCACTTTAACCTCCCTCTGCTGGTTTCTGTGGCTGAAAGCAACTTTTTACTTTACTTTATGAAGCCTGCCCGCGCTTGATTTTTCTTTGAATCTATTTGAGGAACCTCTGCCCGCACAATCTTTAACAAACATTGACAGACAGACCTGCTTAACTGCTTCGTAATTCTTCTGCATTTTAGCTTCGAAGTATACATATAGGGGCTGAAAAGTGTACCGACTTCGAGTTTTGTGATTGAAACCTCAGGATAGCTCTCGCTTTTCTCCAAAGAGCAGTTTCCCAATTAATAAACATTGTTGTAACTATTCCATTGGCATAATAACCTGGGACATCGAATAGTTTGTATAGTGATTTAGAATGTCAATATTGCCTATTGCCCATCCTCCTAGTCAACAAACCAGCAGAAAGCCTCAACTATAAACATTTGTTTCCACTCCAGCGTGACAAATTTTGGGGTCAATAAATAAATTTTAGATTTCTGCTTAATTTCTACACCACGAATACACACTCAAATAGAGGCCTTTAATTGTTGGTGTGCACTGTACTCTTGCTTTTTGTGCAGTGGCAACAAAATGTTACCTCTTTGAGAAATGACAGATTAAATCTGATTGACCACAAATTTCGAAGTGGATATTCTTGAATGTTCTTCTGCATAAGTGGGGCAAAGCGGTTTTTTTTTTTACTTTGAAATATTCCGTTTCTAGATTAAATTGATTATAAGGTCCAGAATGTCGCAAAACATCAATATTGCGAGGTATTCAGGAGATGACCTAACTGCTCAGGTGCTTTTCTCTCTCTAATCTTGTCCCCTCTCTTCCTGAAGGTTCTTGACCCATGTTTTCTAGTTGTCCTGATGCCTCTATTTTGTATTGAAAATCAGTGGCATTTTTAATTCAACTCAATACAATATTAAATACGTTTTTGCTATTTGTTGTTATTCTGCTGATGGCAGCATCTCTTAGATTTGTCTATGTGTACAACCCTTGTATTTTCTTTTAAATTGCTGTTTTTTACTGCCTGTGAATACTGATGTATTTGGTTTACATCAAAAATGGGTAGAATCAGACTTTCAAATGCCAAAAGCTGGCGATTATGAGTCTGCAATGCAAAACTAATACGGGTAGAATTGTTACTGTAAGTGTCTTATTCCACTATGAAGTAAAAAGATAGTATTAGCTGTTTAATCTATGCAATGTGCCACAGTAAATAAAGGTAGTGATGTATTGGGAGTCTTTGGAGCAGGAACTGGAATAATGGTTCATGGAATAAGCTTTTCTTGTAACACAGCCAAACGTGTTATAGTTGTGTACAGGTGTAAATGTTTTCGGTATGTGTTCAGTTCTTGATGAGATCTATAAGTAGAGATCTGACTTGATGCAACTCGCTGATCTGATTTGGGGTTCCCTGATGCCCAGTACTGCGGTCACAGGCAGCGGGTGGCTAGAGCTAGAGGGGGCTTCTCCACCCCACCCCCACCCCATGCAGCTCATCTCTAAGGAGAGCTGGGAGGGGAAATCCCTGAAGAGGACCACAACCCTCCTCTGAGCTGCCTAACCCATGCACCCCCTTTTTGTCTCAACTTGTTGGTGGTGATTGATCCAGTGGGCTGCACGTCAGGGCATCCTCACCTCTGACTTACCAATGGGCCTATTAGTCAAGCCAACAGCTCACCTGTCTTAAAGGTGACTGACCCTTTAACTGAGTTTTACTCAGCACCCTTCACCCCCTCCCCACCAAAAAGTGATATTTTTACCTGCCGCCTTTGACTGCGGTACTTTTGTGTAATCTTTGAGGAAATCAGAACAATTGAAACCCAACATTTTTTTTCGTGAGTGCTGATTTGGGGGCTTTTGCCGCTTGAATCAGGTTGAGGCAAAATGGTGTGGATGTTTGTGGTTAGTACCGTGGCTGATAGTTTTGAAGGTTTTTTTTAAAGTAACTTGCTAAAGTTTATGAGGCCGTGCAATTTTTTTTTTTAAAAAACTTTTCAGTTCAATTAGTTTCTCCTTTCTCCCCCCATCCCACCCATGTTTGTAACATGGTGCATGTGTTGGCTGTTTTATCACCCTGTATCAGTTTGCAAGGATGTATCAACAAGTAAGTGGGCAGGCACATAAACAATAATTTTCTTAGCCATTTATGTATTTAAAGATGCTTAAAAATCTCACTATATTTGCATTGCCCATTTTTATAACAAAAAAGACCTGCATGATATTTGCAAAGTATTGTTGAATTTGCGCTAATGGTTTTCTTTCTTTACAGCTCCACTTTCTACAGTGCTGATTAACCGATTTGGGCATCGGCCAGTGGTAATGCTGGGTGGACTGCTGACCAGTCTGGGAATGGTGACGGCGTCATTTGCAAGTAGAATTGAAGAACTATACATTGGGATTGGAATAGTCTCAGGTAATTACAATTTGACCTACATATTTCCACTTCCTCTTGTTCAATTCCTTTTTTCTTCTACTAGGATGCAGCGTAGGCAACAATCTCCCTTCAGTACTTCGTTGAGGTGTCCATTTTGCACGTGCAATCCCTCGTCAATAGACAGGGGAAGGAGTCCCGTCAATATAACATTGTTCATCGCCACATCTGCTGAATGACTTGTGCATTGAGGGGGAAATGGGGGATATATATATATATATATGTATATATATATATATATACAGAACCTGTGATTTGTTGACAATGGAGAAGGCGGTCCGTCCGGTCACGGCATTTCCGCGTGCTCAACCCTTGCAATGATTCGGCACCAACCTAAAGGCTCAAAGCAGAAAAACCTGCTCATTAAACACTTGTTGGAATTTATGCTCCCATTTGCACACCGACATTTCCTTCCAAGTGAGCACCTGAAGTTTAATGGCAGCTGCTCACCACTGGAGGGCGTCAGTTAGTCTTGTCACAGGACAGTGCAGAAGAGGATCCCTCTGTAAAGTGCTTTGCTTACATTCCTGATGCCATTAAAGTCTAGAATAAAGTTATTCCAACATATAATAATAATAATAATAATAATCCTTGCATTTGATATAGCGCTTTTCACGTCGGGAGGACGTCCCAAAGCGCTTCACAGAACACACTGTAAAGTGAATTGACTATATTTGTGGGGGAACGCGGCAGCCAATTGCGCACTGCAATGTCCCACTTAGGGTTAGGTTATGGTCTTCAGGATATTTTACTTGGGTTGAGTGAATGTATTTGATGAAGCTCGTGCCGTTATGCGTTTGGAACTGGGATCCTGTAACTGCAAAGCCCTTGGGCCTGATTTGAGATTTTTTTTTAAAAAAATTGTACATCTTGGATATTTCCAGCAGTGAATTAAGTTACCTCTTTTTCATACCTTCGTTGCGAACACATGGTTGCTTCATTGATAGTGTTCATATTGATGTAGGGACAGTAGGTCGAGATGGTGTATTATGCAGCAAGAACATCTTATTAGCTGAAAGCTGTATAAAATAAAAAACCAGTTAACGTACGAAAAACATTCTTATAGACTAAATATTGCCGCACAATAAAGGATTTAAGAATCCCAATTGCCGAGGCTAACTGAATGAGATGTGAATGTTGAAATTGTCCTGTGATAATTACTTAACTTTTTAAACCTCCAAACCAGGGCTGGGTTGCAGCTTCAGTTTTCTTCCCGGAGTCACAATCCTCTCTCAGTACTTTGAGAAACGCCGCTCCCTTATTCTTGCTCTCGCCTCTACTGGGGAATGTTTTGCCGTCTTCATTTTTGCACCTGGTAAGTATCTATGACACCAGTAGCTACTCACATGAATCCGAGCTAAACTGTAAAGGTAACTTGCTTCATCTTTTGGCAAGCCATTACTTCCAAATGAAGGGATTTTAATGATGTGCACTCGTCAAGTGAAAATCTTCTTTTATGTGCAAATTGGGGTTTAAAATGCTGTAACGATCTAATGGGATTCTTCAAAGGCCTTCTACTCACCAAGGGGACACATTGCGCTAACCAGAGGTAATGTGCTGTATTCTTTCCCTTTAAATGCTTTTGTTTTCTATTTTCAGCTTTCACCTCACTGAAAAATAATCTTGGATGGAGGAATTGTTTCCTAATTTTAGGTGCACTCCAGCTGAACATTGTTGTGTCTGGAGCTCTGCTCCGACCACTTATCATCGTTGAAAGTGCAAAGAAAAAAACACCTGATGGCGTGAAGGAAACAAAATACATGCTGGTTAGTGAGGAAACAAATGCCTTGACGAACTCAGGAGCGGAACCTTTATCTACCTCGCACAATAATTTGCACCAAAACAAGCAACCTATAATTTCCGATGAGCTTCACAAAGAAGATCTTCAAATTGTCCAGGAAGTGCCAAAGCCACAGGCACAGCCTCGGCCACCGTTACTCGACTTTTCAATACTGAAGAATGTCGGCTTCATCTTTTATGCACTTTTCGGACTTTTTGTCACTTTCGGATTCTTTGCACCTCAACTGTATGTCATTCCGCTCACTCTCAGCCAAGGGATCGAGGAAGGGGCAGAGTACATGCTTTCTGCTATGGCAATTAGCGAGCTGTGCGGAAGGATCTCAACGGGCTGGATCCTAAACAAGCAGCCTATACGCAAAATTTATATCGTACTGATTTATACTATCATCCTGAGTGTGGTGCTGTTATGCTTTCCATTTGCAAGAGGATTCTGGAGTCTTCTTACCTGCAGTATATTCTACGGATTAATGTTCGGTACTGTGGCTGGCAGCCATATTTCAGTTATTGCAGAGGATGATGTAGTTGGAATTGAGAAGATGTCATCTGCACTGGGAATTTACATGTGTATTCAGAGCTTCTCAGGTCTTGCCGGACCCCCAATTGGAGGTACTTCTTCTCCTCTCCCCAGTAACCCCCCCCACCCCCCCCATTTATCCTTTTATCGTATTTTATATCATAGATTTTTAGTTTAAAAATGACATTAATTTGACACCAAGTGGGTGCAAGCTTGGTCCATGATTATTACACTAGTTTCACACCATTATCTCTTATAAAAGTGCCAACCCAAAAGTTCATAAATAAATACCTTTACAGTACCTCCCATTAATTAGCTTTGGAGTAAGTTGGTCCATTTGACACTGAATTTGGGGCACGTATGATGTTGTGGACCAATGTTCACTAGGATGAGAGGCAACTTAAACACAATCTTGGACCAAGGCTTTCATTCCATCTATAAAACCTGATCACAGTGAAATGATGCTGGTAATTGTGTGAATTGCCAATCTTTTGATACCAGCTTTTTTTTTTTTGCAGGCTTTCTCGTGGATATTACGGGTCAGAATTATGGATCTGCTTTCTTCGCATGTGGTACTGGAACAGGAATAGGAGCCATTTGTCTTTCATTAGTTCGGTTCAGTAAAAAAAGATGTAGGAAACAGCAGGTGCAAGAAAATCCCAAAGATGACCAAGATTTGACTAAAGACTACCTTGATACATAATTAAAAATATCAAAATGTACATCGTGAATTTCAAAGCATAGCATGAAGAAACGGACAGCTATGTGCACAAAGATTAAAGATTGTTCCCTTTTGCAAATATCAATCATAGTCTTCCAAACTCTGGCCTGTTTGAATCACTTTCATGCCAGTGTCCACTGAAAAATGGATTAACAAAAACAAATTATACTTGTATAGCGCCCTTCACGTTGGAATTGACTATTCAGTTTATATGTGGACAGTGCAAGAACCATTTGTCAGCGCCTTGGGACGTCCTCCTGATGTGAATGGCGCTATACAAATGTAATTTGTTGTTGTTGTTTCATGTTTCACTTAGCGTTGTGAGGAAATTCAAACATTCACTGATTACTCAAACCAGAAAATGGAGAGAATATAAATTACATTCAGAGATTCAAATTGTAATTTTCAATCATCCAAACAGGTAAAATCATTGGGTGCTCTTAATTCAGATTTCTATTTTATGTTGTTTATTTTAATACTCAAAGGGAGAAAGGCAATCATATAATCTACACCTCACCATATCACAAATTAGTATATAATAGAAAGCATTATTTTAAAATATTCCAGAAAGTGGCCTAGATGAATGCTCCATTCCACCACAGAGGAACTTTAGTTTGAATAACAAGACTGTTGAATCACAAGGAAAGATCATTCCCGTTTTTTAAAAATAACTGCAGAGGCAATACATATCTGACACCTGGAACTCTAAATGGGGTTATGATTTATTGTCTTATGCGAGGGAAGTGTTACTTGTGTAAGTCAGGAATGATAACCTCATTTAAGGGTTCAGGCCTGTTTTATTGGGCTGAGCATTAAGATGAATTTGTTAACTACATCAATAACAATCTTTTGTATTAAGGTGTTTCTAATCAGTTGTGCTCTGGAATTGAAAAGGGATTTATTGGTTCAAAATAAATTAAATCAAAGACAGCAGTAAAGCAAGCAATTAACGCAGTAATACTGCCAACACTACGAATATGATACAACTGCCAAGAATGAACCTGGAGTAGTAGCAACGATTGGAAGAAAATAATTGCTGAATTCCTCAGTTATTTAATATCTAAATTTGAATGTTTTAGTTGTGTTGCAACATCACTGCCCAAAGACCTACCTAACCATTCAGAATTTTCCATATTACATGGTGGAAAGATTGGAGGACAGCTGAAAGGGATTCTATGCTCTTTGTGAAATGCAGTGACAAAAATGCCTCTAAACCTCATTTCCTAATGCACGACCAGGAAAACAAATTCTGACACTTTACCATTTGGCAAAGAAATTGATTGCATTGCATTTTTATTTAAATTACAACGACTAAGTCTATTTCTGGTTATTAAAAGCTGTTTCATATGGAATGAAACTTACTGTGCCAAGAGAAAACACAGAGCCTGGGGCATTATACTTGGTAGTGTTTCAGCCATAGTTATTTTTAATGAACCTGTAAACAAACTTGCAAAACAAAGTTCCAAAACTAAGCACTTCTAACATCCTTCTTGGATATATGTAAACACAAGTACCAACTGAAATTCATATTCAGCAATACTTTGGATATTACTAATGTTTTAAGTGAGCAGCTAAACATATCGAAGACGCAACTAATTTTTAAATCCATTTGATTGTAAAATGTAACTGTGTTTGAATACAATAGCACTTTACCTGAATTAGTGCAAAGCTTCTAACAATAACACTGCAGTGAATGCAGTTGTTAACATTTTAGCTTGTTAATTCCTTTTTTAGAAAGGGCAATGTTTTCCTTTTTAAAAAAAATTGAGAAGTCAGGTATATGATTTCTTATTTTATTCTGGGTTGGAATAGACTGAGGAGATATAATGAGGTTACTAAAACAGACAGGTGTATTGGAAAAGGCTGCATAATGTGTAAAACTTTGTTTAGTTTAAAAGTAAATCCATTTATTACAGTCACTTGAACACTACAAAATAAACTCATTTTAATTATTTTAAATTATTAAACTAATCTACTGTAACTGTTTTAAACAGATGTGCAGGTGTTAATACAAAGACCTGAGTAATTTGTTGTTCTGCCTAACCATATATCTATATTCATTTCTTTATAGTTCACAAATGTCACATTAAGAAGGTGGATAAAGGAATTGTTGTGTAATGGTATTTTTATCATTAATGAAAGAAATGTTTTTACTAAGGAAAGGAACGCAGAGTTAAATACTCCAGTAGCACAGAAGGTTACCTGGTTCATTGGCTGCCCTTGACCGGCCTATTTTATTGGGCTAAAATTTTGACAAAAGCTTTTTGCTTGCCAGAAAATATGAAGAGAATTATGTTTCAATACAGTAAATGGTAATTTGCTGCGCTGGTAGTGAGCAAGTGTCTCAGACTTTTAGTAGGTGAAAGAATTATCCTCACTGCTTTACTTAAGACAGAATGTGAAGAACTTTCAAATCCTTCTACGCTTTTGATAGTAATATATAATTTCAATCGTGTACAGTACATTATATTCAATTTCAGATGTTTTATCTGTATATCAAACAACGATTAATTGAATGCGAAATTCAGTTTTAACGTGTTTATAAAATAATGTTAAGTGCAGGTGCACAGGTGGTTTATTATACAAGTCGGAATCTTCTATAGACTGAAATTAACTTGTACTTTTGAAATGCTTAGCAAAATGAATGCCAACAAAGTGAAAGGCATGCAAAAATGTCTTTTTTATGCAAGATTTTATTTGTTATATCTTCTACTTGAACTCCAGAAACTGTTTGTTTAACTCCTGAAGTTTCTCTACGGTTATTAAATTTCAGAATTTAACTAGTCCTAGACCAATCTTCACATTTTTTCAAAATTATAAAAAGTCTTGGGTGCGATTTTCGAAATTTGAACCATTCAACAACAACACGATTGCATTTATAGAGCGCCTTTCATGTCAGGAGGACGTCCCAAGGCGCTGGACAGTTGGGTCGGGACCCGAGCAGGGGGGAAATGGTCAGGGGGAAGGGAGGGAGCAAGGAGGGGGAAAATGGTCAGGGTGAGGGGAGGGAAGGGAGGGAGCGAGGAGGGGGTAGAGAGTCGAGAGGGGAGCTGAAGGCATGGTTGAAGAGAAAGGTCTTGAGACCGGCCTTGAAGGAGGAAAGGGAGGAAGCGGCGAAGGCACTGGGGGATGGAGTTCCACAGCCCAGAGGCTGAGAGACTGAAAGCCCGGCCACCGATGGTAGGGCGGTTAGGGCAGGGGATGTGGAGCACACCGGATACATTCAGACGATGTATTGAAACTTTCATAGCAATACCAAACACTCAATATCTCAACACTTAGAAACGTCCAAGATAAGCAACTTTCTGAAGCAACAATATACACGATTAAATCACTGGTAGCATGCTACTGAAAAAAATCTTCTTGAAGCGTATTACAATACCGTCAGATTAACAGCATCATGCACCACAGATCAACTCTCAATAGTTCTTCTGAGCACAATCTGACCACGAGGGGTGCAGTTTCAAAGAATTTGCTGTAAAGTGTAGTGTCTATTTTGTAGGACCTTTGCAACACATACACACATCATATGTATGTTCAGTGCCTTTGGGGATACCTGTAAAATCATTCCTCCAGAATTTGCAAACACAGTAATAGCCATTTTTTCCATTCTTCGAATGCTTCCATGGGCTTGTCTAAAGGTGCTGTAGTTGCCACATTAGGATTCGAATTTTGCTCAATCCACTCCAGTAAGGCCTGAAATATAACAACAACAAATTACATTTGTCGGGAGGATGTCCCATCGCTCTGATATATCCTGTAAGAACTATGAAAAGGCTATAAGTGGTTTGTGCTGTACCTTGTATCTCTTTTTAATGTCAAAATGAATAGCATAATGCAGCTTTCGTAAACAAATAGGGCAAAGATCAATTGGTCGCCGATCAGATTCCTCGAGATGGTTAGAACCTTGCATAATACACTGCAGCCATTGGCAGTGCTTGATGCCGAAAATATGTCCAATCTCATGGGTTAAAGTCTGAAAATAGAAATAAATATATCAATGAAAATGAGCCTTGGGAACGTTTTGTAGAATTTTATCAAAAATTACAAAGGCCAATATCATGTTTAGCTAAGAAAAATTATCTCATCCAATAGCTGAACTGCAGCATGTTTACATTTCAACTAGTATTATCCTGAATAAAAAGTCTCCAGCCAATTTTTCTTCTCTGGTCTCCTCTCGTTTTGCAGACAAGAGAAAAAATAATATAGTGAAAGTCAAATGAGATATTCAAAGTCAACTTTTGTTCCGACAGTAGCTGACATCTGCCTTAGTTAATTATGCCATGTCCATTTCTTTCAACGAGAAATGACTTCAGTTAAAAGGAGAGGAAACTAAAGACATTTACCAATCATTTTAACATACTGATCCAATATGTTTTACTTTAGCTAATGAACAAAACGTGAACATTGATGTTGCTTTGAGTAGTTTCATTCCATGAGTTGAAGCTTGGGTTACAGAGCAGACTTATACTCAGACAAGATGTTAAGAACTACAAAACTCCTCATTTAAGGCAAGTGTCTCCCCATTCCTCCAGCATTATTTCTGAACCAACAATCAATCACCTTGCATGACCTAAGAAGCAATTTGCTTGTGATTGGTGGTGTGTAGTACCCATCAAAGACTGAGTAATCCTTAGGATCAAGATGTATATTTTTCTTCAGCTTTCCTTTGTAGCCCGCTGTGTAAAAATTATCATCGTATCTAGCAAAGCTGAATATGCCTATTCCTGTAAAAGAAACACAACAGCTCACAACAAGCATAACAGAAAAAATCCTTATATTTTTGATCCTTACAAAGAAAGTATCTTTTCGGCTGTGCTATTTACAAACATTTACTGGAAACACATCTACATTAAATTTGTTTAACACTTAAGAAAATAACGTTTGTGAGTTTGAAGCTCAGAGATTTACAATATTGTGAAGGTTGTCATAAGAGAAGGAAAGTACCCCCTAATAATATATTTTAAATGGTCACAAATTCTATAAGGGAATACGGACCAAAGGCTCTCAAGAAGGAATTCTTCTATCGTAGTTCTGCTGGGACACAAACTAAACATATAAAACTCATAATTCATCACAAATTAAATTGAATTACGTTTTACAGGAAGTGATGAATACGTGGACTAGCCACCAAGGAATATGGTGTCAGTAAATTCAAGAATAAATGAGATAGCTAGTAGATAAGGACATCTATTGAGCAATAGAGTAGTATATGTGACATAGGATTATTATGTGCAGACAGTGAATGTCTCTGCAGGCTATTCATCACAGCCGAGCCCAATTTAGTCTTCCCTCAATGCTAATGTACATACAGGGGTCATTCGAAAGTGCTCAGGAGCAGCAACCCTGTTCAGCTGACTCAGCACACACCACAAATCAAATGCACCTTTCTCCTCTGTAATGGTTAGTGCTGCACCAGGCAGTGCTTTTGCTTTCCAACCCATTGAGGAAACTGTAAAAGCATACTCCTAACACTGAAGGTCACCTACACACTCAATCATTATATACATCAACCTCTTTGAGAAGAGGATATGAGTCAGTAAGAATGTAAGATAGGAGCAAAAAAGTTTCCTGCTTTTCAATGCTATACCTACCTTCCGTAAGGGATGCTGTGCCAAACACGAAGTTCCAGGAGTCTTCAGGATAAAGATCGATCATTGTAATTCCAACAATACAGAAAGCATCCTTCGGCTTTTTGTTCTTCAGGTATTTGAGAATATGAGCTATATATATATTTTAAAAAATCAAATGAGTTTAAAATTGTGCAAATTCAAAACCAGCTACAGACAGAGATGAAACACTGATTTATTTATAGGAAACAGATATCAATATGGACTATATAATTCTTCAACTACCAATAACTTTTCCAGTGAGCAAGGACAAAGTCAGCACCTCTACTACTAATTGACTCTTGTAGTCCAGCAACCGCAAAACAGCAATTCAGAAAATCCTGAAAATCCTTCCCAAATGATCCAATATCCCTCCAGTTACAAAACTGTCTTCTCAACGGATCTGCTATTTGAGAAACCTTACCCATGTGAGACTATTAAAGGTCATTAAATTCATGGCAAATCAGCTAACTGGATAGAAATTTTTACAAGGTTAACAATTCTACATTTGTGGACTAGTTGCAATGCTAACAATCATTCACAGCTCATGCTAATCTATAAAAAAAAATGCTTCATATCATATATGAAAATAGTATGGAATAGTACCTGTATAAATCTGCAGGTTGTGTGAGTATGTATTGACACGGAATGTACAGGCAGTGGCAGACACTGGAACAGGAGGCAGGAGTTTGACTTTAAGACCATAGTAAAATCTCTCGCAGTATTCTTTTAACCAATTAATATACTTGATGGTGGTCGTCTCCAAATCTCCAAATACACCTGAAATGAGAAATAATACTGCAAAAAAACAAATCAGATTAGCCGATAAAGAAGCTGGGTTGAGATGGAAGACTGAACTCAAGCTCTGCTGTCTAGATCCTGAAGGGGGAGTTGGGAGCCTCAAGCAATTCCTGAAATTCACTGCTGGTGTAACAATAATAATCCTTGCCTTTGCTATAGTGCCTTATCATATCATTGAGCTTCAAAGAATACACTGCAAAGTGAATTGACTGCATATCTTGTGGGCAATTGCACACAGCACAGTGTCCCACAAACAGTCATAGTGTAGTTCTGTCTCGCAGCTATTGGTCTTGCTCCTCCATGCACAGTGAGTTGCTTTGCAAAGGAATCTCCACTTAAAGCTGGCGTTTTCTACACAAGGCTGCTGAAGTAACAGCCAAAGAGTAGAAAAGCACTTTTGCAGGAGAATGCAGTACCACCCATTGGATCTGACAGGACAACAGTCTAACTTAATAATCCTTGCATTTCATATAGCGCTTTTCACGTCGGGAGGACGTCCCAAAGCGCTTCACGGAACACATCTGTAAAGTGAATTGACTGTATATTTGTGGGCGAACGCGGCAGCCAATTGCGCACAGCAATGTCCCACAAACAGTCGTAGATTGAAAATGACCAATTTATTATTGTTTTTGGTTTTGGAGGGATTATTATTAGGCTCTGTGTGGAGTAAGGAAACTTGCCCAAGGTTTGGCCCTGACCTGCCTGGAATTGAACTCAGGTCTCTCACTTGCAAAGCGAGTGCTCTAACCACTGAGCTACAGGACTCCACAACTTGGCAGAACCCTGGGCAAACATCAGAAGAAATGTAGCACTGGGAGTGCGAATTCAGTGTGTGTCAGTTTGAATCAAAAAGGAAACAAAAATAACTCAACAAACTCTTCTTCGAATGAAATTTCATATCATCACACCAATAGCCTGAATGTAAATAGTGCTTTTCCCAGGAACTGGCAACAGCCTGGATTGGCTGCTGCAAAACATGTAGAAATCCTGCTTTGCTTCTGAATGACTCCGGATCCAGTCAGATTCCGAATGCAACTCAATGGGTTTGAAGAGGGTGGTGGTATCCGCACCGAAGGCTTCTTCCAGGAGACGCTTCACTCCTGGACTGAATTTCTGGTATAGTTCGATGAGGTCCCCTTTGTTAGACACCAGGGCTGTCCTCAGTGTGTCTTCACTGTGTCTGACGATCTCCATCGGGAAAAGGAGTACATGATACTGCAAATAAATTTTAAAGTTAAAATCAGTATTTTAAATATCCTTAAGATATTATGTGCGTACGTATTATATGTAACTACTGTTTTCCAACAGTTAGGTTTGTAGAGCAGCTTTCACGTCAGGAGGGAGGACGTCCCAAAGGGCTGGACAGTCAGGGACCCGCACCCGAGCTGGTGTTGGGATCAGGAGGGGTCCGGAGGAAGGGGGGAAGGAGGAGGGTGACCGAACGAAGGCACGGTCGAAGAGGAGGGTCTCGAGGATGGGTCTTGAGGTAGGCAAGGGAGGGAGGGGGGGGGGGGGGGGGGAGACGAGGCGGAAGGACTGCGGGGACGGAGTTCCAGTGGGTGGGGGCAGAGCGGCTGAAGACCCGCCAGCCGACGGTGGGCTGCTTGAAGCAGGCTGGAGCCCGCCGAGCGGAGGGAGCCGGGCGGACGAAGACTCGTCCTAGACGCAACGACGACGACGACTTGGATTTACGTAGCGCCCTCCAGGCCGGACGGCGTCTCGGTGTCTGGAGTTCCAGAGCCTCGGGGCGCGGTGGCTGAAGGCACCGAGGAGTTGTGGGGGTGGGGGGAGGGAGTTGTGGGGGTGGGGGTGGGGAGGGAGTTGTGGGGGGGGGAGGAGGGAGATGTGGGGGTGGGGGGGAGGGAGTTGTGGGGGTGGGGGGGAGGAGTTGTGGGGTGGGGGGGAGGGAGTTGTGGGGGTGGGGGAGGGAGATGTGGGGGTGGGGGGGAGGGAGTTGTGGGGGTGGGGGGGAGGGAGTTGTGGGAGTGGGGGGGAGGGAGTTGTGGGAGTGGGGGGGGAGGGAGTTGTGGGGGTGGGGGGGGGGGGGGGGGGGGGTTGTGGGGTGGGGGGGAGGGAGTTGTGGGGTGGGGGGGGAGGGAGTTGTGGGGTGGGGGGGGAGGGGGTTGTGGGGGGGGGAGGGAGGGGGTGGGGGGGTGGGGGTGTGGGGTGGGATGGGGTCGTAGCAACAGCAGCAAATTGAGGAAGAAAAATAAAAGGAAAAAAAACTACTCGTTCGGGCCGGTGGGTGTGTGTGTGTGTGTTTTTTGGAGGCTTTTAAATGATGGAGAACCCGCCCAAAGCTCTGCTGCTGCTGCTGTTGGGGTGGGGTGGGGGGGGGGTTCAACCAGGCACACAACGGGGGGGCGGGTCCCCCCCCAAAAAAAACCCGCCCAATTGGGCGTGAAGTGACAGAGAGAGATATAGAGAGAGAAAACCCAAACCCGCCCAAACCCGCCTCGCTCGGTTCAAACCCCCGGCTCGCGGCCGCCTGGTAACGGTCAGCTGTGGTCACGTGACGGCTCCCCACCCCTCCCCCCCCCCCCCGCCGCCGCCGCCGCAACGGTCACACCCGGCGGCCGCGTTCGGCTGCGCTGACGAGACAAGATGGCGGCGGGGCGCCGGCGTTCGCCCGTTGCTCAGAGTCACGGGGTGTACGTGTGTGTACGTCTGTGTGTGTCCGGCTGTGGGTGTGTATGCCTGGGTATGTGTGTGTGTGTGTGTGTCTCTATCTGGGTGTGGCTGGGTGTGTGTCTGGGTGTCCGTGTGTGTCTGTGTCTGGGTGTGTATATGCCTGTGTGTGTGTGTGTGTGTCTGGGTGTGTATATGCCTGTGTGTGTCTGGGTGTGTATATGCCTGTGTGTGTGTGTCTGGGTGTGTATATGCCTGTGTGTGTGTGTGTGTCTGGGTGTGTATATGCCTGTGTGTGTGTGTCTGGGTGTGTATATGCCTGTGTGTGTCTGGGTGTGTATATGCCTGTGTGTGTCTGGGTGTGTATATGCCTGTGTGTGTGTGTGTCTGGGTGTGTATATGCCTGTGTGTGTCTGGGTGTGTATATGCCTGTGTGTGTGTGTGTCTGGGTGTGTAGATGCCTGTGTGTGTGTGTCTGGGTGTGTATATGCCTGTGTGTGTGTGTGTCTGGGTGTGTATATGCCTGTGTGTGGGTGTGTATATGCCTGTGTGTGTGTGTGTATATGCCTGTGTGTGTGTGTGTGTCTGGGTGTGTATATGCCTGTGTGTGTGTGTCTGGGTGTGTATATGCCTGTGTGTGTGTGTCTGGGTGTGTATATGCCTGTGTGTGGGTGTGTATATGCCTGTGTGTGTGTGTGTATATGCCTGTGTGTGTGTGTGTGTGTCTGGGTGTGTATATGCCTGTGTGTGGGTGTGTATATGCCTGTGTGTGTGTCTGGGTGTGTATATGCCTGTGTGTGTCTGGGTGTGTGTGTGGGGGTGGGAGGAAAGAGAGGAGCTCTTTTTAAGACTTCATCTGCCTGGACCCCCCCTCCGCCGCCGCCGTCAGTATCGCCTATGATTGTCCGTCAAACAAAAAAAAAATCAGGAAGAGACACGAATGACTTAATCACATCGTTAAGAGCTATGAGACAGTAACAACAACCTTGTAATTTGACGCAGTGCAGGACTTCTGAAAGCGCTTCCCGGGAGCTCAGCGTAAAGTGTAGTGACTGTGTACTTACTGTCGGAAAAAAGCGGAACCAGCACCACCCCCCCCCTTTTTTTAATGTTAAGCTCAGGAGCTGTGCATTTAACTTTCCAGCGGTTCTACGATATTTTCAAGAGCACTTTTAAATGCTCTAAAATCCCCACTCAAGTCGGTCGGGTAAGTAACGTAATTTCCGCCCACAAAATGTACAGTTAATTCACTTGACGGTATATCCTGCGAAGCCCTTTGAGACGTCTCGGAAGACATTGATGAGGCTCTATATTGAATACAACGATTATTATTATCATTGTTTAGTTGTTGGTGAGAAAGTTGTCAGTGGAGAGCTTGATGGGGATGACGTGCTGCTCAATCTGCCCTCCACTACCTCTCCCGCTATGGATCGGTTATTTCACCAGGTTCCCAGACCAAAAGATGTTATTCCACGTGAAATTCACACTCTTGGTTTATTATCGTCTGTAAAACAGTCAAAAACAATAAGCATAGTTCCATCCACGTGGTATGGAATATCTTGCCTTCTGAGCGGGTCTCTAGAATTAAGTTCTCGTTTTATGACTGTACAAAACCATCATTTAGTACTTTTCCCCTCCTGCTGGGTAATGGTTCCACAATCCCTGAACACCTTCCATTATCTCAGACAGGTATCTTCACCTTCAAAATACAGTCACTACACTTTATAGCAGTTTATTAAAGCACTCCGAGACACTATTCTGCGTGAGGGGCACTATATATTGATTATTATTGCAAGTTGTCCTTGTAAATTTGTAAGTGGCTTTGCAACATCTTCCACACGTGAAAGACACCGTACCAAAATCCACAGAGCCCAATCCAGTCCATTTAATGCAGTACAGTTTAATATCATGAGCAGGAACCTTGGCTGATTTCTGCCCAAATCCAGTACATTGAAGCCGAATGAAGACTGGGGAATCAAACCCGGGATATTCTATATGACTTAGATAGTTGCTGGATAAACTCACTGAGCCGATGCTGGAGCCTTAGCATACCTCTTTATCAGAATTCAGATCTCAGGCTGAAATGAACATCCTTTTGAAATACAATTATTCACATTTCTGAATTAGTGTCATCATATTGTAGATCTACATTAAATCATTGTTGAAACTGTGAGTGTTTGTGCCTAAAATAATCTATTAACAGTTTATATACTTCATTTTTTAAATATTTACATCAGCCAGAATCAAATCAATCTTACATCAGAGGCGTTCAGTGTTTCCTTTGGCAATTATTCATCTCTAAAATGTGGCTTACAGAAGTTTGAAAGAGGAAGCTGAGAGATTGAGAAATCACATGAACAGCACTTGCCCTTAACAGAAGCCTTGTTTGGTTATCGTAGGTAGGTTATGTGCTGTGTCAATAAGTTCCTTTTTAAATTCTTTAACAAGCAACTGACTCCCATTAGGTAATTGTACAAAGCCTTTTGTTTATCAATACCATAATGCTGTCGCTGATCTGCCAAATGGTTCACAGCTGCTGGAAAGAGAGAAGTTTATAGGCTCTTAATTTTATTTTTAAGGAATTTTCAATAAAGAACTCATTGGCTTAGCAGCACTAAATTATACTGACTAGAGGGTATGCTGAGTGAGCTAATCTCAGCCAAGTCAGTACTGAGGATGCTACAATTTGTGTCCTTTCAGCTCCACCTTCATGGTTTTATTCTCATCTTTCCCACTATCTCCATATCCACTAACAGCTTCTCCTCCATCCCTCATCATGTGTGGTGTTCCTCAGAGCTGTCCTTGGTCCTCTCTGTAATACTTACATGCCAACGTTTTCCAGTTGAATGTCAGCGTGACTGAGGTCTTCCTGTTTGGCTCCTGTCAGCATCTCCTCACCTCAGGCACTGACCGCATCACCATTCACGGATGCACTCTCCGCCTCACCAAGCCAGTAGGGAATGTTTGGCCCTCAACTGTCTTTAACACCCACATCTACGTGATGACCGGTTCTATCTTATCCCATCTCTGCGACATTGCCACCGCCGCCATTACTTCCCCTCAAGCCACCGACCCTTATTCATGCTTTTATTACATCCAGGCTTGACTATGATAACTCGCTGCTCACCGGACTTTCCAATTCTTCTCTCCAAAGGCTGCAAATTATTCAGAACTTTGCAGCTTAAGTCCTCCCACGTCAAGCTTTGTGAGTTGATCATCCCCAAAGGGATACAATGCAGGCTTCCACTATATCCTGATGATGAAATAGCTGACACATACCATTGATTTTCCCTAGACTGTAGGTTGATAGAATTACATATTTAAAATGAATGAGTTTTAAAAATCAAATTACGTCCCTATCCATTTAAATACATGCAATTATTAAAACTGACACAGATTTGTGCTGCAGTTGAGATTTAATCCATCTGCATAATAAAGTGGTTACAACTGACTAAGCATAGGTTGTAAATGTGTTTTAATACACGTCAGTAAGTTTATACAAGGCATTTATTAATGGCTGCAAAAACAAACATGTTGCATTGTATGTACAGAGCAATATACAATTACAGTATTATAGAAAAGCATCACTATTAGTAACTAAAGCATTAAACCAAAACAAGCAAAGTTATTCTTGGCATTCAAATCTGAATAATTTACTGCTAATCCTGAAAAGAAAATGTACAACAAAATAAGAAGTAAAACGATGCAACAGGTTAAAAATCCAATTCCCCCAAATTCCAAGGTACATCATTATAAACTGAACTAAAGAAATTTCATATACAAAGATACTTTTAAAAAAAAGAACAATGGTGATATTCATGGCAAAAGCAATTTAACTAGATTTGCTGCTTCTGAACCATAATTGTTGAATTAATCCCTGTGTTGGATAATACATCAATGTATATCAGTTGTGGAGTTACTTTCAATTCAAATAAAGTCTAAGATTATTAACTAGGAAAAGGCAAGCACTTAACCAGGCTGATGTAAATCATTTATACAGGTACTTCAACTTGTCTTACAGGTGCTTTTAAGTTTCTGAAGTCTTGCAATTTTCAGAGACATTTTAACCATACAAGCACCTACTGCAAAAAAAATCTTTCAGCAGCCTTTTACTGCTTGTGTGCACTGCTTTTGGAGTAAAGAAACTGATTTTGGTGTAATGGCTTGATGTCAATTCATGAAGTATACAGCTATATTTGCACCAGACTATTTTCATTCAGTGCTCACTGGAACCATGTTACTGCAGCTAATATGGTGAAGCTGAGGCAGATGGGATACAGTATGAAATACACGATGTATGCAATAAACAAGATTAGAAAGGCTTCTATTACTGGGCCAGTTGCCAAACTTAAAATTGCTGTCTGACTTTTTGTAATTTTTACAAATGATCTAACATAGTTATTTTGAAACATAAAGTGTACTAATTAATTTCCTTTGTGCTCATCTTAACCATTTGTTTTAGATTTTAATACCGTTTTGTTAAAAAAAATCAGTTTAAAATATTTGGAGCTGATGTTCTTTAAATCACATTCATATTAATCAAAAGTTATACTTGGCCACCCATAAAGTACATTGTACAAGGAGCTTTTAATACTGAACACTAAGAAAAGAAATGTCTCTCAAAAGAATGTTCCTGATACACATCTTGTAATTCAGGTGATCCAACATGGAAAATTAATATCCAAAAGTCCAAGTGACCACCTTCATCTACAAACCCTTTTTATGGTTCTGAAGAATTGTCAATTCTGCAATTTTTGATTCAATATACTGAGATTATTGTCCTGAAAGTATACATTGAACTGTTGGGTTCCCCCTCCCCCCAAAAAACTTAAGAGTGTGAAACTTATCTTATGCATTGGTTGAATTGCTGAAATTTTGATGCCAATTAGTCTACAGGTTTATGGCTGTTGTGGGTTTATATATTTCACATGTACTGGTGCATTAAGAATTTGGCCAACATATCCATTTGTTTTTAACCTCAAAGCTCTGTGGTACCTCGTGTGCAAAATGGTTTCACCTTTGTTTTCCATAAATACCCACCACACTTGGCAGTGATTACTGTGAAGAGGTTTGAGATGTGTGATAAGATGCTATAAAATTGCAAGTTTTTTCTTTCCTCCAACAAATGTCCTTTTCCTGTAACTTCTGATAGCCTGCATTCTATTGCTCTTCATCTAAATACAAATGGGAGCTACAAAATATTAAGTTACTGAAAAGGCATTAATCCCTTTCCAAATTATTTGTATAAAAACAAAAAATCAACCAAGTTTGCATAAAAAGTTATTAATGCACAAAAATAGTCATTAATGCAGGTTGCCATTTGATTAAAGTCCAGATAATTACCAAATGGTACAAGCGTCTGGATGTAATATTTTAAAATTTATAAACGTTCAGTTTTTTTTAAACGAGGAATGAATATATGAAACCAATTTAGTGATGTGATGACATTAACTAAAGACTGGTATGTGTTTTAATAAATTGGATAATGTTTCTCTAGAGACCAATGTATTTAGAATAATGGAGTTGAAAATGAATTTATAAAGAATGAATGGTTGATTGTCTTGAAATTTTCAGACGATTATGTGCAGAACTAAAACAAATTAAGGACTTCGTATAAACATTAGTAATTAATGGTAGTTATGCTTTTGCAGCAAAATTTGCCTCAGTCAAAATGAAAATAAGTCAGTGGGTGGTTTATCATGTAGAGCAAGGTCCTGGGTTTAATTCCTAGTGCTAAGCAATCACAACTTGGGGTTCTACAATTAGTTTCAAAGCTCCCATTTGTGTGTGTATCTGTGTGAGAGAGGGGGAAGGGGGGAGTTGTGCAAAGGAAATAAATGGTTTATTTCCTAGTTCCTCCTTTGTGTTCGAGGCCTAGCATATTTATTGTCCAGGGTCACATAAGAATGGTCACTTGGCCAAGATGCCAGTACTGTACAAGTCTACGCTTTTAGAAGCGATAAGAAAATAGAATATTCACTTGAACAGTACAGTACCTATCTTAGACCAGTTTCTTTAGAAAGCTAGGTGAATCTAGTATTGTGTTCAGTATTGCAACATACTATTTGTTCAGTTAATTTTAGCTTTGCAATGCTGGGTTAATGGTACAAATAAGCTTTTAGTCGACTTGAGGAAGTGTGAATGCTGCATCCAATTATATCAGATTAGATAAACTTCAGTATTATTTCCAGTTTCTTCCCTCAGGTTTGGAGTAAATGAAGTGAAAATTAAGGCTATGATGTACTTCTCAGCATAAAATGTTTCTGCGTAGTTGACAAAGTACTTAAACATATGGCAAAATACAGGGTTTGACAAAGACGGTAATAATAATTACTGCAGTTTCAGTCAGTCTTCAAAAGCATAGCACTTCATAGAACCTTACACTAAGTTGTGTATGTATTACTGTGAGTCTTTGCTTTGGAAATCTGTTTTAAAGAATTAGGGTCATCAAAGATATCCTAGTTCTTGCTAAAAAAAATCTTCCAGAAATTAACTGCCCGAAGACATCCAGATTTCCACCCTCAGGGGCATTTATGGGGACATATTGCTTTTAGTATGTACTGAACATCTATAAATAATGAATTACTTCCTTCTTGGTGGAATTTGATCGATCATCAAGAAATGTTTCCACAGTTCTTCCTCTGAGTCACATCCATTACTTTCATATTGATACAAAATCTGAATTTCAACAGGCTATTGGAAAGGGGATATTGTGGTACAGGGGCTTCCTTTGGGTTCTAGAGCCCACCAAGTAAGCCACAAGCTTCCTCTTTTGTTTCTCATACAACCGACAGCCAAAGTGACTCAACTCTGACTAAAGTCCAAACACTAAATTCCCAGATTGAACAGCACATTTTTATTTTGGGTATTAAAAGTTACTTGTCAAAATGGTTAAATATGAATCTCAGAGAGCTTATAGTCATCAAAAGTACTTGTTTCCAACCCAAGATTAATAAGCACAGAAAGGATATCAGACCTGGGTGCAACCGATAGCAGAGTAAATGTCACTGTTACATTAAAAAAAAGTATGCTGTGTGCAGAAAAAAACAGCTTTTAACAGTAAACACAGCATTTTAAGAATGTTTTAAAAACATTTAAAACTCAGTCTGTAACTACAAATTTAATTTCAGTTTGAGGTACTTAAGCAACATTATTATACAAACTGGCACAGGGTGGCAACCTGATATTCAACAAAGCAATTTGTCAACGAAGTGACACTGTAGGTAAGTCAGGGTTAGAATTTACTGTTGTCTGATGAACACAATGTTATTTAAAAGGCTCTGAAAGATTTAGGGAAAAAGATTAAAACTAAATCTAATGGCTGCAGCACTGTCAAATTAGTATTTTGCTGCTCAGCAAACCCACAAAGCTCTTGTTTCCTCGGTTTTCTTCTCCTATCCACATCAAACTTCAGTTAAGTTTAAACGTTTATTACCACATTAAACCAAAATCATCAACCCATAGCAGCTCAAAAGGGCAAATTCTTTGTACGATATACTGGATTTTGCTACTGTAATGTTGGTTTACTTTGCTACAGATTTAGTAAGAGCTTTTAATTATGATCAACTTAAAAAGGGGGGTTCGCACAAACATTAGTGAATTCTAAAACCTGACCACAATAAGACTTACCATTTCTAAAAGTAATCATTTTTAAAATAAGCAAGGCATCTTATGATCAGCATGGCAAAATGTGTGTTTTGGGCATATTGCAATTTTCAGAAATAATGAAAGCTAATTTTCAACATCTCACCTTGCAAAAAAGGCAAAACTAACCGTAAGGCGATTAACTACTTGTTAAATACGAATGAATTCAGGCACAGAGCATTATCAAACTCTTAAACCACAATTAATTATTCAACAATAACTCACTGCTAGAAGTTTAACAGTTCAATTAAGGTTAATGATTATTTTATTTACGTATGACACACCTCTTTAATTACGCTTCAACATTTTGTTGAACTCTGATGTTTTAGAGATTTGTGTTTTGTTTTAGATTTGTGACATGCGACCAAATAATGCACACCTTTTAACTAGATTTTAGTAAATTTACAATAGCATTGTACAACAAAACTGAATATTGGTTTACTACTACTAGTTATGACCAAAATGAGTAGGTACTATAGGTAATTATGAATGGATCAAACATTTTACGCAGCTCCATACCCCAAATTATGAAGAAACTTTATGAAATTTGGTAATCAAGCTATGTACATTTTACTAGAACAAAATGTAAACATTATATTATTGTGTGTAAATACTGTTACTCTGCAGACCTCCCACTGAAATTTACATTGAGGGGCCTTAATATTGGTCAAGAGTTTTTTTTTCACATGCCATCAAGTTAATGTCTGAGATTACTGTATGTACCACTACTTTTTGATCAATCCACCTATTAGTATTAAACCAACAAAACTTAAAAACATATTAATTGACAAGGTTTTAAAAACAATTGTGTTAAAAGCATAATTTCACTCCAAAGAAATTATTTAAGGCCACATGCACTGCAAACCTTTGGTAACATTTGGAATAATGGCTTTTGCTGTATTACAGCCCTTTTCACTTGAGGAAAGGTGTAGATGTCAATTAAACGCATTCCCCTTGCTGAAGACCACAGCTTTGCATCATCTTGAGATTTTTATTCCACACAGCTTCATTACTTGAAGTTACAAGATCATAAACGTTCTGGACCAAGTGTACACTTGATTAGGACATCTTCAGTAAACCCCAAATGGGTGTAAAGCATTTAAAAGGCCAGTTTGGAAAATAAATTTGGCATTAACCCAAGTTGAGCAGTTCACAGCAGCTTCCTCACAAGGTCTGAAGGTATTGTATAACCTTAACTCCTGCTTGTTGCAAGCTGCTGTCAGTGCCAGAAATGAAAGTAAAGGAATGAAGTCTAAGTGGACGTCACTGCAGCATCAGCTGTTTAAGGTTGTCATGGAGGATAGTGTCCTTGACATCACGGAACACCAGGCGAATGTTTTCGGTGTTAATGGCAGTGGTGAAGTGGTGGTATAGCGGTTTCGGCTGCTGGTCCCGACGCTTGTTGCGAAAGCACTGCACGAGGAATTGTTGGACATCTGAAAGCTCATGGGGATTTCCCTCATATTCAGGGAAGTAGTCTTTGATGTTGACAGTTTTAACTTTCTCCTCCAGCAAGTCTGTCTTATTAAGAAAAAGGATAATGGAGACATTGCTAAACACCCGGTTGTTGACTATCGTCTCGAAGATGTTTAGCGATTCACTCAGGCGATTCGTTTGCCGATCCTCCATGAGCACCTGGTCAAATTCACTCGATGACACCAGGAAGAGAATGGAAGTTACACCATCAAAGCACTCAAACCAACGTCTTCGTTCTGATCGTTGACCTCCCACATCCACCATCTTGAAGGGAACATTTTTTATTTCAAAGTCGTATTCGTGTATTCCTTTAGTGGGTCTTCTTGCTAATAAAATATCCTGCTGTGTTGGAAGATAATTCTGAAAAAGAAAACAGAGTTAAATTAAGGCCATTTCTCACACGCACTGTTTTAATTAGAATTAAGTTGATTCCTATACCATCCAGTGCAGCCAATTCTTACTAAAGGCATGGCAAGTTGTACAGTGTTTCATGCTTTGCTTCAATGCATTATAAAAAACAACTTTGATAGCTTGAGGTGACATACTGTAATATTTAAGTAATTGCAGCTTAAATCAAAAGTTTGTAATCACCACAACTTTCATAATAAAACCACATCATAATATCCTATTTGTTACTTTTTCTAGTTAATTGTTTCCAGTTAATTTGGCTTTAGGGAATTTCAAGCTCCCTCGGTCAGCTTTTTGAAAATAACAATCAGCTTTACACACAATCACCCTTATGACACAAAATGCACCATATAAATGCAATTTGTTATTGTTGAAATAAATCCTAATTAGCTGCTCAAATGTCAAGAGTAACTGTTACTTCTTCACATTCTGCTCAAACTATGGGAGACTGGTTCTTAGACTTGGTTCTTGTGCAGCACAGAAATGCCTGGATTATGTGACCAATGGCATAGCAAGTCATGAACTCAACATATGAATCACAGGCACATGTCCTTCGAGCAACATGATTATCTGGCTGTTTATCAAATTCTACATTTGATCAATCGGATCCCAACTGAATAGCTGAATAAAATAGTTTACTTCCACAAATGTCTCAACTAAAGACCAGGGTAAACTAGAAGGACCAGTCCCACAGAAGCATACCCATAAGGTGCCATGACCGCTACGTCAAACGTTGTCTGTGCCAAGACCATCAGTTGAAGGATGAAAGATGTAAGAAATCTTATTTATAACAATCCTTGCATTTGATATAGTACCTTACCACACCTTTGGGACTTCTCAAAGTGCTTCACAGAATATACTGTAAAGTGAATTGACTGTATATTTTGTGGGAGAAACAGGGCAGCCAATTGCGCACAGCAGTGTCCCACGAACAGTTGTGGATTGAAGTGACCAATTTCTTTATTTTTTTTGATGGAATTATTACTCCGGAAAAGCAAACCACCAATCGACTTACAACCGGGTTCCTACAGAGACGTGTGGATTAAGGAAACTTGCCCAACATTTCGCCCTGCCGGGAATCAAACCCAAGTCTCTTGCTTGTGAGGCGAGTGCTCTAACCACTGAGATACAGGACCCCACATACCAATTTTTCATAACAATTCCCACAACTCATGTTCTTGTTTTTATTGAAATTTCTAAAAATGTCCCATCAGTATACTGAAACTTATACAATTATATTTTTCCCACTATTAAATAAGACTGGAAGGAACTCAGACAAGCTACTGATAATAATCTGCTGCAGAAAATGCAGTACAAACAGTCTTTGAGGTCACCTTGACAACAGCCGACTAAGTAAAGTCAATAAAACCGTCAAATTTCTATTTACTTAAGGTGGAACTCTGTCATGACAAACCAGGACATGCTAATATGACTACAGTAACCAGGGGTGCAAAAGTAGAGAGTCCTGTCCAGTAATGGTTTCTGCAAACTTACCAAAGCAAACAGCAAACTAAAACTAAGAATAGTTTGAAGCAATGGAATCTCTACCCCTCCCTCCAGAAGTTTAAAGTTGTGAAGGGCAATTTCAGGACAGATACCAAAAAGTTTTTTTGTTACTCAAGAGTAATTAACGACTGGAATAGGTTGCCAGGTAGAGGGAAGGCAGCTTGATATTGTGATGGAAGGATGAAATCAGATGGGCCGAGGGTCTTCTTCATTCATACCATCATCTTGTGATGTGTCAAATTCTCTCCAGTGATATGGTTTGACTGGATGATTTCTATTTCTTCAACCCCATTCCACCCCCTCTCCCTCGCCCTTTGACCCACAGAAACAAATAGCTTGTTGAGGTCAACAAAAGGAATCCATGCAGTGTCCAAGATCCAAGGATTCTCGTGTGCCCTGAATTTGCTGATTTCAATCAGTCTAGCAGTTGGGTTCTACAATTAGATCATTTCTGGGTGGTGGTGGGGAAAGAGAGGGAGGGATCACAGAGAGTGAAGGTCCTTAGCATCAAGCGCCAAAGACAAATAACTTCCCAATACCACAGTTTAGGTTAACCCATGAACGTACAAAGGCATTTGCTTTTGGAAATGTTGCACATCACAGGAAAACTCTAGTCTTCTACCACTCCCTTTGTTTTTAAATTTACATTATTAATAATAATAATAATCCTTGCATTTGATATAGCGCTTTTCACATCGGGAGGACGTCCCAAAGCGCTTCACAGAAGACACTGTAAAGTGAATTGACTGTATATTTGTGGGCGAACGCGGCAGCCAATTGCGCACAGCAGTGTCCCACAAACAGTCGTAGATTGAAAATGACCAATTTATTATTGTTTTTGGTTTTGGAGGGATTATTATTAGGCTCTGTGTGGAGTTAGGAAACTTGCCCAAGGTTTCACCCTCTGCCTGGAATTGAACTCAGATCTCTCACTTGCAAAGCGAGTTTTCATTACTGACTCACAGACGTTACCATGTAGATTTTGGTATGCATCTCTGCCTGATTATTCAGATCGTCCAAAATGACTACTTAAAATTGATGCAGTATTGTATTTTTTTAAAATAAGAAATTTTGCAAAAGCAGCTTCTATAGAACATATGGGAGCCATATGTTTTGAAAACTTGGCAAATCAGACATTTAGCTCAATTGTCTGAAGAAAACTGGTTTGGGCCTGAAGCTGAAAGATATTCGCTGAAAAGAACATCTTTAGCCTTACAAAGAAAATTCCGATATTTAAAACTAGCATGCACTTGCATCAGTAGAGAACTTGTCAGTGTTTCGTTAATCCTTTGTTTCGAAGGCAAATGCAGGACAAACAGTCCCGAATCTGTATCTAATTTTCATGCAAATATATGCAGAACTGTTAACAAAGACTCATTGACAGATGCTTATTCAGAATGCAATAGCAGCAGCAGTACGAAAAGCCACACATCTGAAAAATCTAACAGTGCCACTTTTCCCTGAAGGTAGAAAATTCCCTTCCATCAGCTCAAAAGACACTCAAATATGTTACAATTGCTGGAGAGATATTGGGAGATATTCATTGCATTCAAGGAAGTGACAGCCTATACTACCAGACAAAGGAGGTTTAGAATCAGGAATGTACCTAATCCTTTTGCATCATCAAATGGGAGCCTGTTTCACATGCCACACAGAGTAATGCAAAACACTAGAGTGATGAAAATGAGAAACTGCTTTATAACAAACATTTTTTTAGGTGATTATAGGGTGTCGCAGATGCCATGCTCTTCGGGGTAAGCCTGGCTGAAGGAGGTACATTTGGGTAATGGCTCCTGCAGTAAACAACTTAAATAATTCAGAATTAAAAAGAAGGCTTGCAATTGCTACGTACCTTGCCTAGTTACCATACTGGAACAGATAAAGCGAACCCTACAGGAACATAACGTATTTGGCTGCCAAATCTACTCATGGCATAGAATCCAGAACCAATAAAAAGAAATTTTGCGAAAATAGTATTTTAACTGCTATATTACACAGCTGCTTTGCATCTTCAAATGCACGCTGTATATCATAGATCAAATACCATTGTAGTACATCCAATTCTATTTGCTCATTGTAATTCCACATGAACACGTAAATGATTAAAAAGCAAGTTTTTAAAAATTATTGTACATTCAGTCAGGGAATGGTAGATGCACCTGAAGATGAGGTAGAAGAGAACGCTGAATGTTTTTAAATAATGAACAAAAGGAGAAGATCCAAACAACTCAACTGATATCTAATCCATTTCACATGCAAGTCAAAAAAGTGCAATGTTAAATTCAAAGGTATGACTGAGTATGATTGGCTTCATTTCAGAAAAAAAAAGACATTTATGAAGTGGACCAGAAGATCAATAACAACATTTATATAGCACTTCTCACATAAGGAAGTCCCAACGTTTTGGGATAAAAAGAATGTAGCAGTTTTAAGGTACCATTTTAAAAAAAAAGTCCTTGGACTGGTTAATTAGCCGTTAACCAGTTTTCTAGCTGATAGCAAACATACTCTCTGGTGCATAATGAGCACTTTGAAGCTATCCTGATCCTTAAAATCAAAATTGCAACAAACCTCAATCTGGCCAGATTAAGAGATTCCAGCATTCTGTCATAATAGTCATACTGTTTTATTACATTACAAAGAAAATCATGTTGTTAGCGGGAGGAATTATTCACAACCTTGACACTTCCTCACAAATGACCTTGCACTGTTTTATCAAAGGAACTATGTGTAAATTCAGCTAACTATCTTCAGCTATTCAATCGTGGAGGGCATCACTGCCAACCCCAATCTTATTGGGTTTCCAGAAAAGCTGGGAGTATCACTGAGTAGGAATCAGAAGTGGAAATACACCCTGATATTTTGCAACTGCTAGCAGAGTATTACATGGTTGGTGTTTGCATATCAACGATGAGGGCAAAGTATGTATGGTCCGGTCCGTATCTTATCAGTAAATAGGAAAAGATTTAGTCTATTTAACTACTCTACGTAAAACAGAGCTGCTTCTGTAATTCACCTAATGTCAAAATGCTTAGTTTAAAAGAAAACTATGCTTCAATCTTTGAATTATAAAAACTCTAGTTACATTATAAAATCACAACTTCACAAATTTGTACCAACATAAACATGAATCAATATAAATATACATTGAATATATATGAATGCAATACAAAATATAATGCCTAAAATCAAAATTAACAACCCAATTTTATTTTTTTTTAAAAGTTCAAACATTAATCCTATGACCTGAAACAAAAATCAAGTCAGAAAAGTCCACTTTATATTTATTATCTAATATTCTGAAACCATATACACTGAGTTAATGTAATTGTAAAACCCCAATAAACTGCCTAGTTTGCAAAATGGTTCAAAGTACAATGATCGGGTTCCTGAAACACATGAGTAAGATTGTAAGATTGTAAAATGGATACAGGTTTATTCCTCAATTCCTCACAGCAAATTCCTTATAGTCCTTGGAAAGGTGGAAAGTAAAATGTTGGCAGTTTTCTCCATAGGAAAGGGGTGGTGGGGGGCGGGGAGAGAGGAGAAATCAAAGAGGCAGACTTGTGATGGAAGAAAACTTTTGAAAATAATTATGGATAGTTCAAAAAATTAAAAATATTGAGTTCCAAACACACCTCAAATTGTGCCTTCATGTAAAATGTTTAAAATGCTAATAAATCGTCCCATATCCCACCAAATAGGTTTGTTTCCTTTTGCAGTAATGAAAAGGGAAAGTCAGCTATTTGGTTTTACCTACCTTAAATGAAACAAAATGAAAGCCCCCAACAGGACTTAAAATTCAGGTTTCTATATTTAGGACAGCAAATAAAATATAGATTTGCATAAGAATTACTCAAACTTACCGGGTCCCCTATTCTTTCCAAATTGTCCAGGAAATATTTCACAGATTCTCCCTGCAAAGGAAAAAAAATAATTTAGTGTGACAGGACACATTTAAACAAAAAGCTTTGAAAGAAAGACTAATTTTACATAGAAAGATCAGTAGTATTTATTGAATTAAGGTGGAGTGGCTTCTTAACCTGAGTTCAATTCCAAGCAGGGCGAAACCTTGGGCAAGTTTCCTTACTCCACACGCCTAATAATAATCCCTCCAAAAACCAAAAACAATAAAAATTGGTCATTTTCAATCTACGACTGTTTGTGGGACATTGATGTGCGCAATTGGCTGCCGCGTTCGCCCACAAATATACAGTCAATTCACTTTACAGTGTGTTCTGTGAAGCGCTTTGGGATGTCCTCCCGACGCGAAAAGCGCTATATCAAATGCAAGGATTATTATTATTAACTGTACATTAAGTGGAGAATTGCATTCTAAGTTTTTCACTTATAAATCGATACTTAAATGTGACGACATCCAGGTTCATTTAGAGATTTGGAAGTTGAACAAATTTCAAAATTGCCCACATTTTAGTCTGGAATCTCTCCCAATTTTATTCCAGAAACCGAAAATCAACTGTATTGTAAAACTGTTTATTCACTGCCAGTGGATAAACAGCCGCTCATATTAACTAGTTTTTCTTCTAAAAGGCGTGTGGTCCAGGCACTCTAGATAGATTTTCAAATTCTTTGCCCATCCATTAGCCAGCAGAAGAGTCAAGTGGTTGTGTCAGATCAACTGTAACACATCTTGGGAGAATTTTTTAAATAAAACTTTCATGTCAGTCATCCATTTTAACCTCTTTCTGGTCACCTCCTCAAAATAATTTAATAGGATGCATCTGGTAATTTAAAGAGACACAATGGTCCTCTATGCACAATGAAAGATTTACGTACAACACACACAAGCTTAGACTCCAGATATTAAAATTTTAAGAAAACTGTTAAGAGAAAAGCCTATGTACATCTGAACAAACCAAAATATGAAAAATGATAACCCAAAGTACCAATTTATGGCGAGGTTGTGTTTTTTGGGTCATGAGAAGGGAGGAAGACAATCAACAGTGAGTTATGAGTATCAAATCGCCTACTTATGGAATGACCAGTTCTATACCCTAATATCTTAGCTCTTATCTATGACAAAGACCTTTTTATAGGTTTTCTTCAGTATTAGGTGCAAAGAATCAAATCCATAAAAAAAATGTTTAAATGTCAAACCTCATTCAAAAATTCTTATTTGAATATTCTTACTTTGCATTTTGAGAATGGTACGTGAAACAATTTCAGCTACAAAGGAAGGCCTCAATATGGAAGCATTCTATTTTAACACCTTGCGTCAAAATTAATTGCATATTAAAACCAATTTTAACCACCCAAATTCCAGAGAAATCTTATCCATTCTCAGGATTCCTGTGTAGCAAACAGAACTGAAATGGGACTGAATTAGAGAAGGTTCTGGAATGCAGTTCTACAAAACATAATCAGTATTGAATCTAGGCGGTGTAGAAACAACTAGGATCACTTTATTAGGAAAGCTCATTGACTACTGGACTAAAATACTTGTTAATAGTTAAGATCATGAGTTAGGAATCAGTCTCATCAGGTGAAGGCTAGTGTTACAATGGAATATCTTGCAAAATTGAGTCATTCTGTACCACGATAGGCAAATATGTCATGGTAGTGACAATATCGAGCTGGACAGAAACTGAATGAAAGTTATTCTTCAAGCGCATACAGAGAATCCATCTTACTTCCTCAGTAACCACTGGTATGAGGGTAACAGCAGATTGCATTTCACGAACAAGACTTGCACCCAGGACTCAATACTTCAAATAGTAAACCAAATGAAATGTCTAAGCATTAATAATTATAATATTGATACATAGTCTTGAAGACGCAATAAGTCGCTATATCAAATGCAAGGATTATTGTTATCCTGAACTAGGTATCGAAATCCACTGCTGTACATGGTTCCAAGTAGTTTTATTGTTTGTCAGGATGGGTGGTAGAGGCCGGGTCATTGGATTCATTTAAAATGCAGCTCGATGCAGTGATTGGGGAGGGGTGTGGGGAGGGGTGTGTGTGGGGGGGGGGGGGGGCGGAGTAGGGTTCTGGAGGGAGGTGATTGAATATTGGTACCGATAGACCCCACCCACAAACCTAAAAAAAATACAATCCATATCTTATTTAGCAAAAAATTTTGTGATAGATTTACCCAAATTTATATTTTCATAAAATTCCCTTATTGCCCAATCTCAGTAAGAAACATATTCTTCACCAGAGGAGGCCAGAAACTGTAGAAAACCCGTTTGGACTACTGCCAAAGCAGCTATCAACACCTTGTCAAAAATATATATATGGGAAGAAACATGCCTTGGGAAGAGGAGTAAACATGACAGTTCAGTCAACATATTTGTGAAATGTGTTTCCAGATCTACAGGAATTATCAAAAACGTTAATGATATCTCCAGATAGATCATAAATTCCCATTTCCTGGACATTAAAAAAATTCTTACTGTCCACAGCAGCCACAATCCTAGCAGAGATTTTGCTGGTATTTTACAAGTTTTCCAATTTGAGTCACATCTTAAAGAGCTCATTTCATATACCTCAGCTTCCCATTTTTGCAGGATGACTGAAACCACTTTGCCAAGGGAACTTTTTAGGTACTGGGTACAGAAATCATGCTTAGCTTTCTGGGAGCTTGCAGTGGATTACTTTGAAAAGCTTCAACATTTCAATCTGTCCCACCCAGCCTCCACCACTAAGCTATTTGCAAAGTAAATTTCTAAAAGCTTCTTGGGTGGGAAGAAAGTCTGACAATATTGATTTTGACCAAACAACACATTCAGCAGGAAAGCTACACAGGTATGTAAATTACTGAGAAAGGTTCCTGATAAGTATGCAAATTGTATGCACTCGCATCCCCAGACCAAATACACTCGTTATTTGAATTACACTGATTTGACTAAAATGCTGGGGACTGTGGGGGGTGAGTGTAAATAAACAAAGTTACAATACTTGAATGTTTGAAAACATCAAACATATTGTCTTAATGGTATAGAAAGCAATGTGTAATAAACATTTTACAAATGTTACACCGACATCTAATAAAATATTGACACTAGAGGGGGAAACACAAGCATAATTAATTATTCCATCGATCAGATATTTTTAAGTTTCCACAACATCAATTATTCAGCTAAATAAGAGTTTCCTATATGACCAATCCTTACTCACAGCACCAGTGTTTTAATCTCATATACTGTCCAATTCGATTCTGCAATAATCATGGAACAAGTTTTTTTTTAAAAAAGCTCAGTTGTTTAAATGTAAAGTACACGTTGGTCACCATCTATTGAAATAAACATCAGAATACAATTTCAATTAAGTATAAAACATAATTTAGGTGTTACCACTGAGACTTTGTAAAAGGAATTGAAATAATGTGTAGAGCTCTACAAAACCAAACACCAATAAATCTAAGTGTATGCTTTTCTATTTCTAACCAAATAAAATTCCCACCAGTTAACGTGATTCATTCCTGAATAATATTACTTGAGACTGACAAAAACCCAGATTTTTTAAATCTCATTTTGTCAAGATGCAACAGTTTAACAATGTGGTGACTGACAATAAAACAATTGAATCTTTTTTTAGTCATAGGAATTATGGAGATATCGGAAACTATGGATTATTTATTTGAGCAGCTTTCTTGTGGAAATGCATTGTAGTTGCTCATTAACCTATCATCTGGGTGACCGATAAAAGTATACTCCAAAATCCTTTTGGTTCCTTGGTCATGTTACCCAGGCCAGTCAATTATGGCCTGATCTGGATGTAAATAATCCTCCATTTCCTAAATTTGTTTTCTTTTGCTTGCATAATTATCTGCTTATTACAGCAATAGGTCAATATTGACAACATACTGGTACGTTTTTTTAAAAAATGTTCATAATCAGTGCAGCTAGGCAGGACTGGTTTCCAAGTCTGCCTTGATTTTGCATGGCTAATTTTTCTTCCCCTAAAATTCCTAACAAAGTTGTCTGCTTTACTTGTCCAATGATCGCTTTACAAAAAAATGGCTGCTTTTCTACTGCAATTAACTAACCACCATTGAAACATTTTTCCAACTGGTATACTGTCAAGTAAAAGCAGTTTCCCCTAAACAAGTTACTGTAATTCAATTCCAAGGAAAAAACAGGTTGCTAAAAGATGAACTGTAGGCATCCAATTTACATCATTATATTTTTGTCTCTATGAGCTCCACCCAAGCCTCAACAGGAAATGATAGGACCTAATACATAGTTTTGAGAAACATACAGTTATCTAAAGAAATCTGAATTTTGGTTTTATCACTCTAAGTTTGAAAGCCTATCCTTCTGAAGTAGATAAATTGAGAAATAATTTTAAGCAAAATATTTACAGTCAGTGCAATCAAGCTTTTTACATGAACTTCTGTGGTGCAGTTCACCTGAATTTCATTGGAGAATGCTAAAACTGCAAATCAAGACTTTTTATACCAGTTTTGAACTGTATCGCAATAGAAAGTGATGCATATTGGGCAGCTACACTAAATACATTGATAAAGTAAATAAATTCACCCACAAAATATACAGTCACTGCACTTTACAGGATATTCTGTAAAGTGCTTTGAGAAGTCTCAATGACATGATAAGGCTCTATATCAAATGCAAGGAATATTATTACACTAAAAAGAACAACTCAGTCAGTTTTGGTCATTTATTTTGTTAAGTTTGGCCAGCTATTGCTGCTTTAAGTGCAAAGGGAACAACATCACAACAATGTATATATTATACTATGGAACCATAATTTTGCTTTAGTTGCAATAGTTACCCTTTTTAAAAAAACATCATACTTGCCAAAGCCTAGGGAAGACAGGGACAAGTTGGCAGCAGCAACCACAACATACAGTATTTAAAAAAAAACAGCTAAAACAAAGCAGTGGCTGGTTTCCAAAATAAAACTATCAGTGTGTAAAACAAGGAGTGAATTG